AGTCCTCTTTTAGTCACAATTAAGTCAAAATTAAGCGAAACTGATCACTTGAATGTCTTGGTGCGTTCTATCACCCTTTTTTCAAGCTCATAGATGTCTAGGAGATTATCTAAGTTAATATTTCTTCGATCTGGATATCACACAACATTCTCAATCAGCTAGATTTTCGATTTAAGCGAAACTGATCATTTGAATTTTTTGGTGCGTTCTATCACCGTTATTTCTATTTCATGCATGTCTAGGAGATTATCTAAGTTAATATTTCTTCGATCTGGATATCACATAACATTCTCAATCAGCTAGATTTTCGATTTAAGCGAAACTGATCATTTGAATTTTTTGGTGCGTTCTATCACCGTTATTTCTATTTCATAGATGCCTAGAAAGGAGTCGACAGTAATATTTTCTGGATCCGGATATCACATAACGTGTTCAATGAGCTAGAATTTCGATTTCAAGAAAACTGATCACTTTTATGTTCCCATCAATTTCGATCACTTCGAACATTTCGATCATTTGCCCCCTTTCCCGTGCGCGTTTCCATCAATCATTTCCCCACTTGCAATCACTTTTATGATCGATGACCTTTTCGTAAAATCCTGAAAGTCTTTTGTCTTTTGTCTTTTGCCTTTTTCAAATCGAATTCCTTTTCTTTTTCTAATTTTATTGATTGATAAAAGAATATAGAAAAAAGAAATCCAGTGGCCTAGTGGCCTAGTGGAATGGCTAGTGGATACTGGGCCTAGTGGATCCAGTGGCCTAGTGGAATGGCTAGCGGATCCTAGGCCTAGTGGATCCCGTGGCCTAGTGGAATGGCTAGTGGATACTAGGCCTAGTGGATCCAGTGGCCTAGTGGAATGGCTAGTGGATACTAGGCCTAGTGGATCCAGTGGCCTAGTGGAATGGCCTCCCGATCGGGGTTCGATCCCGCTTTTCGTTTTTGGTTTTTATTTTCTTTCAATTTAATACTTTACGGGTTCTCACCTGCTCATTGTGATTTAAATCGTAGCTTGAAAAGGCTAAAAACACGGGAGTGGGACAAATGCGAGCTTTTTTTTTTTGCGCACCCGGACATTTGCGCACCTTGCCCATTAGCGCACCTTTTTTCGCGTTTTAAAAAAGCTCTAAAGCGTAAAAAAAGCTCTAAAAAGCTAATATTAACCAATTTCTATATTCCAAAAGTTGTTTTTCTATTTTTCTAGGTAATTTGAGGGTGTCGAATTGAAATTTTGACATAACATTGAGATTGAGCGAGTGATTGAGAAACGGGCTTTTAAAGCTTTAAATTCAAGTTTTCTTCAACGCTTCATTTTTCTTTAAAGCGTCGAAATTTCGTCGAATTTAATCAATTTATTTTTTATGCGTTTCCAATTTGAGAGATTTTGTTTATTTATTTATTTGAAAGTAGTATATATACTTTATCCGACAAGGAAAAGTGACAATGCAAACAGATTGAACAGCGTAAACGAAGAAAGATAATTGATATACAAACACATGACATTAAAAACTAATTTAAAATTGACAGAGCTACAAGATCGAGCTTATATATTGAGGATTTAAAATAGTTCAGAGACGAAAAAATATCACAAGGTAAATTATTCCAAATACGAGGAACACGACAAGCAAAAGAATGATACAGTTGGCGGTTATGAAAGCTTTGAAAGGGGGTAATCTGAAAGTTGTGACTACGAGTTCTTCTGGCGTGATTCGAAATCTTAAAGAGTCCTTTAAGTTCCGGATGAGAGTTAGGAGAGAAGATGATTTTATAGCATAAGACCAAATCAAAATAAATGCGGCGATGGGATAAGGGTTTAAGGTCAAAAAGAGCAAGTCGATCAGAATAGCAAGGAATTTCTTTCGATGGGAAACAACGGGCATACGGCATATTTATTTATTTATTTATTTATTAATTAATTAATTAATTTAATTAATTAATTAATTAATTAATTAATTAATTAATTAATTAATTTATTTATTTATTTATTTATTTATTTAAAATTTAAATATTTAAACTTTCAAAATCCTCCGTTGTAAACAGATTAGCCCTTTGTTTATAGACTTTTTCAAATTTAAACCGCGGTCAGGGCCCAGAAGTGGCCAGAAGTGGCTTTGCTTCCAATGCCTCTTTATCAAATTCATTTCCCGTTAGAGCCGCTAGATTATGGAACTTGCTCCCAAAAGACATACGAGAAATTCAGTCGATTTTTCATATTCAAGAAACGTATCGATGCTTTAGATCTAGTGGCTCTTTGCCGTAAGTAATTGGCTTATTGATTTCAGTATGTATTGTATGATTAAGTATCACTGTGCACTTCTCTATCATTTCTTTCACTTTATCGTTTGAATAAAGTATTATTATTATTATAAGATGGTTATTAGGTTATTAGATGGTTATTAGGTTATTAGATGGTGATTTGATGGTTATTAAATGGTGATTTGATGATGATTTGATGGTGAATGGTTATTAGGATGATTCATACATCATCTAATAACCTATTGGGTTGGGGAGAATGAGTCGGCGCCGAAAATCAAAAAAATGTCTAAAATATGCGTTTGATATGAGTAGAATGGTTAACTAATTCTCTACAAAATGACATTTAAAAGAAAATTCAAACAGCGCCTCCGCTCAAGAAAAAGCCATTTTTTCACAAAAACTACAAACTGTGATCTAGAAAAAAGCATTGGTGGGATCTTCCTGCAAATTTGGCAACTTAAGTAATTGAATGTGCTCTATCTTTTTTATATAAACACCAAAGAAGGTTTATGTGAAAGAAACTGTTCAAATGATGAGTCGGGCTCTTTGCCATTTTAACCAGCTGCGTTTCGAAGTTCATAAACTCGACGAAAGAAAAGCTTTGTGGAATCTCTCAAAAAGTGATTTTGTAGAGAAATAGTGGATCCTTTTGATGAAACCAAACGTATATTTAAAGAAGGCTTTATGTGTGCAAAAAGTCCCTTTAAAGTTCGGCGCCGACTCATTCTCCTCAACCCAATAGATTATCAATTTCCATACTCGATTTTGTAAGATTTATTTGCTTCAAAAACGAAAGCTCACCGGAATTTCGTGCTTTTACCCTAGTTACAGTACTGGACAATGAAATATGATATTTGAAAAAAACGATCGTCAGATCGATCGTCACTTTCGCGCGTCTGTAACTCCCTTTTCTTTACCGTATTTCTAAATTTTAATATTACCATTGTGTAGCCCTTGAAAAGAGCTTTCGGAAAATGCATAACACTACGAGTTTAAACTCAAAGACAAGGAAGTTACAGACGCGCGAAAGTGACGATCGTTTTTCAAATATCATATTTCATTGTCCAGTACTGTAAAAGCGCAAAACGCTTTCCGCTATCAATGACCGAAATTCATCGTCCAGTACTGTAGGTCTGGCATTGTCGTATGGTGCAGTGAAAAGCGCATTTTTCTACAGCCTATACAATCCGAGTTCGACCCACGGTAGCGTCGGTTAGCTCTCGCTTTTTGAATTTTCGATTTTAGTATAGTACAACTATATTAGATTTGATGAAATTTGAAGAAATTTGAAGAAATCTCAACTTTTGACAACATAATCTTGTTCATCTCTTTGCGAAAACATAAACAAGTACTGAAAAAGCCGGTTGAGAGCGGGTTTTTCTAGCTACACTACTGGACAATGAAATATGATATTTGAAAAACGATCGTCACTTTCGCGCGCCTGTAACTCCCTTGTCTTTACCGTATTTCTAAATATAAATATTACCATTGTGTAGCCCTTGAAAAGAGCTTTCGGAAAATGCATAACACTACGAGTTTAAACTCAAAGACAAGGAAGTTACGGACGTGCGAACGTGCGAACGTGACGATCGTTTTTCAAAGTATTGTCCAGTACAATATAGTACAATGAATTGACTTTGTCTAAAAGATTATCTACAACACTTTGTCTACAAGATTATCTATAACAGTTTGTCTACAAGCTTATCTACAACACTTTGTCTAGAAGATTATCTACAACACTTTGTCTAGAAGATTATCTACAACACTTTGTCTACAAGATTATCTACAACAGTTTGTCTACAAGATTGTCTACAAGATTATCTACAACACTTTGTCTACAAGATTATCTACAACACTTTGTCTACAAGATTATCTACAACAGTTTGTCTACAAGATTGTCTACAACAGTTTGTCTACAAGATTGTCTACAAGATTATCTACAACACTTTGTCTACAAGATTAATCTATTATCTTTGAGTTTAAACTCGTAGTGTTATCCATTTTCTGAAAGCTCTTTTCAATGGCTACACAATGGCAATACTTATATTTAGATAAATGCGGTAAAGACAAGGGAGTTACAGACGCGCGAACGTGACGATCGATCTGACGATCGTTTTTCGAATATCATATTTCATTGTCCACTACTGTAGCTATGTGAAAATCAAAAAACAAACAAAATTTCTCACGAAAAAGACTCGAACTCGAGTAAAGAGTTTCACTCATTTAAATCACAATGTTTTCTAAACATTTCTAGCTTTCATTTTTCTATTTTAAAAGAGTTGAATGGTTTTCAAACAGCTGAATGGTTTTAAAACAGTTGAATGGCTTTAAAACCTGTTTTAAAGCAGTTGAATGGTTTTAAACCCTGCTTTAAAACAGTTGAATGGTTTTAAAACCTGTTTTATAACAGTTGAATGGTTTTAAAACCTGTTTTAAAGCAGTTGAATGGCTTTAAAACCCTTTTTAAAACAGTTGAATGATTTTAAAACCTGTTTTATAACAGTTGAATGGTTTTAAACACTGCTTTAAAACAGTTGAATGGCTTTAAAACCTGTTCTAAAACAGCTGAATGGTTTTAAACCCTTTTTTATAACAGTTGAATGATTTTAAAACAGTTTCAACTCTTTTTTCAACTTTTAAAACGATTCAACTCTTTTTTTTCTTTAACAAACATTTTAGAAATCGAAATTCCCTTATGTTCCCTTATGTTCCAAAACTTTTAGAAATCGAAATTCCCTTAAAAGCAATGTTTTTCCGAGCAATTCTACTGATAATTGGTGAGATTTTAAAAGGAAAAAAAAAAATTCCTCTACATTATTACGCCATTTTCGCCATTTTCACGTTTCATTTTTCAGTTTTCACAAAAATTCACTCAAAAGTGATCATCGACGACGAGAAAAACGAAAATAACCCGTATTTTGATGGAAAAAAGACTGATGTGCCGATGAGCGCCGAATCGGGTAGAGAAATTCGATGAGATAACTTTAAAAAGGAATTTTTTCCCCTATCTGGATGTCACACAATGTTTTTTGTGTAAAAAAAAAAAATCAAACTTTCAACATTTTTTTTTTTTTTTTTTCTAGGTGTCGAATTGATGCAGCACTGGCTCGACCAAGCTTTCTCGGGGCTGATGGCTGCAGTGTCGACGAAAAAGTGAGCTTTCAGAAATTCTGGAAAGCACTAGGGACTTTGGTGCTTTCAAATCGATCGTTTCAAAGGTTTGAGCGTTTACAAGAGCTCAAAGTACATGCTCAAATTAATGAAATTTTTCTGAAATGAAATTTTTGCAGAAAGCTAGTAAACGGTTTTTTTTTTTCGATTTTGTGCTTTCCAGGATGAACGCTCGCTTTCTGGCGCACTCATTTCGTGTATAAAATTTCCAGATTAGCCCGTTTAAAGCCTCAATATCGTCGAAAAGTTCACGAATGTAATAAAAAAGCGAAAGATGTGAAAGGGCACGCTTTATGCGTTGTGATGGCTCTTGATTACGCCCAAGAACCCACGCATTTGCTTCCAGAAGAAGAGGGTTCGTTTTTGAAAGCTTTGAAAGGAAAAGATTTGACGCTCATAACAATTAATCAACAAATTAGAGCTATAACCAAAAGGCTGCTTTAATCAAAAGGCATTTCTAATCGTTGCCCTTTAGGGGAAACTATCGTAACCCTTTAGGGGAAACTACCGTAACCCTTTAGGGGAAACTACCGTAACCCTTTAGGGGAAACTGCCGTAACCCTTTAGGGGAAACTGCCGTAACCCTTTAGGGGAAACTACCGTAACCCTTTCGAAAGCTTTAATCAATCAAAATCAATCAAAATCAATCAAAATCAATCAAAATCAATCAAAATCAATCAAAATCAATCAAAATCAATCAAAATCAATCAAAATCAATCAAAATCAATCAAAATCAATCAAAATCAATCAAAATCAATCAAAATCAATCAAAATCAATCAAAATCAATCAAAATCAATCAAAATCAATCAAAATCAATCAAAATCAATCAAAATCAATCAAAATCAATCAAAATCAATCAAAATCAATCAAAATCAATCAAAATCAATCAAAATCAATCAAAATCAATCAAAATCAATCAAAATCAATGGAAAACTCTTTAAGAAAAGTCATAGCTTTTGTTGGTTTGTTGATTGTTGTTTATTTAAGGCTATAAACATCCTAAAAAATCCCGGGTTAGAGAGAGATTTCCCCGGCGTTTTCAGGAGTCCATTGGTGGCCGAGGGGTGACTACCACTCGGCCACCAATGGACTCCAATGGCCAATGGACTCCAATGGCCAATGGACTCCAATGGCCAATGGACTCCAATGGCACAATGGTAGTCACCACTCGGCTTAGGAATACCAAAAACCCTAACAGGGAAATCCTCTCAGGTTCGGCTCCGCTCTTCCTCTTTTAGTAATTCATCTGAGTGATTTTTAGAGTTTTTCAATAAACCAATAGTTCAATAGACCTCTATAGACCTCCATAGACATCTATAGACCTCTATAGACCTCCATAGACATCTATAGACCTCTATAGACCTCCATAGACATCTATAGACCTCTATAGACCTCCATAGACATCTATAGACCTCTATAGACCTCCATAGACATCTATAGACCTCTATAGACCTCCATAGACCACCATAGACCTCTATAGACCTCTATAGACCTCTATACGATTACTGTAGCTTTCTTCAGAAGAGGTTTACGGTAGTTGAAGACTTGCAACACTATTCTCTATGGAGTTACGATCGTTTTCTTAATGCTTATTGCTTTTATAAGGAATTATGGTAGTTTCCTGAAGAGTTTTCGCTATTTTCTCTATGTTTTTCAATAAAAGTACAATAGTTTTTCAATACAAAATTTCGTTTAAACACTTTAAACAAGAATTTTGACTTCCAAAAGATCATTTATTTTCAGTGAAACAAAATAAAACGCTGGTGATTGGAGAGAAGAAATTTGTGCCGATAACAAAAAAGAAAAATCGACCAATCTCAATCAAAATGATCAAGAGGAAAGCGAAAATCTTTTCAAAGCAAACAATTGAAAAGAAAAGACAAGGTAGGGAAAGCTGGATGGAAAATTGACATTTATTGGGATATATTGGGATCTATTGATATCTGTTGGGATCTATTGGGATCTATTGATATCTATTGGTATCTATTGGTATCTATTGGTATCTATTGACTTGAATTCATTGGATTCAAGTCAGTGACATTAATTGATAACAATTAACAACAATTGATATTAAATGACAACAATTGAGAACAATTGAGAACAATTGAGAACAATTGAGAACAATTGAGAACAATTGAGAACAATTGAGAACAATTGAGAACAATTGAGAACAATTGACATCAATTGACATCAACTGGCATCAACTGGCATCAACTGGCATCAATTGACAACAATTGACAACAATTGACATCAATTGAGAACAATTGACATCAACTGACATCAATTGAGAACAATTGACATCAACTGACATCAATTGAAAACAATTGACATCAACTGACATCAATTGAGAACAATTGACATCAACTGACATCAACTGACAACAACTGACATCAATTGACATCAATTGACAACAACTGACATCAATTGACATTAATTATCATCAATTGACAACAATTGACAACAATTGACGGGGTAGGCTAGTTTCCGCAATTTTTTTGCGATCATTTGCGGATCATTTGCGATCACAGGATCATTTGCGTAAAATAACGTCAAATTGGGGGTAGGCTAATTTCCGCAATTTCTTTTGCGCAACAGGATCATTTGCGCAACTGGATCCTTTACGCAACTCACCATAACTTTCTTCTAAGTGAGCCAATCTTTATGATGCCTGGTTTCATTTTGTAGATCTCAATAAGTGCAACAAAATCAAATCAACATCATAAAGATCGGCCGACTTAGAAGAAAGTTATGGCGAGTTGCGCAAAAACGGCCCAGTTGCGCAAAAAAAAAATTTGGCGCAAAGTAGCCTACCCCAAAAAAAAAACAACCATGTTTTATACGAGGGATCGCCATTTTTTGAAATGAAACAATCGTTTCATCAATTTCTAGATTCTCAGCGCTTTCAAAAGCTCTCAATCAACAAAAATCGCGAAAAATTCATCGAATCAACAATTTTCAAGGAAAATCCGGGAAAAAGTTCGAGTTTTTGAGAATTTTTTGAGAAATTCGACAACTTTTCATAGATTTAATTCATTTCTGGATAAACCCCTATGGAAATTACCCTCAAAAAAGCGACTCCTCAAGAAGAAACTTCACAAAAAGCGACGAGTCGACGATGATGATGGATTGGAGGTGAAAAAGATGATAAAGATTTAAAGAAATTCAAAAGTTTCTTTCATTTTTGTGCTATCTGGATGTCACACTAAAAGTTTGATGAAATAAATTCTCTCTAAATTTAAAAATTAAAAAAAAAAAAAATTTCAAATTTTTACCTAAAAGAAATTCTTGAATTTTGAAATAAAATTTTCAAAAGATTTATCAATTTTTGTTCATTCTGGATGTCACAATAGATTATCCAACGTTTAGAAAACGATTCTAAGCCGAATTTGACCGAATTTGACCGAATTTGACCGAATTTGACCGAATTTGACCGAATTTAACCTCATTCCTCATTTCAGGACTTCTACGCGCACCACCGAGTCGAGCATCACGAAGATTTCGCCGGCTCTTTCCGCCGAGCCAAGCGAGCCATCCACAACCAGGTTCTCCAGCTTGCACTCTAGTTTACACTCTAGTTTGCACTCTAGTTTACACTCTAGTTTACACTCTAGTTTGCACTCTAGTTTGCACTCTAGTTTGCACTCCAGTTTGCTCTAACAAAGCAAACAAAATCAAACTCTAGCGGCAGAAAAAAGCCGTAAATAGTTGCGCGTCGTTCTTGAGCCACTAATTAGATATACGTCCCCTTACGCGGCCGGGACCGGCCCCTTTTAGGAGGTTTACTTTCGGGTTCGTTAGAGAGGTTCGACTGTAATTCAAATTCACTATTATAAAATCTCATTTTCCATAAAATCTCATTTTCCACAAAAGCTAATTAATTCAAAGTTTAAGTTGACATCCAACTAGAATCTTGGCCAATTTTTGAATATTACATTAGCCATAGACCACGCAAAATTTGACGCTGAATCCGAATCTGCTTTCCGTTTTGGCTATGGAGCACTCTGTGTCAATAGTTATAAGCGCTCAAAGTTTTGTGAGGAGTTCGTGAGGCACAGTTTGAATTGAATTGAGTTGAAGTTTTTCTTATCTAGAAGTTGCATAAAGCGTCAGATGAAAGATTTGAATTTAATTTAATTTAATTTAATTTAATTTAATTGAATTGAATTTGAATTGAATTAGATTTGAATTGGATTTGATTTTGAATTGAATTGAATTGAATTTGAATTGAATTTGAATTGAATTGAATTTGAATTTGAATTGAATTTGAATTGAATTGAATTTGAATTGAATTGAATTTGAAATTAATTGAATTAGAATTCAATCTCTACCATTTCGTCATTGTTTTTGTATCGTCATTGTATCGCTTCTCTTTTCTAGGAGTCCTATGTGCTTGGCCATGAGTTGGACAGATCCCCGCTTGGGGTAATCTCAAAACAAATCACTCAAATGATCCGGGATCTCAAAGGGAAAGATGAGAACGAAGCAAAAAAGTGAGTGATTGAAATCGTTGCCTAAAGCCTTGCCTAAGAGCTTGCCTAAGAGCTTGCCTAAAGCCTTGCCTAAAGCCTTGCCTAAAGCCTTGCCTGGAACGTTGCCTAAAGCCTTGCCTAAGACCTTGCCTAAGAGCTTGCCTAAGAGTTTGCCTAAGAGCTTGCCTAATCTTTTTCTAACCACCGTAATCCTGAATCCTGGAGTTCAGGCTTATTATAGAATGATTTAACAATTAAATAATGTAATCCTAAAGTTGAGGGTTATTATAGAATGACTCAACTCTTAAATCCCGTAATCCTTCAGTTCAAAGCTGTCATACAAGCTTTTCCTTTCTTGTCTACCGTAGCCCTGTCTACTGTAGCCTTGTCTATCGTAGCCTTTTCTACCGTAGCCTTGTCTACCGTAGCCTTGTCTATCGTAGCCTTGTCTCTATTTTCGTTTGTCTATCGTAGCCTTGTCTCTATTTTCCATCTAATCTCTTTCACTTTTTGCAGATTCTTTGAGACAAAAGAAATTAAAGAAATTAAAGAAATTAAAGAAAACGGTAAATCGAAAATGTTCGAACGAAATCGATTTCAGTTGGAAAACCGTTATCGCTGAGATCTCTGAGAAAGCACGAGAGTTAAAAACGCGTGAGAAAATGCGAACAATGTTGAAGAAACGTGCCGAATACTATGCAAAAGCAGAGAAGAGGGGAGATCTCATGGATTTAGAAATTGATGAGCACAGGCCATTGGCTATGCCGGTGAGTTCACAAGTTCTTTTTGCTCAGTAAGTAATCATCGTCTAAAGTAATCACAGTCTTTCTTAGTAGAGTTTCGTGTACTTTATGGGGTTTAAAACTAGAAACGGATCCTTTCTAGTGTACTTTATTGGTCTAAAACTAGAATGAGATGCTTTCTGGGGTACTTTATCGGCCTAAAACTAGAAACGGATGCTTTCTGGGGTACTTTACCCGTCTAAAACTAGAAACGGATCCTTTCTAGTGTACTTTATCGGTCTAAAACTAGAAACCGCTCCTTTCTTGGTGTACTTTATTGGCTTTAAAACTGAAAAAATCTCTTTCTCGCTGAATTGCCTTTTTTCCCTTTCTAGAAACGAATTCGAATCCTAATTTTAGCATAATCATCATCTTTATTTCCCTTTCCTTTCCAGCGCTAGAGAACATTCGTTTTCACAAAGCAAAGAACAAGGAAAATTTGGAATCCGATTCATTTCAGGAACTTGACGATCTTGATGATAAACTTGAGAAGAAAGAAATGCTGGAACAAGTACGCAAACAAATGAAAAATATGACGACTGAGCAGAAAGCAATGGCTGCACCAATGCAACTTGTAAGACAAGGTAAGTTCAGCTAGCCCACCAACTAGCCCACCAACTAGCCCACCAACTAGCCCACCAACTAGCCCACCAACTAGCCCACCAACTAGCCCACCAACTAGCCCACCAACTACCCCACCAACTAGCCTACCAACTACCCCATCAACTAGCCTACCAGCTAGCCTACCAGCTAGCCTACCACCAATCAAAACTTTGCTTTAGCTGTGAAAATCGGTATGAAGCTATCTGGGAACAATGTAAGCGATTTTGAGAATAAAAACATAAACCTCATCTCACCGCGACTTTTCGCCGTCGTTCCCGAAGATGAAGAGACAAAAAAAGAAGAGGTTAATCTAAAAGTTTATCAAATCAATTGCTAAATCGAAATGCTAACCATTGTGCGCTCCAGATCACACAAATAAATCCAAAAATTAGCTCTCGAGTACACGAGAAGACAATAAACGGCGAATACATATAGACATGTGCAAATCTGTCAGCAAATTTGTCGGGAAATCTGTCGGCAATCTGTCGACCAATCTGTCGACCAATCTGTCGGGGAATCTGTCTGGAATCTGTCGGGGAATCTGTCTGGAATCTGTCGGGGAATCTGTCTGGAATCTGTCGGGGAATCTGTCTGGAATCTGTCTGGAATCTGTCGGGGAATCTGTCTGGAATCTGTCTGGAATCTGTCTGGAATCTGTCTGGAATCTGTCTGGAATCTGTCTGGAATCTGTCTGGAATCTGTCAGCAAATTTGTCGACAAATCTGTCAAATCATGTCCAAATTGTACTCATTCAAAAAAATTCTTTTCCATAAAAACTAATGAATTTAAAGTTTAAGTTGACATCCAATTAAGATCAAGAAAAGTTTTCAGAAACTTTTCTAAACTAGAAGCTTTTTAAATAGTCGATTGAAAATATTCTAGTGATTTTGGTGAAGAGAAAATCAAGAAAAACTCTACTCTTTCAAAAAAACTAAAAAACGGAGAAAATTTTAGATAAACCTTCTCTCACCATCTCTTTTCTCTTTGCATAATGAAGGTGATGGTCTAGAGGACAGTTTATCAATGACAAAAGCATTGGAAACTGTTGGTTTAAACGCGGACACACAAGAATTGATGGATATGATTCTTGAAGCATCTGGAGTTGGGGATGCTGTTGAAAAGATTAAGGTAAGCTTATCAAAAAAGTCAAATCAAAAGAAAAATCAAAAGAAAAACCGAAAGCTTTGAATCTTTCCTTATACCGAAAACACTTTTCAACAAAACAAAAATTCAAATATCGTATTAGAAGTGAATAGAAGTGCTCTAATAGATGCTTTTAATAGAAGTCTTTAATAGAAGTGCTCTCTCTTTAATAGAAGTGCTCTCTAAGCGTTTCAAGAACTCCTCGAAATCTCTAAAAGCGTTTATCAGAACCTATTGATGTGAATCGACAGTTGGTAGGGTCGGAAAATGTAGCTGACGATGAGATCTAGTGGAGGATTTGAGGGTTGAGCTTCTGGGACACTCCTGGACACTTCTGGACACTCCTGGACACTCCTGGACACTTCTGGACACTCCTGGACACTTCTGGACACTCCTGGACACTTCTGGACACTCCTGGGCACTCCTGGACACTTCTGGACACTCCTGGACACTTCTGGACACTCCTGGACACTTCTGGACACTCCTGGACACTTCTGGACACTCCTGGACAATTCTGGACACTCCTGGACACTTCTGGACACTCCTGGACACTTCTGGACACTCATGGACACTTCTGGCTTTTGGGACACTTCTGGACACTTCTGGAAAACTTTGAAACCGTAAAATAGTGATCAACTCGGCTCAGCCGGGTGTGAGATTGGAGAGAGATCAGAGGGAGAATACGGTAAACTAAATCCTTCAACACTTATGGCTTTCAATAACGAAACCTTTAAAGCAATGAAGTTCCATACAGTAAGAGGAGCATTTGAACACAAATCGACAGAACACTCTTCAATAAAATTAGTGAAAAGTATCGCGTTTGGGATCCAGCTTGCATCGTGCGATCGTGCGCTCTGTTGTGATCCACCTTTAACCCACGGAGATCCCAGAAAGTTTGGAAAAGCCAGAGCACAGAGCTGATGATAGACAAGGCTTTAGATTTGCAAGAGATGAAGAGATCGAGAGATTGAGAGATTAAGAGATTGAGAGATCAAGAGATCGAGAGATCAAGAGATGAAGAGATCAAGAGATTGAGAGATGAAGAGATTCTCCCTCCTAGATCCTAGATCCTAAATACTTTTATAATAATTATCGTGTTTCTTCTCGTTTGTTTGCAAACCTCGTGATTCGTGTCTCGAAGATTTGTTTAAAGCATTTCCTCGTTCTTTACCGTTTAAACGATTTGTTGAATCTTCTTTAAATTGAACGTCAAAAGCGGCTTTGATTTCTAAAGCCCTATAGTCTAAAAGTTTTTTGAAGCTTTGAAGGAAAGCTTAGCAAACTTAGTGATCTTAGTGGCCTTAGTGATCAAGCGATCTTTGTAAACTAGTGATCTTAGTGATCAAGCGATCTTAGTGACCTTAGTGTTCAAGCTATCTTAATGATCTTAATGATCTTAATGATCTTAGTGATCAAGCGATCTTAGCGATCTTAGTGACCCTAGTGATCTTTGTGATCTAGCGATCTTAGTGATCAAGCGATCTTAGTGATCTTAGTGATCTTAGTGACCTTAGCGATCTTTGTGACCTTAGTGATCTTTGTGATCTTAGTGATGGAGCGATCTTAATGATCTTAGCGGCCTTAGTGATCGGGATCACTAGGATAGCTAAGATCGCTATCTTAGCTATCCTAGTGATCTTTATAAACTCTGTAATCTTCGCAAACTAGCGATCTTTAGCTATCTTTGGAATCTTAACGTATTCTCATTATTTAAAAATGATCAATAATCAATTTTCTTTCATTACAGAATACAAAATTTGCTGAAATGGAAAAGCGGGAGGAAATCCGTGCACCAAACGGGCAACCACTTTACTGGACAAAGAACAATGTGTCGGAAGCAATGGGAGAAAAAGCAGTAAGAGAAAGAAAAGGGCTAAGGCACTTCTTTAAAGAGTTCAAAAGCTATTGCTATAAGCTATTGTTATAAGCTATTGTTATAAGCTATAAAAGCTTATTTAATCTTTTTCAAAATTCCATATTTCAAAGCTAAAAAAACCAAAAAAAAACCAAAAAAAAAGTCCTTTTTTTTTCAAACAATTATATCTTTAATTGTATTCTTTTTTAAGTAAAGATAACTTTAAAACAGGCTATAATTCCAATACGCTCTATCGAATGATAGGTCTGCCATTTTCCCTGCTTTAGCCATTTTTAAGAAATCGCCTTTTAAAAATCTCGTCTTCATCAAATGACTGTTCTGGCTGATCGGCAGACTTGTTCATTGTACTAAAACGTACTACCGTGTACTATATTCAGTGATTTATCGTACTAAAAGGCTACTAACGAATAGCTAGCTAGGCACGAGTAAGCGATTTGAGTTTCCTTAAAACTTGTTCACCTTCTACGGTGTTCTATGGACTTTCTCTAATACTAGTGCACTCTAAGCATTGCCTAAATGTTCACCTTCTACGGTGTTCTATGGACGAAAGAAAACTCGATTTTAGGTGAAAAAAGTGGACACAATGGAACAATTGCATCGAATGTACACCCCAAAACAGGTATTTTCAAATATTTCATAAAGTAAGTAGCGACTATGAAACAAGATTTCGGTGTACTGACATCCAGCTTGCGTAAATGCCGCCTCTATTTTATCCGCTTGCAAACGCGCGCTCTCTGGCACGCCTGAACTCCATTCCCAAAATTCCGTTTAGCCAGAAGGTGACCGTTTGATGATTTAAGCGGTTATTTGAATGTACTGACATCCAGCTTGCGCAAATACCGTCTCTATTTTATCCGCTTGCAAACGCACGCCATCTGGCACGCCTGAACTCGATTCTACAATCCCGTTTAGCTAGACGGTGACCGTTTGATGATTTAAGCGGTTATTTGAATGTACTGACATCCAGCTTGCGTAAATACCGCCTCTATTTTATCCTCTTGCAAACGCGCGCTCTCTGGCACGCCTGAACTCCATTCCCAAAATTCCGTTTAGCCAGAAAGTGACCGTTTACTGATTTAAGCGGTTATTTGAATGTACTGACATCCAGCTTGCGTAAATACAGCCTCTATTTTATCCTCTTGCAAACGCGCGCTCTCTGGCACACTCGTACTCGATTCCCAAAAAAACCGTTTAGCCAGTCAAAGCAAACTTGAGAGATTTATTCTTTTAAAATACTCTGTGACATCCAGAAATGACTTTCCTAAAACTTTCAAGAGCTTTAAAATCGTTTAAGAACATTTTTGAGGTTCAAAGAAGAAAATTCGAGAAAATTCTCGCATTTTCTTTTAAGAAATCTAATGATTTTACTATTTACGATTTACTATTTACTATTTACTATTTACTATTTACCTACAGTTAGAAGAGATGCGACACTCGGGCTACACAGCGCTCACTCCTCGACAACTCGATTTCGTCTATGGACCCCGATCACCCTACAGTAATACCGAGGCGCTACAGAGATTCAAAAGTAAGTATCGACTATGAAACAAGATGTACTGACATCCAGCTTGCGCAAATACCGCCTCTATTTTGTTCTCTTGCAAACGCGCGCTCTCTGGCACACTCGGACTCGATTTCCCAGAGAGTGCGCTTTTGAAACAGGATTTGAACGAACGCAAATGAGATCCAGCATTCATTTGTAACTTTTCAGAGTCGGATCTGAGCCGGCCGAAAGTCGACGAGGCAATTCATCGAACGATTCGTGATGTGGCGCTTGAAAGAGTTGCATTCAAGGCCGATCCGGAAAATCTCCACAAGCAACTCGACAAATTCGACCAATCCAAGAGAAAAGTAGGCAAAGAAATGTAGCGAAAATGCGTTGTGACAGCCAGATAGAAGATTACTGTAGTCAAAATACAGTATGTTCTTTAGATAAGGGATTACTGTATAACTATAAGTACGGTACAATATCCAGATAGACTTATAGTAACCCAACTAAGAGGTTACTGTGGCCAAAATGCGTTGTGACATCCAGATAGAAGATTACTGTAGCCAAAATACAGTATGTTGTTTAGATAGGGGATTACTGTATAAGTATAAGTATGATACAGTATCCAGATAGATTTATAGTAGTTCAGCTAAGAGTTTACTATAGCTAAAATGTGTTGTGACATCCAGATCGAAGCTTACTGTAGCCAAAATACAGTATGCTGTTTAGGTAAGGGACTACTGTAAGCGGGGTTCACAGGTTACTGTAAGGAGGTCATGCTTTTAAGGAGAATCACAGTGATCTTTTTAGCGCTTTAGTAAGTGTGACATCCAGATCGAAGATTACTGTAACCAAAATACAGTATGCTGTTTAGGTAAGGGACTACTGTAAGCGGGGTTCACAGGTTACTGTAAGGAGGTCATGCTTTTAAGGAGAATCACAGTGATCTTTTTAGCGCTTTAGTAAGTGTGACATCCAGATCGAAGATTACTGTAACCAAAATACAGTATGCTGTTTAGATAAGGGATTACTGTATAACTATAAGTACGGTACAATATCCAGATAGACTTATAGTAACCCAACTAAGAGGTTACTGTAACTAAAATGTGTCGTGACATCCAGATCGAAGATTACTGTAGCCAAAATACAGTATGCTGTTTGGCTAAGGGATTACTGTATAACCATAAGTACGATACAGTATCCAGATAGATTTATAGTAGTTCAGCTAAGAGATTACTGTAGTCAAAATGCGTTGTGATATCCAGATCGAAGCTTACTGTAGCCAAAACTGTCCAAAGCTGCCAGAGAAACAGCTAGATTCTCTAAAACCCTTTCCAGGACATCGTCTTGTCGCCGATCGCTTTCCTGCCAGTCATCGGCGATCCAGCGCTCGTCTCACAGCCACTCATTCTTTCACCGGTCACTAATTCTATATCCATTTCAAAACCTAAATCCTTTTCAGGTAATCTTCTCAGCTCTTGTCGTTTCTCCAGCAATTTTCGGTGCAATCGTTCTCTCTCCATGGCTTTTTGTGGCAGCTATTTTATCGCCACGTATCCTGTCACCGGTTTATTTTATAGAAAACCCTATACAATAGAATTGTGTACTTTTTTTTGAATTTACAGTAGTCCTGAGTCTGTCAAATAGCTATAGAAATAGATATAGAAATTATAGAGTTACTGTTGTACTTAGTACTGTTGTACTTTGTACTGTTGTGCTTTGTACTTAGTACTTAGTACTGTTGTCTTTGACGTTTACTTTGTACTTTGTACTGTTGTACTGTTGTACTTTGTACTTAGTACTTAGTACTGTTGTACTCTTGTACTGTTGTGCTTTGTACTTAGTACTTAGTACTGTTGTACTTTGTACTGTTGTACTTTGTACTTTGTACTGTTGTACTGTTGTACTTTGTACTTAGTACTTAGTACTGTTGTACTCTTGTACTTTGTACTGTTGTACTTTGTACTGTTGTACTGAGTACTGTTGTACTGTTGTACTTTGTACTTTGTACTGTTGTGCTTTGTACTTAGTACTTAGTACTGTTGTACTGTTGTACTTTGTACTGTTGTACTTAGTACTGTTGTACTTTGTACTTTGTACTGTTGTACTGTTGTACTTTGTACTTTGTACTTTGTACTGTTGTACTTTGTACTGTTGTACTTTGTACTTTGTACTTTGTACTTTGTACTTTGTACTGTTGTACTTTGTACTTTGTACTTTGTACTTTGTACTTTGTACTGTTGTACTTTGTACTTTGTACTTTGTACTTTGTACTTTGTACTTTGTACTGTTGTACTTTGTACTGTTGTACTGAGTCGTTTAAAACCTACAATAACTACTTCTGTAGCACCTATTGGCAAAAGAGTGCAAGCTACAGTAACCCTAGATTACTGTAGTACCGGGTTCTTGCTTTGTAATCGAATTTGATCGGATTCAAATTCAACTTTTCACTTTTCAGGTCATCCTCACTCCATTCGGCTTCGTGCCGATTATCTTGACCCCACTTGCTCTCACTCCAGTCATCCTATCACCCGGAATCTTCAATCCATTCGTTCTCTCACCACTTGTCCTTTGCCCGTTCGTCTTATCCCCACAGGTAAAGATGAAACGGGTACAGGCATGCTAGAAGGCTTGCGTTTGCAAGAGCTCAACGTTTAAGTCATAATTGGCCAAGCTGGACCTCACATCATCAAAATAACAGCTCAAATCAGGGACTTGCCGGGAAACAAATCCTCGCTAAAACAAGGGTTCGAGTACGCGTCCGTTAGAAGACGTGCGTTTGCAAGAGCTCAACGTTTAAGCCATAATTGGTCAAGCTGGACCTCACATCACCCAAATAACAGTTCAAATTAGGGTCCTGCAAGCAAATCTACCCTCGCTAAAACAAGGGTTCGAGTACGCGTGCGTTAGAAGACGTGCGTTTGCAAGAGCTCAAAATCAAAGCCATAATTGACCAAGCTGGACCTCACATCACTTAAATAACTGCTTAAGAAGAGTTGCTGCCAACAAACGTGCACCTCAGAAAAACAGACAAACCCAGTTCTAGCATGCCAGAGCCTGTGCGTTTGCAAAATCTCAAATCCCAAGCCATAATCGGCCATTCTGGACCTCACATCACTCGGAAATCTCCTTCCCAATTGACAATCTCAATTTCAGGCATTCACCCCACTGATCCTGACCCCATTCGCCCTGACTCCATTCATCCTCACTCCAAACGTGCTCTCTCCAATCATTCTCTCGCCCTTCGTCCTCTCACCAATCATTCTCTCGCCAGCTTATGTCTCAGCGCTTGTCCTTTCCCCATACGCTCTCTCACCAGCAATCGGTTCAAACGGAGCCGTCGTCTCAGTGGTGGCCTCGCCGAGTTTCTTGTCGTAAGCTACGTTACGTTTTATTGGCTTTTCTATTTTTAAGTCAAATTTCCATTTCAATTGAATAAATTCGGCAAATTTTACACAAAATTTGATTCTCTTAGATGGAAAATTCGGATCTTTACGATTTTTACAAAAAATTTTTGAATTTTACTGTAAAACGGGATTCTAAATCACTAGAAAGTATCAATATTGTCTAAAGGAGTCATTCGTCGAGTTTAGAGAGCGATCGCATCAGTCCCCTAGCTTCCACGGAGTTTAGAGAGCGATCGCATCAGTCCCCTAGCTTCCACGGAGTTTAGAGAGCGATCGCATCAGTCCCCTAGCTTCCACGGATTAGAGGTGATCCATCAGTCCCCTAGCTTCCACGGGTTTAGAGAGTGATCGCATCAGTCCCCTGCTCCACGGGTTTAGAGGTGATCCATCAGTCCCCTAGCTTCCACGGGTTTAGAGGCGATCGCATCAGTCCCCTAGCTTCCACGGGTTTAGAGAGTGATCGCATCAGTCCCCTAGCTTCCACGGAGTTTAGAGAGTGATCGCATCAGTCCCCTAGCTTCCACGGAGTTTAGAGAGTGATCGCATCAGTCCCCTAGCTTCCACGGACGGTTCATCCTAGAAGCCTCTAGAAGTGTAATATGTGATCCAAATAGATTTACAGTATCCCATCCAGCTAAGGGATTACTGTAGCCAAAATGTAGAATGACATCCAGATCGAAGATTACTGTAACCAAAATAAAGTATGCTGTTTAGGTAAGGGATTACTGTAGCTATAAGTGTAAGACTTCAATCCAGATAGACTTCTAGCAACCCAACTAAGAGGTTACTGTAGCCAAAATGCGTTGTGACATCCAGATCAAAGATTACTGTAGTCAAAATACAGTATGCTGTTTAGATAAGGTTACTGTAAGTGGGGTTCACAGGTTACTGTAAATAGGTCATGCTTTTAAAGGAGAATTACGGTGATCTTTTTAAAGCTTTAGTAAGCGTGATATCCAGATCAAAGATTACTGTAGTCAAAATACAGTATGCTGTTTAGATAAGGTTACTGTAAGTGGGGTTCACAGGTTACTGTAAGGAGGTCATGTTTTTAAGGAGAATCAGTAATCTTTTTAGCGCTTTAGTAAGTGTGATATCCAGATCGAAGATTACTGTAGCCAAAATACAGTATGTTGTTTGGATAAGGGATTACTGTATAACTATAAGTACGGTACAATCTCCAGATAGACTTCTAGTAACCCAACTAAGAGATTACTGTAGCTAAAATGCGTCGTGACATCCAGATCGAAGATTACTGTAGCTAAAATACAGTATAGTGTCTTGGTAAGGGATTACTGTATAACTATAAGTACGGTACAATCTCCAGATAGACTTCTAGTAACCCAACTAAGAGTTTACTGTAGCCAAAATGTGTCGTGACATCCAGATCGAAGATTACTGTAGCCAAAATACAGTACGCTGTTTAGGTAAGGGATTACTGTAGCTAAAGTCTAGTAAGCGCTCGAGATCCGAGATTTCCAGCACAGAGAATCGCTTTTTGCCGCTGTTTTCTCCAATTTATAAGAAAAAAAACAAAAAAGGTTTCCTTGATGTTTCCTTGATGTTAAGACTTTCCTTCGTGTTTCCCATTCCAAACGTGTACGTTTTTTTTTCTTTCCTCTTTCACCATTTTTTATCACTTAAAAACTCGGAAAACTACTTGAAAATCGAGGATTTTTTTTCGAATTTGCATATTTGCTTTGAGTTTTAACGCATTTTATGCGTCAATTTTTCGGTAATTCTTTCTTTTTTTCGTGTGCAATCACTGCAATCACTATCATCTCTCATCAAATTTTTAGTGCAATTTCCCTGCAATTTCCCTGCAATTTCCCTGCAATTTCCCTGCAATTTCCCTGCAATTTCCTTGCTATTTCCCTGCTATTTCCCTGCTATTTCATGCTATTTTGTGCTAGTTTTTCTTTTTAAATTGAACATTTTCTCGTCAAATCTTGATGTTTTTATTTAAAATTTCAATCTTTTAATAAAAATTTGTGATTTTTTTTTTTTTTTGTTTCCAATGAAGCTTTCTTTTGAAGAGGAAAAGTGAGGAAAAATGAGGAATACAGGGGAATTCTTTGAGAAGAAAAAGCGTCTCCTCTACGATTAGTTGAGCATCGTCTACTCTACGATTAGCTGAGCATCGTTTCCTCTACGATTAGCAGGTTGTCCTGGTGGTCCAGGTGATCCGGCTGGGTCCAGGTAGTCCTAAGCAAATTCTAGAGATCAAAATCTTATCCAGTGACTTCCAGAATACAATAATCCTATCTCAAATCCTAAGATAATCAAATTCTAGATCAGAAATCTTATCCAGCTCCTTTCAAGGCTCATTTCAAGGCCCCTCTCTGACCTCCGTTTCCTTGTGGTCCAGCCTCTCCATCATTTCCGTCTTGTCCAGGCTGTCCGGGTTGTCCATCGTTTCCATTGTCTCCAGGTGGTCCCTAGGAATTGCATCAGTCATCATAAAGCTTCAACTGTCTCACCTGTGGTCCATCTTGTCCAGGTCCTCCAGGAGCTCCAGGCTGTCCATCGGCTCCAGGCTGTCCTTGGGGTCCTGGTGCTCCAGGTGGTCCAGCTGGGGCAGGCACCTCAGACACAGTTCCATCAGGTCCCTTGTCTCCTGGTTGTCCAGCAGCTCCATCCTGTCCAGGTGGTCCTTGGGGTCCAGGAGCTCCATCTTGACCGGGTTGTCCGTCAGGTCCGGGTTGTCCATCACCTCCAGGGTTTCCGTTAGGTCCCTAGAAATAGACTCTGTACTAGTACAGTCAGCTACAGTAATCCCACCTTTGGTCCAGCATTTCCAGCAGCTCCGGGAGGTCCAGCTGGGCAATCAAAGCAGAAATCGTCAGCAGATGGCTGAGCATCAGGAGCAGCATCCTCTCCGTCTTGTCCGTTGTCTCCTGGAGCTCCATCTTGTCCATCATTTCCATCATCTCCTTTTTTTTCTACAGATAGGAGATTTTACGGACGAATTGACTGCATTTAGTAACGTTTTTCCGAGCATTTTTTGATAGATTTCAATCGAATAAAGCTCTTTATTCAGTGAAAATTCTGTACAATGAAAGAAAAGAAAGAAAGAAAAGAAAGAAAAGAGAGAGAGAAAAGAAAAAAAGAAAATAAAGAAAGAAAATAAAAAAAGAAAATGTCATGGCGCAAAATTGATGTAAAAATTTGACCAAAAACAGCTGAAAGACTGGGGTTTTTTCAGAGAAATTCTACAATTTACAACTAAATAGAAAGCTTTTGTAAACAGAAAATCATATCCAAAGCTGCGCATACGGTAGCCGATCGATTCTCTAGTATCCGGGAGCGGTTCTTGGGGGTGGGCAATGATCGCAGCCACCTGAAAATTGTTGGAATGATTCGTTTAGAGATTAAAACTTGTCTAGTGACTTCCAGGATACAGTAATCCTGTCTCAAATCATAAAATAATCAAATTCTAGATCTGGAATCTTATCCAGTGACTTCCAGGATACAGTAATCCTGTCTGAAAAGTTGAGCTAAGCAAATTCTAGAGATTAAAACTTGTCTAGTGACTTCCAGAACACAGTAATCTTGTCTGAAAGTTGAGCTAAGCAAATTCTAGAGATTAAAACCTGTCTAGTGACTTCCAGGATACAGTAATCCTGTCTGAAAAGTTGAGCTAAGCAAATTCTAGAGATTAAAACTTGTCTAGTGACTTCCAGAACAAAGTAATCTTGTCTGAAAAGTTGAGCTAAGCAAATTCTAGAGAATAAAACTTGTCTAGTGACTTCCAGGATACAGTAATCCTGTCTCAAACCTTCAATCTATACGCTTACACTCACCCTTTGGCCCTTGATCTCCAGCCGATCCTGGCGCGCCATCGAGACCGGATTGACCGTTGTGACCGTCTCTTCCATTGTCGCCGACGGGGCCCTGGAAAGTTTGGATACGTATATCTAGCTACAGTACTCCCCAAACACTATCACCTCTAATTTTCCTGTTTCTTACGAATTAGCATACTGTAAAGACTGAAAAAAAGCTGTGAAATCAGAAATTTATCGAATCCAACAATACGGTACCAACTACAGCTAATCTACAGTATTCTAACCCTAATAACTTTCTGGTCACCTGTGGACCATCTTGTCCAGCCTGTCCGGGGGCTCCAGCGGGGCCTTGGGGTCCGGACTGTCCACGGGGGCCAGCGGGTCCAGGTGGCCCGGCTGGGGCTGGGACAGTGTTGACGACTCCCGGTCTTCCCGAGTGTCCCTTTTGTCCTGCTTGTCCTGGGTGTCCGGGTGGTCCTCGGGGTCCAGCAGCTCCGTCTTGTCCTGGTTGTCCATCAGGGCCAGTTTGGCCATCAGCACCGGGTTGACCATCAGGTCCCTAGATTTGAAATTATAATTTGCGTACCTCTGGAAATTGCAGTGTGACATCCAGATGGACTACAGTAACCCTAGAGTCCCCAGTTTGTCTACAGTAACCTTTGGAAATTGCAGTGTGACATCCAGGTGGACTACAGTAACCCTAGAGTCCCCAGTTTGTCTACAGTAACCTTTGGAAATTGCAGTGTGACATCCAGGTGGACTACAGTAACCCTAGAGTCCCAGTTTGTCTACAGTAACCTTTGGAAATTCAGTGTGACATCCAGGTGGACTACAGTAACCCTAGAGTCCCCAGTTTGTCTACAGTAGCCCCACCTTTGGCCCTCTATTTCCGGCGGATCCAGGTGGGCCGGCTGGGCAATCAAAGCAGAAATCATCAGCGGTTGGCTGAGCATCAGGAGCGGCGTCCTCTCCGTCTTGTCCATTGTCTCCTGAAGCTCCATCCTTTCCATTACTTCCATCGTCTCCCGGGGGTCCAGGTGGTCCTGAAATGTACAGTAATTGCTAGAAAACGAGTTAGTAAGTCTCACCAGCGACACCAACTCCACATGAGCAACAAGAGGCACCGGCGGATGCGGACGAGTCGGCGACAGCCGCATCACCGTATGAGGCAGCAGGCTGAATTTTCAAGTTTATGGGAATATTGGAAAATCGTATACCTCTACCTGTGCATGCACTGGACTCTCGTATCCGGCTTGTCTCTTCACCAGATTTTTCACTCCCTTCACTGCCGCCATTTTCTCGTACTGTGCGTACAAACCGGTTGTGCGGTGTTTACAGAAATCCACCTGGAATTAGAACAGGGTTACAATCCAGCCTAAGCCAGCTAGCTAGCCAGCCAGCCAGCTAGCTAGCCAGCCAGCTAGCCAGCCAGCTAGCCAGCCAGCTAGCCAGCCAGCCAGCTAGCCAGCCAGCCAGCCAGCCAGCTAGCTAGCCAGCCAGCCAGCTAGCTAGCCAGCCAGCCAGCTAGCTAGCCAGCCAGCCAGCTAGCCAGCCAAGACAAACCTCGGTTTGAAGCGACGATTGAACGTGTTGCATATAGTTGTAGAGAGCCGGAATGGCCACAATGCAAGTCAGCGTGGCGACGGTGCTGAAATGGGAAAATTTAATGAGATTATGCAATGGAAAGTGCTCTGTGACATCCAACTTGGGGTTTGAAAGCGGGAAATGCCATTTGGGAACAATAGAAAGAGTGAAAATAGGCAAGTTTCAGAGAGGGGGGCGCCGGTTTCAGAAGAACATGTAAAAGTATTTGAATAACTTTAAAATTGTATAGTGTGCTATCTAGATAGACGAAATCAGCTTAAATCAATAGTGGCTAGGGTCTTAGATTTCTAAAAACTAACGCCAACACGTAGCTACAGTAATCCTGTCCCTGTATATAGAGATAGTGCATAGTAAAGATATGGAAATTGTAGTGTGACATCCAGATAGACGAAATCGGCTTAAATCTCTATAGGCTATAGTCTTAAATTCTTTGAAATTAGCGTCAACTCGTAGCTACAGTAATCCCATCGCTGTATACAGAGATAGTGCATAGTAAAGCTATGGAAATTGTAGTGTGACATCCAGATAGACAAATTCAGCTTAAATCTCTATAGCCTATAGTCTTAAATTCTTTGAAATTAGCGTCAACTCGTAGCTACAGTAATCCCTATTACATAACTGTACTATAATGTCTAAGTACAGTATCGAAATTGTAGTGTGCCCTCCAGCTAAGAGAAATAAACTCTAAAAAGTATTGGCAATGGTGCTAGATTTTTAGAAATTAACGCCAACACCTAACTACAGTGATCTCTATTGGAAAAGCCATCCATAAAGGATGGCTAAATGAAGAAAGTCCACTGACCTGATGGCCACGCCGAAGAAAGCGGTTTTCCGAAGGCTTTCCGCCTCTCGAATTTGCTCTTTTTCGTTGGAAATCATTTTGGGAAAAGGAAGAGATTCGAAAATCGTCAGAAAATCGTCGACAAAATCCAACCTTTCGCCTTTCAACAATTCCCCGATATTTATATGCCACTTTGTAGAGAGGGCATTGTCCTTCTTTTTTTTCCTTTTTTTCTGTTAGCAAATTTTCGCGCTTTCTTTTCTTTTCCCCCAAAAGAAAAAAACGATTCGAATTTCGAGGATGACCCCCAAATTTCTCACTTTTCTCATAAAAAAAATCGCAAATTTCCATTGTTTTTTTTTTTCTGCCAATCCTGGATAGTATTTGAGAAATTTGGATAGGAAATATATGAGAAAAGATTGAGAAAAGATTGATGAGAAAAGATTTATGAGATTATCATTGTAAAAAATCTCACCATTTTTTTTTTTTTTGCTCTTATTTTCTCTGTTTTATGAGTGTCTAAAGCTAAGAAAGCATTAAAAATCGTTTTTTTTTCCTGGTTTACACTGGGTACACTGGGCACAATAGTTAGACTACAGTAATCCAGAGAAGTTAGACTATAGGTAATCCAGTTAGGCAATCCATCTAGATACTGTATTCTATCTAATAGGGTAGGCGTCACCTAAATTGCTTGAGATAGAAATAGTACATAGTAAAGCTATGGAAATTGTAGTGTGACATCCAGATGGGCGAAATCGCCTTAAATCTCTATAGACTATAGTCTTAAATTCTTAGAAATTAGCGTCAACACGTAGCTACAGTAATCCCATCGCTGTATACAGAGATAGTGCATAGTAAAGCTATGGAAATTGTAGTGTGACATCCAGATAGACAAATTCAGCTTAAATCTCTATAGACTATAGTCTTAAATTCTTAGAAATTAGCGTCAACACGTAGCTACAGTAATCCCATCGCTGTATACAGAGATAGTGCATAGTAAAGCTATGGAAATTGTAGTGTGACATCCAGATAGACAAATTCAGCTTAAATCTCTATAGACTATAGTCTTAAATTCTTAGAAATTAGCGTCAACACGTAGCTACAGTAATCTCATCACCGTATATAGAATTGTCGCTGTTATTTGTTATTGTCTCTGTTATTTGACTGTCTAAAGCTAAGAAATCATTAAAAATTATTTTCCGGGTTTACACTGAGTACAATAGTTAGACTACAGTAATCCAGAGAAGTTAGACTACAGGTAATCCAGTTAGACAATGCATCTAGATACTGTATTCTCTCTAATAGAAGTGAGCGTCGCCTAAATTGCTCGAAATCTCGAGAACCGCTTATCAGAACCTATCGATGTGGGGTCGGAAAATGTAGCTGACGATGAGATCTAGCGGCGGATTTAAGGGTTGAGCTTATGGGAAAGATTTGAAACTGTAAAATAGGCATCAACTCGGCTCAACTCATGCTCAGCGGGGTGTGAGATCAGAGAGAGTACGGTAACGACTTTTTAGATCTAACGACTCCATTTTGCGGTCCCGACAGAGTCATTATATCAGAGAGAGTACGGTAATAGCTGCCTAGCTTAATTTTAATCAATAGTTAGCCTACAGTAACCCTACAGAAATCAATAGGTTTATAAGTTTTCTTTTAATGGATAACCTCATTTTATTGATGATTTGGTTTTAATGCAAATCAATCTATCAACTATTTTTAAGCTCTTTATTCTAAGCTCTTTATTCTAAGCTCTTGATTCTAAGCTCTTGATTCTAAGCTCTTGATTCCAAGCTCTTTATTCTAAGCTCTTGATTCTAAGCTCTTTATTCTAAGCTCTTGATTCTAAGCTCTTGATTAAGCTCTTGATTCTAAGCTCTTTATTTTAAGCTCTCAAAATCATTCACTAGAATCATTCACTTTATTCACTAGAATAAATACTGTTAAACATCGATTTAACAATTATCAAAGCATTATTAAAAGCTCTATTGTTAAATCAAACGCATTTATAAGGTAAGCTTCCAAGGGACTTAAAAATTGACATCACTAAATCGAGAGTGTCGTTAAATCGAGGTTTGACTGTAGTAAGCAGATAGTACAGGGTTAAGAGCTGAATCCCTAGCGCTCAATCCAAGGCTCCATCCAAGACTCCATCCAAGGCTCCATCCAAGGCTCCATCCAAGGCTCCATCCAAGGCTCGATCCAAGACTCCATCCAAGGCTCGATCCAAGGCTCCATTCAAGTGAAAGTGCAGAACAAGTCGTTAGAAATCTGGTCTAGCAAGACCATTTTCTCTGGCAAAGATTTGGCTGACTTTTTTGCTGAGTTGTTTGCTTAGAGTATCAATACCGATCAATTTCCATTAGATAGGCTCTTCAAAATTCTTGAGTCGGCTCTTGAATCGAGAATTGAGGCGAATTGATCGGATCGATCGGCGCATCAGAAAAAATCCGAACTTTTCTCCGATCCAAAAGGCTGAGTCGAAAAGTCGAAAAGTCGAATGAATCAAAAAAAGAAAGACAAAGAAAGGCGAGAAATCAAAAATGTGACTGATCTTCTAGGCCATGGAGGACCATGAAGGAGCATAAACATCGTCCCATAAAGCATAAAAAGTATTGGCATCTCCATAATCTCCAGCTATTGGCATCTCCAGCTGTTTCCAATAGGGATCACTGTAGTTAGGTGTTGGCGTTAATTTCTAAAAATCTAACACCATTACGAATACTTTTTAGAGTTTATTTCTTATATCTGGAGGGCACACTACAATTTCTATACTGTACTTACACGTTATAGCACAGTTATGTAATAGGGATTACTGTAGCTACGAGTTGACGCTAATTTCAAAGAATTTAAGACTATAGGCTATAGAGATTTAAGGCGATTTCGTCTATCTGGATGTCACACTACAATTTCCATAGTTATACTATGCACTATCTCTGTATACAGTGATGGGATTACTGTAGCTACGAGTTGACGCTAATTTCAAAGAATTTAAGACTATAGCCTATAGAGATTTAAGGCGATTTCGCCCATCTGGATGTCACACTACAATTCCCATAGCTGTACTATGCACTATCTCTGTATACAGTGATGGGATTACTGTAGCTACGAGTTGACGCTAATTTCAAAGAATTTAAGACTATAGGCTATAGAGATTTAAGGCGATTTCGTCTATCTGGATGTCACACTACAATTTCCATAGCTGTACTATGCACTATCTCTGTATACAGTGTGGGATTCTGTAGCTACGAGTTGACGCTAATTTCAAAGAATTTAAGACTATAGGCTATAGAGATTTAAGGCGATTTCGTCTATCTGGATGTCACACTACAATTTCCATAGCTGTACTATGCACTATCTCTGTATACAGTGATGGGATTACTGTAGCTACGAGTTGACGCTAATTTCAAAGAATTTAAGACTATAGGCTATAGAGATTTAAGGCGATTTCGTCTATCTGGATGTCACACTACAATTTCCATAGTTATACTATGCACTATCTCTGTATACAGTGATGGGATTACTGTAGCTACGAGTTGACGCTAATTTCAAAGAATTTAAGACTATAGCCTATAGAGATTTAAGGCGATTTCGCCCATCTGGATGTCACACTACAATTTCCATAGCTGTACTATGCACTATCTCTGTATACAGTGATGGGATTACTGTAGCTACGAGTTGACGCTAATTTCTAAGAATTTAAGACTATAGGCTATAGAGATTTAAGACGATTTCGTCTATCTGGATGTCACCCTACAATTCCCATAGCTGTACTATGTGCTATTCGGTGATTGGATAAGATCATAACATAAAATCTTATGTAGAGTGTTCTAGAATCCCGTTTTCTTTTATATTATATTCAAATCTTTTGAAAAGTGTGAATAGTTTAAATATTAGATATTAGATATTAAATATTAAATATCAGAGTGTTTAAAAAAGTAGAAAGTCTATTTATTCGACACGAATAACGAATTACAATACAACGAAGGAAATTTGTTTTCTGAAATTACCCCTATTACCCAAATGTTGCTAAGAAAAAACCCATAATAATGGAAAAAAAGAACCAATGTTTTTAGCCGCTGGGATCGAACCGTTCACTAGGAGACTAGGAGACTAGGCGACTAGGAGACAAGGCTCCAATCTAGACAAGACTCCAATCTAGACAAGACTCCAATCTAGACAAGGTTCCATTCTAGACAAGGCTCCTATCTAGACAAGGCTCCTATCTAGACAAGGCTCCTATCTAGACAAGGCTCCTATCTAGACAAGACTCTTATCTAGCCGAGACTCCAAGACAGGCTACGACGGCTAGGACTTAGGTTAAAATTACAGAACAATCGTACTTTAGGTATAAAGTCGATAAAAGAATGTTAACCATTGTTGTGGATGGTTGTTAAGATTTTTGGGATGTAGAACTCGGTAATCTTTTTGTATTCAATACATCAAACATTGAGATGATTAAAGTTTAAAAAGCTCATTTGCTTTCAAGGATACGATAATCCTTTATCAAAAACATACCAATAAACCTTTTCTTTCAGTAAAAAATCAAGTCAGAACTTTTTCCGATCTTTTTCTTTCCTTTCCTTTTCTTTCCTTTTCTTCCCTTTCCCTTCCTTTTCTTTCCTTTTCTTCCCTTTCTTTCCTTTCTTTCCTTTTCTTCCCTTTCTTTCCCTTTCTTTCCCTTCCTTTCCCTTCCTTTTCTTTTTATTGACTCCAGGTAATGAATTGAAAAAAGTGAGACAAGGAAAGGAAAGAAAATCGAAAGTATGACAAGAGCTTTTGCTTTTTCATTGCTTTCATTGCTTTCATTTCTTTTATTTCATTCGATGTTCCAAACGGATAAACTGAAACATTTACCCAAAAGAAGCTAGAATAACAGAAATTCTAACAATCAAATTCGATACTTATGCTCTGAATCTACTTTACTGATTGTCGTAGTATTACTAAAGTTTTTGCTAAGCCATGAGAGTTTCAAGCTCTCATGGCTTTCAAGTTCTCATGGCTTTCAAGCTCTCATGGCTTTCAAGCTCAAGCTCTCATGGCTGAGATCCGTAGATTTCAACTCCATTCAAACATTCAGCCAATCAAAATTAACAACGACGCAACTGTACGCCCGATTGCATTTGATTGCATTTGGTTGCATTTGACGGCGGCCATTTGCGGCCATTTGTGGCCATTCGCTTATCCGAAACTAGAAAATGAGATTTATTAAAGCTTAAGCTGTTTTTGCTAAACTTTATTCTATTAAAAGTTACCAAAATGCCAGAAACTGGAGTGAAATGTGCGTCTGTAATGCTTTAGAAGCTCCTTGCTGCTTTAGAAGCTCCACTTTGCTTTGCGATCACTTTCTCCAAAGAATACCCGAATAGTTTATTTTCACTGCTACTACTGCTGCTGTACAAACAAAACGATTTGAGCAACAAGAGAATGGGTATACGGTAATCGATCCATTCTCTAGTATCCGGGAGCGGTTCTTGGGGGTGGGCAATGGTCGCAGCCACCTGAAAATTGTTTGGAATCATTCTTTTAGAAATTAAAATCTTATCCAGTGACTTCCAGAATACAATAATCCTATCTCAAATCCTAAGATAATCAAATTCTAGATCAGAAATCTTATCCAGCTCCTTTCAAGGCTCCTTTCAAGGCCCCTCTCTGACCTCCGTTTCCTTGTGGTCCAGCCTCTCCATCATTTCCGTCTTGTCCAGGCTGTCCGGGTTGTCCATCGTTTCCATTGTCTCCAGGTGGTCCCTAGGAATTGCATCAGTCATCATAAAGCTTCAACTGTCTCACCTGTGGTCCATCTTGTCCAGGTCCTCCAGGAGCTCCAGGCTGTCCATCGGCTCCAGGCTGTCCTTGGGGTCCTGGTGCTCCAGGTGGTCCAGCTGGGGCAGGCACCTCAGACACAGTTCCATCAGGTCCCTTGTCTCCTGGTTGTCCAGCAGCTCCATCCTGTCCAGGTGGTCCTTGGGGTCCAGGAGCTCCATCTTGACCGGGTTGTCCGTCAGGTCCGGGTTGTCCATCACCTCCAGGGTTTCCGTTAGGTCCCTAGAAATAGACTCTGTACTAGTACAGTCAGCTACAGTAATCCCACCTTTGGTCCAGCATTTCCAGCAGCTCCGGGAGGTCCAGCTGGGCAATCAAAGCAGAAATCGTCAGCAGATGGCTGAGCATCAGGAGCAGCATCCTCTCCGTCTTGTCCGTTGTCTCCTGGAGCTCCATCTTGTCCATCATTTCCATCATCTCCGGGAGGTCCAGCGGGTCCTAGAATTGGGATTCTTTTCAAGCATCTTTTCAATTCCACTCACCAGCCTCTCCAACTCCGCACGAGCAGCACGATCCACCGCCAGCCTCGGCTCCAGTGCTTGCCACAGCTGAATCGTAGCCGCCAGGTTTCGGCGCCTCTACTGGGCTATCGTATCCGGCTTGCCTCTTGGCAATCATCTTTCCGCGAACTCCTTTCACCACTTGCATTCGTTCGTATTGTTGGAAAAGGCCGTCAGTGCGGTGTTTGCAGAATTCCACCTGAGTTTTTAGATTTGATTTGATTTGATTCAACAAAGCTACAGTAATCCATAGCTACAGCAGCCTACAGCTACAGTAGCTTAGTTTAATAAGCTACAGTAACCATCCCGTAGACTACAGCTGACAAACCTCGGTCTGAAGCGACGATTGAACGTGTTGCATATAGTTGTAAAGAGCCGGAATGGCCACAATGCAAGTCAGCGTGGCGACGGTGCTGAAATGGGGAAAGTTGAAGGGTTTATGCAATGGAGAGTGCTCTGTGACATCCAGCTTGGTGTTTGGCAGCGCGCAAAAGTTACTGTAGGATGGGTAAAGTGGATAAAATGCGGAGGTAAGGAGCGAGCGTTGCTAGGAGGTTGTAACCTTTCAACTAATTTAGCAGCTATGTACCCTATAGTCTTGTGTGACATCCAGATTGCGCTTTGCGAGTACAAAAAGTTACTGTAGACGCAGCTGGGCGGATGAAATGGTTTGGTAAAGGTTTAGGGATTCCTGGGCGCTGTTTAAATGGTGCCTTGATGTTATTTAGTATTTTAGTACTGTAGAAACTATTGTAAACTGATAAAAGACGGATTGGGAGTACGGTAGACTACGGTAGACTACGGTAGACTACAGTAAACCAAGTCTGGTCTGGATTACTGTAGTCTACCGTCTACCCTAGAGGTTTTTATTGGGATTGAAGTTTTAAAAATAGACTCTTAGCCATGTGTGACATCCAGATAGCATCTAGATATCGAAAGGATTTCAGAAATGTTAGCGTAGAGCCAAGAAATCGCCTGGACTCGGATCCTTGAAATGAGTTCGAAACAAACTTTCAAGTAACCCCATCCAAACAGCTTAACCACTCAAGTGACTTCCAGATTAGCCGTAAAAGAAAGCCGTATCAAAAGAAAGCCCAGCAAACAGCTTTACCTGATGGCAACACCGGCAAAAGCGATTCGGCGAAGGCTTTCCGCCTCTCGGTAGGCCTGCTTCTCGTCGTTGGAGTTCATGTTTGCGAAGGAATGTAAAGAGAAAGCTGTGGAAAGACAACAGCCGCTGACCTAACCTCGGAATGAATGGGTTTATATAGGGCGGGGAAGGGGGAAGGGTCGACCCTGGGGCTGGCATGAACTTGAACCCCTTAAGGCTGTAACGGGCGGGAAAGAGAGTTATAGACAATGGTAGATTCATCAGAGATTCATTAGAGATTCATGAGAGATTCCAGATTAGAGGCTACCTCGAGATACAGAATAGTGAGTAGAAGAGGAAGAAGAGAAAGAAGATGGAGAAGAGAAAGAAGATGGAGAAGAGGAAGAAGAGGAAGAAGAAGAAGAAGAAGAAGAAGAAGAGGAGGAAGAGGAGGAAGAGAAAGAAGAGAAAGAAGAGGAAGAAGAGGAAGAAGAGGAAGAAGGTGGAATGGAGAGACTCTGAAGAGGCAGAGAATAAGCGTAAAGGAGGAAAGAGTTTTAAGGAAAAGCTAGAGAATGTCGGGGAATGAATCTAGGAGATCAAGAAATGTAGAGAGATGAGAAAGCTCATGACAATGCTCACGACAATGCTGATCAGAGATCTTGAAAGCTTTTGATGATAGATAGAGACTTCACTGAGACACAGGAAAGCTGTGGAATGAGATTTGGAGGAAAGACTTCAATGAGAGATGAGATGGGTAGAAAATGAGAGAGTTGAAGAGAGATTAGAAAGGAGTTGGAGAGATCAAGACTAAAGCTATGATGCTGGAAGATTCAGCTCGATGTTAGAGATGTTAGAGATGAGGCAAAAGAGAGATAGAACGGCTGAGAGAGTCAGGCTAAAGGCTAAAGGGTAGAGCTAGAGCTAGAACTGGATATTAGAGATATTGGATAAAGCTCTAGAGGTACAGAAGAATGAAAATCTTCTCTAGATATTTAGAGCCAGATAGAAAAGATAGAAAAACACTGCTAAATCCAATAAGAAAGCTAAGAAAGCTGACTTTCACTTGGCTAATGTTCTCGCTTTTCGATGTTCTCTTAGTTTTTGAGCATTAGCTTAGATTTCAATGGTGACAAGCTTACCCACGCAAAAATCCGAACCGATCTGATCGAGAGATTGATGACTCTAGAGATAGAGGAACGATTAGTGCTTAGCAATAAGGTTTGTAAGCTACAAGTTGTAAGCTACAAGCTATAGCTGTAAGTTACAACTGTAAGCTATAAGCTGAAGCTATAAGCTGAAGCTATAAGCTGAAGCTATAAGCTGAAGCTATAAGCTGAAGCTATAAGCTGAAGCTGTAAGCTGAAGCTAGAGCTTGTAAGCTTTCCTTTAGCTACTCAGTTACTCAAAACTTTTTAGATCTGTTTCTAGATTTGTTTCTAGAGCTGTTTCTAGATTTGTTTCTAGAGCTGTTTCTAGATTTGCTTCTTTCTAGACTCTAATCTTTTGCCTACCCAGCTGTACTCCAATTAAATAACGAAAACTTTAGCCTATTTCCTTTCTAGTCAAGCTCTACCCCTTCCAAAGCTATGCTAGAACTAAAAACTCAAACCCTCCAATATCCAATCTGCACTCCAACTAGCTCAACGCTAAACTCTCGAAATCGTTTTCCATTTCAGTATCGAAATTTTTAGCCTTAAAGTCCGAGCTTTGCTTTAAAAAGCAAAATTCTAAAAGAATTCTAAGAATTTGAACACTCACAGCTGAGAGCTGACAGCTAAGCTAAGCTAAGCTGACAGGCTAAGCTAGGTTGACAGGCTAAGCTAGGCTGACAGGCTAAGCTAAGCTGACAGGCTAAGCTAGGTTGACAGGCTAAGCTAGGCTGACAGGCTAAGCTAGGCTGACAGGCTAAGCTGTAAGCTGAACTAAAGGAAATCCAACTCCAACTCCAACTCCAATCCAACTCCAATCCAACTTCAATCCAACTCCAATCCAACTCCAATCCAACTCCAATCCAACTCCAATCCAACTCCAATCCAACTTCATCCCAACTTCATCCCAACTTCAATCCAATCCAACTTCAAAAAAACATTGTCTATCTAAGAATCTAAGTGATTTCCCCCGTAACGAGTTCTATACAGTTTTTTTTTGTCTTTCCCTTTTCCCCTTTTTCCCCTAAAGAGTGTGTGTAAATGGCAAAGCTTTTTTCAGTTTTTTTTCCTTTTTTTCTTTTAAAGTTTTTCTCTTTCGAAATGTAATTGAAACCTCCTCTTCAATCAGCTCTTTTTAAGCTTTTTTTTTGTTTTTTTTGTCTTAAGAAAGAAAGAAAATAGCCTTGAAAATTTGGGTAAAGGCTGAGAGAAGTTTGAAAGTGATTAACTGGGAAGGAACTGGGAAAGAACTGGGAAAGAACTGGGAAATGATCGTGCCTGGGGGGTTGGGATGGCTGTTCGATAGTTGGCGAGTCGTTAGGGAACTGTTGGGAACTTCGATAGTTGGCGAGTCGTTACGGAACTTGGATCCCTGTTGTATTTGAGTCGAAGCGTTTCACAAAGCTTTATATCCACATTTCTCGATCGCTTTTAGTAATTAGAGGCTTTTAAAAACGCTTTTAAAAAGGCTTTAAAGGATTTCCTGATTTCTACAAGAGTTCTTTCTTTTGCTAGAGTTCTTTCTTTTGCTAGAGTTCTTTCTTTTACTAGAGTCCTAAAATCATCTTTACAGCGTTGAAAATAAACTCGTTTGGGTATAAAACGCTTTACTTATTGAGTTTACTAGAGTTTACTAGAGTTTACTAGAGTTTACTAGAGTTTACTAGAGTTTACTAGAGTTTACTAGAGCGTTTACAAAGTGAGCTGGAGTTGCGATTGACTGGGGAACGATTTTGATTGTATTTATGTGACTTGTATTTTATTGGATTTCGGATTCCGGATTTCGATTCTGGATTCTTATTAGATAACTAAAAAGATAACATTTACTAGCATAAGATCATTTAAACAAGTCAGGGCTTAGGCTTAGGCTTAGGCTCAGGCATAGGCTCATGCTTAGGCTTAGGCTCATGCTTAGGCTTAGGCTTAGGCTTAGACTCAGGCTTAGGCATAGGCTTAGGCTTAGGCTTAGGCTTAGGCTCAGGCTTAGACTTAGGTAAATTAGAAACTTTAGTAATTAGAGGCTATGAAACTATCGACTTCTACAAGATAACTAAAAAGTTTAACCAAAAAATAACATTTACTGGTCATAAGATCATTTAAACAACTTTCAACAATAAAAGGCTCGAAAACTCAACACTCCACGCAACACTCCGCGCAACACTCCACGCAACACTCCACGCAACACTCCGCTCAACACTCCGCGCAACACTCCACGCAACACTCCGCTCAACACTAGCAGCCTCTTTTTAGTACGTTTTATACTCAGAGCAATCTCAGTCTGGCTAGTAAAGTTTTGACTCGAAATTCTTCAGCTATTCCAGCTCTAACACTATTTTAAAGCTGTAAAACTTTCGAATTGATCAGAAAAAAGGAATTCTTTTGTTTTAAAATGCTATAAATGTCCTTCAAAATGGCAAAAAAAATCGCCAATAGCACTTTTTCGCTTTTCTCTATAGTGAACTCATAAAAAAAAGCGCTTTTTCTCGATTTTTCTTTTGACAAAGAAACATTTCTTTTTTAGATTTTGCCATTAAACAAAGGATGATCGAAATATTAGGAAAAGAATGCCGAAATGAATGAATGAATGAATGAATGAATGAATGATCTTTTGATTGAAGGTAAAAGAGTCGAGAGTGAGAAGTTCAAAGCTGCACTTTTGAAATATTCGGCTTGAAATTCGGCTTGAACACTTGGAAATGCTAGCAAGCTTTTAGAAGTAAACTAAATCTAAGCCTGGAAAAGCTGTGCTAAGAATTTTTGGATCTGTATCGGACTATCGGATAGGTTCTAACTATTCTATAGCGATAAGCACAAGATCTTCGTTATCAAGATCGACTTTTCTTGCTTAGGGACATGGTTTGAAAGAGAGCTGATTGGTTTGGTTTGGTTTGGTTTAGCTTTGCTTAGCTTGGCTTGGCTTGGCTTGGCTTGGCTTAGCTTGGCTTGGCTTGGCTTGGCTTGGCTTGGCTTGGCTTGGCTTGGCTTAGCTTGGCTTGGCTTGGCTTAGGCTTGGCTTGGCTTGGCTTTGCTTAGCTTGGCTTGGCTTAGCTGTTTGTGATAACGTAAAGCAAGAGAGCTAATGGAAATCGTTGATTGGCGTTGGTGAAATCCTGCTCTGAATTTAAATTTAAAACCTCTGAATTTAAAACCCAACGACAAGTTGCTGTAAAATTCAAAAGTTCTTTACAGCCACCCTTCTGTACGATTTCTGTGCCCACATCGGTGCAATTTGTACACCTTGTACACCTTGTACAAGGCGTACAATTTGTACACCTTGTACAACTACAAAGCTCAATTTGATTGTTAATGAAGAAAAATGGAAATCCAGTTTCATTTCAGCTTCATGCCAGGATTCCACGTCATTTATCAGTAGAAATAAAGATAAAATAGATGAAAGATCTGCTCCATTCGATCATTTGCCTTTTCACTTTCACTTTCCTCCGAAATCTCTAAAATCGAGATCGTGTGAGAAGATAAAAAAGCAAAAAGAGAAAAGAACCAATTTGGAAATCTCTTTTCTTTCTTTTAAAGTCTTTTAGCTTTTTGTTTAGCTTTAGCTTTCTTTAGCTTTAGCTAGAGCTTAGAAAAAAGCTGGATGGGATCTGAATGAAAACAAATAAACTTAAAGACTCTTAAAGCGTTGAAAAGAGATTCCATTTGAGATATAGCTTTGGAATGAGATCGAAAAAAAAAACAATAATGCTTTAGACAAAGCTGATTTAGCTTTTGAGGAGTGAAGAAAGCTGTCTAAACAACAATGATTTCTCTTATCTTCAAGCTATGAACCTAAGAAATGCTACAAAGTACTACAAAGTACTACAAAGTACTACAAAGTACTACAAAATGCTACAAAATGCTATGCAAGGCTGGCCTGGCCAAAGTCTTGGCTAAGGTCTTGGCTAAGGTCTTGGCTTTGTTAGTCTGGCTAATCAGGGTTAGTCTGGATTGTCAGGCTTGCTTTAAGCTCTGCTTCAAGCTCTGCTTCAAGCTCTGCTTCAAGCTCTGCTTCAAGCTCTGCTTCAAGCTCTGCTAAGCCTAAGCCTAAGCCTAAGCCAAGCAAAGCCAAGCCTAAGCCTAAGCTCTGCTTCAAGCTTAGCCTGACTAGCCAAACTTCAATCTTTCTAGACTGCTTCTTCCATTTCATTCATTTAACCCTAAACAAAGCAACAAAACAAACAAATAAATGAGTTAATGAATGTTTTGACATCTATTTTATGTCTTTTTCAATGGAGAACATCAAGCACAATGATCTAGATCAAATCTATGACCCTATTGTAAAGCCTTTAACTTATTGTAAAGCCTTTAACTTATTGTAAAGTCCAATACCTTCAAAAACGAACTTTTCTACAATTCAAAAGCTGAATACTTTTACTTTAAACAAAAATTTGCATCTGAATTCTTTTGAAAACTGGAATATAAGGTATTCTGTTTGATCTGAGAAGTCAGCTAAGCCTTTGTTCAGATGGGCTGGGCTGTACTATCTATACTAGGCTGACTCTATAATAGGCCGGCTCTATACTAAGCTGGCTCTGTAATAGGCTGGTTCTATGATAGGCTGGCTCTGTACTAGACTGTCTTTACTGCAGGTCTTGAAAGGAAAAAGTGATGGTAAACGAAATACCATAGTTGGGGAATTCAAGGCTTGAAAGCCAAGTCTTTTCAGAGCTTTGATAAGCCTAGGCAAGAAGTCTAGTCTAGACCAGGCTTTTGGCGAATAACAATCGACGAATCGACAAGACCTGCAGTAAAGACAAGCAAAGCAAGGCATGGCAAAGCAAGGAAGGCAAAGCAAGGAAGGCAAAGCAAGGAAGGCAAAGCAAGGAAGGCAAAGCAAGGAAGGCAAGGCAAGCAAGGCAAAGCAAGGAAGGCAAGGCAAGGAGGCAAGGCAAAGCAAGGAAGGCAAGGCAAGGAAGGCAAGGCAAGCAAGGCAAAGCAAGGAAGGCAAGGCAAGGAAGGCAAGGCAAGCAAGGCAAAGCAAGGAAGGCAAGGCAAGGAAGGCAAAGCAAGGAAGGCAAAGCAAGCAAGGCAAACCAAGCAAGGCAAAGAAAACCCATCTCAGATCCAGTGTTAAACCTTTCAGGATTGTCTGATTCTCAGCAAAATCAAATCCCGTTCCTTTACTGTAGTTCTTTTCCATAAGAAGTCCTTGAGAGCCATCAAAAACCTGATCTAAATCCAGCTCTGCTCTTGTCTTTCTTGTTCCTGTTTTTCTATCTTTTCTTACAAGCCTTGAAATCGAGGATTTTGTTTTAATGAAAGGTGAAAGCATTTAAACTCTTGACGTGAAAGTTGTAAAGTTGAAACTCTTTGTAGCCATCAGGTAATGCATTCATTGCATTGTACTAGTGAGCTCCAGCTTGAGCATTTTCTTTGAAGATTTCATAATTTCCTCCTTATTTTGCTTGTTTTCAGCTAGAAACGACTTCTCAAGCTTTTCTCTGACTTTTCTTCGTTCCTCTTAACTTCTTTTAGCATAAATCCCCAAGCTGGATGTCACCAAACATTTTCTATTCAGCCATTTCATCAATTTCCCCATTTTAGCACCCAAGCAACCCCTAATCCGTTACCTAGCCATTCTATGCACTTCACCCGTCTTACAGTAGCTTTTTGTACTCGCAAAGCGCAAACTGGATGTCACACAAGACTATAGGGTGCATAGCTTTTAAATTAGTTGAAAGGTTACAACCTCCTAGCAACGCTCGCTCCTTACCTCCGCATTTTATCCATTTTATCCATTCTACAGTAACTTTTGTGCGGTGTCAAACGCCAAGCTGGATGTCACAGAGCACTCTCCATCGCATAATCTCATCAACTTTCCCCATTTCAGCACCGTCGCACCTTGTGAAAGTTGTAAAATTGTACATTTCTCTCAAATACTTTAAACCGGATAAATCTTTAAATTTTTGCATCAAATTTTCAGCTATAGCTCGAAGATTTGAAGATTTGTATGGAAAGAAGAAAGTGAAATGAATCTTTCCTCAAGTGTTCAAGTCCATCACATTTCCCGTTCACATCATTTTATTTCATTCCATTCCATTTCATTTCTTTTCCCTTTTCCCTTTTCTCATCGCGTCACAATTTTTCTTAAATAATTTTTACAAGCTTAAATGAGAATATAAAAGAGAAAAGAAAAGAGAATATATTAGGTTGTCCAATAAGTAATGCGTGTTTTGACACGATTTTCAAAATATCACAAAATTAACAAAAGAGAACTTTATTAATCGATATATTCTCCACAACAATCAACAACATTTCTCCATCGTTGGAGCAAAGAGTGAAGTCCGTCATAATAGAATGAAGCTGGTTTCGATGAGTAACATCGAAATAAGTAACACGCATTACTTATTGGACAACCTAATAAAAGAGAAAAGAAAAGAGAATCTAAATTGAATGGGGAAAAGAAAAAGGTGTTTGTTTGAAGTTGTTGAAATTGTTTGTTTTTGTTTTTTTGTTTGTTTGTTTGTTGGTTTGTTTGTTTGTTTGTTGGTTTGTTTGTTGGTTGGTTGGTTTGTTTGTTTGTTTGTTTGTTTGTTTGTTTGTTTGTTTGTTTGTTTGTTTGTTTGTTTGTTTGTTTGTTTGTTTGTTTGTTTGTTTGTTTGTTTGTTTGTTTGTTTGTTTGTTTGTTTGTTTGTTTGTTTGTTTGTTTGTTTGTTTGTTTGTTTGTTTGTTTGTTTGAAATTGAAAAGTTGAAAGGTTGAAAGGTGAGAATTGAAAGATTTGCTTGATTTAAGAGACCCTATTAAGAATATTAAGAATATTAAGAATATTAAGAGATTAAGAAATTAAGAAATTAACTTTTACTCTAAAAATCATTTCCTTTGGTGAATTCTTTTAAAAACTTCTTTAAAAAAGCAATCTTTATAATGAATTAAACAAGTTAGACATAGCTAACGAGGCTTGGCTTAAGAATTTAATGAGGCTTCTCAGCTCTTTCGATTCTTCAAGATCTTCAAGATCTTCAATTCTTCAAGATCTTCAATTCTTCAAGGGCTTCAATTCTTGAATTCTTCAACTCTTCAAGTTCTTTAATTCTTCAAGGGCTTCAGTTCATCAAGATCTTCAATCCTTCAACATTTCCAACTCTTCAAGATCTGGATTATTAAGAAAGACTCAAGCTTTTGAAAACTTTCGTTCAAGAAGATAGCTGAATTGAGAGAATCATTTGAGCGACACTAAAATGATTGAATCAAATTGTTTCAATTTTAATTACTCCATGAAATCTAATCCAGAAATACAGAAGGCCAAAAAACGCAAAACGTAAACGTAAACGCAAAATCTGACTGGGCTCTGACTGACTGCGCAAAAGCTGACTGGGGTAATAGCTGGATGGCTTTAATCTTAGCCAATAGCTTACTCTTAGATGGCTTCAATCTTAGCCAATCTCTTAGCCAATCTCTTAGTGGCTACACTTGATGGCTTTAATCTTTTAATCAAATGAATGTAATGATCAAACTCCAGCTGTCAAGCATGTTAATTAAAGTCTTTATTTTCAACCTCAATCATTTTGGTACATGTTTTTGTTTCCTGAAAAAAAGTTTAACAATTCATAACTGATGGGGCTGTAAAATTAGGAAAAAAAGAAGAATAAGTTGAACGATTTTCGAACGATCTTAATTTAACCCATTATACTGGGTTAAAGGATGGCAGGACAGTGTACTAATAATCTTTTCCATTGTCTCCAGGTGGGCCCTGGAAATTGTTACTGTATCCTCCAACTCTAGAATCCTCTAGCTCTAGAATCCTCCAGCTCTAGAGTCCTCTAGCTCTAGAATCCTGTTTACTTAGTGTACTCAGTTCATCAGCATCCTCCACTTGAATCAATTTTGTTTTTCTGGCGCCCAGGGCGGTGAATAATGATGTTTTTTTGCAAGTGTTTCACCCGAATCATTTATTTCCTTTTTTAGACACAAAAAGTGCCCTGATTCGAATCTTGGATAAAAGAAAAATAAAAGAAATAAATATCTAATATCCAGGCGCTGTTCTTGGTGGTGGACAATGAGAGCATCCTCCACCGACACCAGCGGTTCCAGCGTCTCCCTGTTTGCCACCAGATCCCGGCTTTCCAGGCTGACCATCTTTTCCATTGTCTCCAGGTGGGCCCTGGAAATTGTTACTGTATCCTCCAACTCTAGAGTCCTCTAGCTCTAGAATCCTCCAGCTCTAGAGTCCTCTAGCTCCAGAGTCCTCTAGCTCTAGAGTCCTCTAGCTCTAGAATCCTGTTTACTTAGTGTACTCAGTTCATCAGCATCCCCCACTTGAATCAATTTTGTTTTTCTGGCGCCCAGGGCGGTGAATAATGATGTTTTTTTGCAAGTGTTTCACCCGAATCATTTATTTCCTTTTTTAGACACAAAAAGTGCCCTGATTCGAATCTTGGATAAAAGAAAAATAAAAGAAATAAATATCTAATATCCAGGCGCTGTTCTTGGTGGTGGACAATGAGAGCATCCTCCACCGACACCAGCGGTTCCAGCGTCTCCCTGTTTGCCACCAGATCCCGGCTTTCCAGGCTGACCATCTTTTCCATTGTCTCCAGGTGGACCCTGGAAATTGTTACTGTATCCTCTAGCTCTAGAATCCTCTAGAGTCCTCTAGCTCTAGAATCCTCTAGAATCCTACCTGATTTCCATCAGATCCAGGCTTTCCAGCAGGTCCAGGTGGTCCATCAACTCCAGGAGTTCCCAATTGTCCTGGTGGTCCAGCTGGTCCAGCTGGAGCAGGCACCTCTGTAACAGTTCCAGCTGGTCCCTTTGGTCCAGCATCTCCAGTTTTTCCGTCTTGTCCAGGTGGCCCTTGAGGTCCTGGAGCTCCAGGAGATCCTGGCTGTCCATCGGGTCCTTTGTTTCCATTTGGTCCTGGGTTTCCATTGGGTCCCTAAACTCGTTTGAGTTCTAGAAGGTACAGTAGTCTAGCTAGCTTCTACAGTAATCCATAGAGCTACAGTACCTTTGGCCCAGCGTTTCCAGCAGCTCCTGCAGGTCCAGCAGGGCAATCAAAGCAGAAATCGGCAGCTGATGGCTTAGCATCAGGAGTAGAATCCTCTCCAGGAGCTCCATCTTTACCCGGTGCTCCATCATTTCCATTGTTTCCATCATCTCCTGGAGGACCAGGGGGTCCTAAAAAATGATAGAGATTACAGAATCATGATTACAGTGCTCTACAGTACCCTACAGTACCCTACAGTACCCTACAGTACTCTACAGCACTCTACAGTACACTACAGTACTCTCAATGCACTCACCAGCTTCTCCAACTCCGCACGAGCAGCACGATCCAGCTGAAGATCCAGCTGAAGATCCAGCCGGAGCCGCGTCACCTCCAGTTCCACCAACTCCAGCATCGTATCCACCGGCTGGGCCTCCCTTTGGCGCAGCACCAGGAGCGTTGGCTCCAGCTCCAGCTCCTCCCATTGATCCAAGGGGATTATCGTACGATTGTCTTTTCACGAGTCTTCCCCGAACACCTTTCACCGCTTGCATTCGCTCATATTGTTGGAAAAGACCGTTTGTGCGGTGTTTGCAGAATTCCACCTGGAATTAGAACAGGGTTACAATCCAGCCTAAGTCAGCTAGCTAGCCAGCCAGCCAACCAGCCAGCCAGCCAGCCAGCAAGCCAGCTAGCTAGCCAGCCAGCCAGCCAGCTAGCCAGCCAGCCAGCTAGCCAGCCAGCCAGCTAGCCAGCCAGCCAGCTAGCCAGCCAGCCAGCTAGCCAGCCAGCCAGCTAGCCAGTTAGCCAGCTAGCCAGTTAGCCAGCTAGCCAGCCAGCCATTCAAGACAAACCTCGGTCTGAAGCGACGATTGAACGTGTTGCATATAGTTGTAGAGAGCCGGAATGGCCACAATGCAAGTCAGCGTGGCGACGGTGCTGAAATGGGGAAAGTTGAGGGGTTTATGCAATGGAAAGTGCTCTGTGACATCCAGCTTGGTGTTTGGCAGCGCGCAAAAGTTACTGTAGGACGGATAAAATGGATAAAATGCTAGGAGCGTTGCTAGGAGGTTGTAACCTTTCAACTAATTTAGAAGCTATGCACCCTTTAGTCTTGTGTGACATCCAGTTTGCGCTTTGCGAGTACAAAAAGCTACTGTAAGACGAGTGAAGTGCATAGAATGGCTAGGTAACGGATTAGGGGTTGCTTGGGTGCTAAAATGGGGAAATTGATGAAATGGCTGAATAGAAAATGTTTGGTGACATCCAGCTTGGGGATTTATGCTAAAAGAAGTTAAGAGGAACGAAGAAAAGTTAGAGAAAAGCTTGAGAAGTCGTTTCTAGCTGAAAACAAGCAAAATAAGGAAGAAATCATGAAATCTTCAAAGAAAATGCTCAAGCTGGAGCTCACAGTGGGGAATTACCTGATGGCGACGCCGGCAAAAGCGATTCTTCGTAGGCTTTCCGCCTCGTGCATGGCGCGCTTCTCGGGGCTTTTCTCCATTTGGATACAACAATTGGATTTGGATTTATCGAAATCACAGCCACCTCACCGACTGACCACTATTTATATCGGACATTCGCTTTTCAGTTTCTTCAGTTCTCCTCCAGTCAGTCTCCCCTCCCCCTTCCCACTATGGTGGTGTGTCTTTTGAGTTCGATCCATTGCCAATGCCTCCGATATCTGCGGCATCTACACACAAATCCTGGAGAACTGGTCTTTTGTCGGCTATCCTGGAGAGCACACTCTCTATAGAAACCTCTAGAAATCGCTATCTTTGAGGATATCTCTTTTTCTCATTTCCCCTCAAAGTACTCCTATCGTTGCCTCTCCATTTCTCCGTCCAGCTCTAAACCAATTGAAAAATAGAATCTTTTCCAGTCCTCCTGGAACGCACACTCTCTATAGAAACCTCTAGAAATCCCTATCTTTGAGGATATCTCTTTTTCTCATTTCCCCTCAAAGTGCTCCTATCGTTGCCTCTCCATTTCTCTGTCCATCTCTCTCCTCACCGCCAAATGGAAATCTTTTCCAGTCTTCCTCGACCGCACCCTCCCCCCCTAAACCGTTATTTCCCATCTCTGCGGCTTTTCGATCCTTCTTGCTTTCCCCCTTTTTTTCTTCTTCAGCTTTCCTCCAGATTTCTCTCTCAAAACATCAAATGCCACTTTTTTTTAAGCTTTCTAGTCTGCAGCCTCTTCACTAAAAGCACTATTTCTGAATTTCAGCTTTATTCTATCCCTATTCCTAATGCTAGGCTCTCTGAAAATTCAGAAAATTCATTGCTTTAAACTCGGCAAATGCCAATGGCAAATGAACAGCCGTTTCTTAAGCATTCAGCCGTTTCTTTAGCATCTTCTTCGTCTTTTGGATTTGCTAAAAAAATCGAGAAAAAAAAGATGACGATGACAAAATTCAAATGGGAAATCTCGAGGGACGAGGGGAAAATTGAGAAATGCTTATAGCTTATTTTGAAATGATATCAAAGAGAAAGTAAATCGAAATTGACAAAATTTGAATACAATAAAGAATTTTATTTAAAAGAATTTTATTTAAAAGAATTTTAAAGAAAGAATTTTAAAGAATTTTAAATGATTTGGAATGTTTTTCTTTTTCAAAATTCAAACAATCCTTTTTAAAAATTTTAGATTTTAAATGATTTAAATGATTTAATAATCCTGATTAATTTAATTGTAATTAATTTATTCCTGAATTAATTTATTCCTGAATTAATTTAATCTGAGAGATTGGAACTCTTTGGTCTTGATACTCTTGAAACGTTACACCAACGCCGCCTTATCATTGATTTAGTGGAATGCTTTAAGATTGTTAAAGGCTTTCATCCCGACCATTCATCCCGACGATTCATCCCGACCATTCATCCCGACCATTCATCCCAACCATTCATCCCAACCATTCATCCCGACCATTCATCCCGACGATTCATCCCAACCATTCATCCCAACCATTCATCCCGACGATTCATCCCGACCATTCATCCCGACGATTCATCCCAACCATTCATCCCGACCATTCATCCCGACCTTTCAACCCAACCATTCATCCCGACGATTCATCCCGACCATTCATCCCGACCATTCATCCCAACCATTCATCCCTTTTTTTCTCGCCTCTTTGAATTCGGCTCTCTACTTGGGCACCTTCAGAATGCCCAAGTAGAGATTAGGGGCCTTTTCTCAAAACAAAACTTTTCTCGTCAACCTTCCGTTTCCTCTAAAAGCCCCCCACAGTTTCTTTTTTAATCGAGTTATTAAATTGTGGAACCTTTCATTTTCGTGATCTTCCCACCCTGGCTAGATTTAAAGCCGCAATTTCTGCAATCGATTTGACTGCTCTGTGATTCTTTCTCGAGGTATCTATTTATCTTTTGGGTGTGTTTTGAGTGGTGTCCCGGGGTAATTATTGTCATTTTTTTCTGTCGCTATTCAACTGAATAAAGCATATATATATATATATTTTAAAAAAATCTTTATTCTTTAATCTTTCAAATCTTTCAAATCTTTCAAATCTTTCAAATCTTTCAAATCTTTCAAATCTTTCAAATCTTTCAAATCTTTCAAATCTTTCAAATCTTTCAAATCTTTCAAATCTTTTAAATCTTTCAAATCTTTCAAAAATGACTTCCAGAAAGGCCTCAAATCTTAAATCTTAAATCTAGCCAAGGTGGGAAGATCACGAACATGAAAGGTCCTTTCAAAAAATTTCCTTTCAAATCAAATTTCAAATCGACTTCTTTAAATAATGAAATTTGATTTGAAAAATGAAAAATGCTTTCGAAAAAAGATTTTAATCAGATTTCAAATGTATTTCAATCAAAAGGAAATTTCGAATTTTCGAATTTTCGATTGGAAATTTGCTTTACTTATCGAAGAAATCTAATGATCCGATTTCATCGTTGTTTAATTGCTGGCCTTTTCCCTGTGCGCCATATTGGCTGAAGCTACTGTTTTTGTGATCAACAATGGCATGCAAACGCTTTTTCAGGCGTCGGTTCAGTTACCCAACTCGACCCAACTCCGGGAAAAGCTTGATTGCACTAGTTTAACTACTCGAATCACTGTTGTGCGTGCCAGATTAGACTTTCCTTTCATTATTTGATCTGGTAATTGAGAACAAACTGTTTTCAGGCGTCGGTTCAGTTACCCAACTCGGCCCAACTCCAGGGAAAAGCTTGATTGCACTAGTTTAACTAATTGAATGGCTGTTGTGTGTGCCAGATTAGACTCTCCTTTCATTATTTGATCTGGTAATTGAGAAGGAGCTGTTTTCAGGCGTCGGTTCAGTTACCCAACTAGACCCAACTCCGGGGAAAGCCGTACTTGCACTAGTTTAACTACTCCAATCACTGTTGTGCGTGCCAGCTTAGACTTTCCTTTCATTATTTTGATATTCAAGCCAGCTTCCTTTCATTATTTGATCTAGTAATTGAGATAGGCTTATAACAGATTCTCAATATTCTTTTAAGAACTTTTTAAATCAATTTCTTTTATTTAAATTTTTCAAAATCTCAAATGATTTCGAAGAAAAATGGTTTAAAATTTCTTTCTAATGGAAATTTCTTTCTAAAATAATAAATGAAAATGTAAAAATTTAAAGATTTTCTTCGCGGCTAGTGATTGTGAATGTTTTGATAGCTTTTCTTTTACATCTTTCCAATTCTAAATGTCATTCTTTTAGCTGGAGAAAAAAGAAAAGAGATTTCTATAGTTTTTTGTTTTTTTTTGTTAGGAAAAAGAGGTAGAATGGATCGAAATCCATCACCAAAAATTTTCACCAAACCCTTTTGAGCCATTTGAGCTCGTGGAAATGATAGACAATAAGCTTTTGAGACGTTCTGGAATGCATTTTAGAAAAAAACAAGGGAAAAGATTCGTTTTAAGACATTCTACCGTAACCCAGAATCGTCTCGAGCTAGAAAAATCACCTTTTCTAGAACTAGAAACGATCGAAAAAAAAGAAATCAACGTTTTGGATGTCACACGATTAGAATTTAATAGAATTGAGAATTATTGTACAGGGTGCACGTTGTCGTTGGCGTTGTCGTTGTCGTTGTCGTTGTCGTTGCTGTCGTTGTCGTTGTCCTTGTCGTTGCTGTCGTTGTCGTTGTCCTTGTCGTTGCTGTCGTTGTCGTTGTCCTTGTCGTTGTTGTCGTTGTCGTTGTCCTTGTCGTTGTTGTCGTTGTCGTTGTCGTTGTCGTTGCTGTCGTTGTCGTTGTCCTTGTCGTCGTCGTTGTTGTCGTTGTCGTTGTTGTCGTTGTCGTTGCTGTCGTTGTCGTTGTCGTTGTTGTCGTTGTCGTTGTCGTTGTCGTTGTCGTTGTCGTTGTCGTTGTTGTCGTCGTTGTTGTCGTTGTTGTCGTTGTTGTCGTTGTTGTCGTTGTTGTCGTTGTCGTTGTTGTCGTTGTCGCAGGTTGCAACGCAGGTTACTGTCGCAGGTTACTGTTACAAGTTAGCGCAACAGGTTATCGCAACAAAGTATCACAAGGTATTCAAGCATCGCTTTCATCGTTCATAAAAACTTTATTTCTAATTTTTTTTTCTTTATTTTCTTATTATATTTGGAATCTAATTGAAACTTTTTCATATAAAATTTGTTTTTTTTAGAATGACTGGAAAATCTCCTATCAACAATTGATCGATTGCACAGCGCTTGGCGCTGGAGATTCAGAGAGTCGACAGCAGTCTCATCCCAACGTTGCAACGCTACGAAGCTACGGAAACAATTCTTGAGGCATCAAGAGCTATAGGAAGAATTCTTGAGGCATCAAGAGCTATAGGAAGAATTCTTGAGGCATCAAGAGCTACAGGAAGAATTCCTGATTCACTAAGAGCTACGGAAACAATTCCTGATTCACTAAGAGCTACGGAAACAATTCCTGGCTCACCGATAGACGCCCAACTGTCGTTACAAAGACAAACATCAAGTGAGTGAGAAACCGAATTCGGAAGAAGCCAAACTTTCTGATTCGGAAGAAGCCAAGGCAAATGGGAAAGGAGATAGCAAAGAAGATGACGATTTCAAGAACCACATTGCTTCGAAGCTCAAACTAACCGCTTTACAAGAAAGACATGGCTCAACTCCTTTTGAGCTGCTAAAAACAGGCAAAAATTGAGAGCAATTTAGTGATTGATGCGCTGGAATCTCGCATCACAATCCTTCACAAGCAGCATCATCACCTTTTTCAAAAATATTCACCATTGAAGGCCTTCTTAACAAGCAAAATGATCAAGTATAGGCGAAATCTCAACCGAAATGCGAATTCTACGCTTTCTCGAAGTGCACATCCAAGCATCAAGCATCAAGCAAATCAAGCTTGAGAAGAGCTCGATGCAGCCTAGTCGCCACTGTTGACACCATCCCGAAACCTCGGCAAGCCTCCTCAAAAGCTAATGGTGATCGATTCAATTCAATTTTAAATGTACAATAAATGTTATTCATTTAAATATTTATCTTTTGGATGCTTTTGGATGCTTTGGGATGCTTTTGGATGCTTTTGGATGCTTTTGGATGCTTTTGGATGCTTTTGGATGCTTCTGGATGCTTCTGGATGCTTTTGGATGCTTTTGGATGCTTTTGGATGCTTCTGGATGCTTTGGGATGCTTCTGGATGCTTTTGGATGCTGCTGGATGCTTCTGGATGCTTCTGGATGCTTTGGGATGCTTCTGGATGCTTCTGGATGCTTTGGGATGCTTCTGGATGCTTCTGGATGCTTCTGGATGCTTTTGGATGCTTTGGGATGCTTTTGGATGCTTTTGGATGCTTTTGGATGCTTTTGGATGCTTTTGGATGCTTTTGGATGCTTCTGGATGCTTCTGGATGCTTCTGGATGCTTTTGGATGCTTTTGGATGCTTTTGGATGCTTCTGGATGCTTTTGGATGCTTCTGGATGCTTTTGGATGCTTTGGGATGCTTTTGGATGCTTTGGGATGCTTTTGGATGCTTCTGGATGCTTTTGGACGCTTCTGGATGCTGCTGGATGCTTTTGGATGCTTTGGGATGCTTTTGGACGCTTCTGGATGCTTTTGGACGCTTTTATCAATTTTGGATTGTATTTAGTATAAAGACACAACATTGTTTCGATCTAAAGCGATTAGATCAGCTAAAGCTTTATAAAATCGACTTCCCGTGAAAGATAAAATCCATTCTGGATGTCACTTTTAAAGTTTTTGAAATGAAAACCTGAAATAGATAAAGTTTGAAATTTTTTGTTTTATCTAAAAGTGATAAAGACAAAAGAGAAAAGTCGATATACAGTGCTCCAACTAATTATAGAGCCACTTACATTTTTTAAAACTCAGTAGCGACTTTGAAGAGAAATCAATTAAATTCAACTTTGGTCAGTAGAGAATTTTTGTACTGGTCTTTTCTATTCATTTTTATTTAGAAGTTGCTAACCGTCGTGACGCTTTATCTTTAAATTCAAAAAAATGACACTTTTCCGCTCCAACTAATTATAGAGCCACTCTGATTTTTGTTTGTAATTGTTTTTTTTTTCATTTCCATTTATTTATAATTCGATTGACTTTACTTTATTAAGTTATTTTTAGTTATGGCAAGAGGTAAAACGCTTTCCGATTTCGAGAAAGGATAGATCGAAGCATATAACCACGCTGGAAGGAGTAATCGAGAAATTGCTCGACTTTTGGGTAGAAGTCATCACCTCGTTGATAGTTACCTTACTGATCCAGCCATATATGGCACTAGAAAATCTACAGGACGAATTCCACAAGTATCAGACTAAGATAAAAGGCGAATTTGGCGAGCGGCTTCCAACAGCACAATTACATGTCGCCAAATCAAACGAGAATTGGGATTGCGAGGCGTGCTCCAACGATAACCGCTCAAAATAAAGAAAAACGTTTGAAATTTTGTCAAAGAAACATGCGTCAGGATTGGTCTAAGGTTAGCAAAAGCACCAAGTTGAATTTTTCGTACGTTTCATAGTTTAGGTAATCTGGAGCGATGAAAAAAAATTCAATCTTGATGGTTGCGATGGTTTCAAAGCATATTGGCACGATATCCGAAAAGAACCAAAGCTTTTTTCACGACGAAATTTTGGCAGTGAAGGCGTAATGGTCTGGGGGTGCTTCACATCAACTGGAAGGATCAAATTAGCGTTTGTCCCAAAGAAAATCAATTCCGAAAGGTATCAGTGGATACTCCGACGATGTTTGTTGCCATTTTATCGCAAGAATTCCACTCAAAATTTTATTTACATGCAGGATAATGCGCCAATTCACGTTAGTGAAAGTACTCGAGGCTGGTTCCGGAGGCGCCAAATTCAACTTCTTGATTGGCCGCCAAATTCGCCCGATCTAAATCCGATGGAGAACATTTGGGGAATACTAGCACGTCGAATTTACGAAAATAACAGACAATACGCAGGTCTTGAAGAATTGAAAAGGGCGATTATAAATACTTGGCATACGATCGATCAAAAAAACATCGAGAACCTCATTTCAAGCATGGATACTCGAATTTTCCAGATTATAAAACTTAATGGTGAGGCTATTGATTATTGTTTTGTCATTTAACCTGTTTACTTGTTATCCTTATAAACATTTCTTGATATTTTTGGAGTGGCTCTATAATTAGTTGGAGCGGAAAAGTGTCATTTTTTTGAATTTAAAGATAAAGCGTCACGACGGTTAGCAACTTCTAAATAAAAATGAATAGAAAAGATCAGTACAAAAATTCTCTACTGACCAAAGTTGAATTTAATTGATTTCTCTTCAAAGTCGCTACTGAGTTTTAAAAAATGTAAGTGGCTCTATAATTAGTTGGAGCACTGTAGAGAAAAGGCTCGATTCTTCGAAATCTTTTCTTTTCGACATCACACAATGTTTTTTTGTTTGAAGAAAGTTCTTTGTAGGTCTTGGAAGATCTTTGAAGATCTTTGTAGGCCTTGGAAGATCTTTGAAGATCTTTGTAGGTCTTGGAAGATCTTTGAAGATCTTTGTAGGTCTTGGAAGATCTTTGAAGATCTTTGTAGGTCTTGGAAGATCTTTGAAGATCTTTGTAGGTCTTGGAAGATCTTTGAAGATCTTTGTAGGTCTTGGAAGATCTTTGAAGATCTTTGTAGGTCTTGGAAGATCTTTGAAGATCTTTGTAGGTCTTTGAAGATCTTTGAAGATCTTTGTAGGCCTTGGAAGATCTTTGAAGATCTTTGTAGGTCTTGGAAGATCTTTGTAGGTCTTGGAAGATCTTTGAAGATCTTTGTAGGTCTTGGAAGATCTTTGAAGATCTTTGTAGGTCTTGGAAGATCTTTGTAGGTCTTGGAAGATCTTTGAAGATCTTTGTAGGTCTTGGAAGATCTTTGAAGATCTTTGTAGGTCTTGGAAGATCTTTGAAGATCTTTTGTAGGTCTTGGAAGATCTTTGTAGGTCTTGGAAGATCTTTGAAGATCTTTGTAGGTCTTGGAAGATCTTTGTAGGTCTTGGAAGATCTTTGAAGATCTTTGTAGGTCTTGGAAGATCTTTGAAGATCTTTGTAGGTCTTGGAAGATCTTTGAAGATCTTTGTAGGTCTTTGAAGATCTTTGTAGGTCTTGGAAGATCTTTGAAGATCTTTGTAGGTCTTGGAAGATCTTTGAAGATCTTTGTAGGTCTTGGAAGATCTTTGTAGGTCTTGGAAGATCTTTGAAGATCTTTGTAGGTCTTGGAAGATCTTTGAAGATCTTTGTAGGTCTTGGAAGATCTTTGAAGATCTTTGTAGGTCTTGGAAGATCTTTGAAGATCTTTTAGGTCTTGGAAGATCTTTGAAGATCTTTGTAGGTCTTGGAAGATCTTTGTAGGTCTTGGAAGATCTTTGAAGATCTTTGTAGGTCTTGGAAGATCTTTGAAGATCTTTGTAGGTCTTGGAAGATCTTTGTAGGTCTTGGAAGATCTTTTGAAGATCTTTGTAGGTCTTGGAAGATCTTTGTAGGTCTTGGAAGATCTTTGAAGATCTTTGTAGGTCTTGGAAGATCTTTGTAGGTCTTGGAAGATCTTTGAAGATCTTTTGTAGGTCTTGGAAGATCTTTGTAGGTCTTGGAAGATCTTTGAAGATCTTTGTAGGTCTTGGAAGATCTTTGTAGGTCTTGGAAGATCTTTGAAGATCTTTGTAGGTCTTGGAAGATCTTTGAAGATCTTTGTAGGTCTTGGAAGATCTTTTGTAGGTCTTGGAAGATCTTTGAAGATCTTTTGTAGGTCTTGGAAGATCTTTGTAGGTCTTGGAAGATCTTTGAAGATCTTTGTAGGTCTTGGAAGATCTTTGAAGATCTTTGTAGGTCTTGGAAGATCTTTTGAAGATCTTTGTAGGTCTTGGAAGATCTTTGAAGATCTTTGTAGGTCTTGGAAGATCTTTGTAGGTCTTGGAAGATCTTTGTAGGTCTTGGAAGATCTTTGAAGATCTTTGTAGGTCTTGGAAGATCTTTGTAGGTCTTGGAAGATCTTTGAAGATCTTTGTAGGTCTTGGAAGATCTTTTGAAGATCTTTGTAGGTCTTGGAAGATCTTTGAAGATCTTTGTAGGTCTTGGAAGATCTTTGTAGGTCTTGGAAGATCTTTGAAGATCTTTGTAGGTCTTGGAAGATCTTTGAAGATCTTTGTAGGTCTTGGAAGATCTTTGAAGATCTTTGTAGGTCTTGGAAGATCTTTGAAGATCTTTGTAGGTCTTGGAAGATCTTTGAAGATCTTTGTAGGTCTTGGAAGATCTTTGTAGGTCTTGGAAGATCTTTGTAGGTCTTGGAAGATCTTTGAAGATCTTTGTAGGTCTTGGAAGATCTTTGTAGGTCTTGGAAGATCTTTGTAGGTCTTGGAAGATCTTTGAAGATCTTTGTAGGTCTTGGAAGATCTTTGTAGGTCTTGGAAGATCTTTGAAGATCTTTGTAGGTCTTGGAAGATCTTTGAAGATCTTTGTAGGTCTTGGAAGATCTTTGTAGGTCTTGGAAGATCTTTGAAGATCTTTTGTAGGTCTTGGAAGATCTTTGTAGGTCTTGGAAGATCTTTGAAGATCTTTGTAGGTCTTGGAAGATCTTTGAAGATCTTTGTAGGTCTTGGAAGATCTTTGTAGGTCTTGGAAGATCTTTGAAGATCTTTGTAGGTCTTGGAAGATCTTTGTAGGTCTTGGAAGATCTTTGAAGATCTTTGTAGGTCTTGGAAGATCTTTGAAGATCTTTGTAGGTCTTGGAAGATCTTTGAAGATCTTTGTAGGTCTTGGAAGATCTTTGAAGATCTTTGTAGGTCTTGGAAGATCTTTGTAGGTCTTGGAAGATCTTTGTAGGTCTTGGAAGATCTTTGAAGATCTTTGTAGGTCTTGGAAGATCTTTGTAGGTCTTGGAAGATCTTTGTAGGTCTTGGAAGATCTTTGAAGATCTTTGTAGGTCTTGGAAGATCTTTGTAGGTCTTGGAAGATCTTTGAAGATCTTTGTAGGTCTTGGAAGATCTTTGAAGATCTTTGTAGGTCTTGGAAGATCTTTTGTAGGTCTTGGAAGATCTTTGAAGATCTTTGTAGGTCTTGGAAGATCTTTGAAGATCTTTGTAGGTCTTGGAAGATCTTTTGAAGATCTTTGTAGGTCTTGGAAGATCTTTGTAGGTCTTGGAAGATCTTTGAAGATCTTTGTAGGTCTTGGAAGATCTTTGAAGATCTTTGTAGGTCTTGGAAGATCTTTGAAGATCTTTTAGGTCTTGGAAGATCTTTGAAGATCTTTGTAGGTCTTGGAAGATCTTTTGAAGATCTTTGTAGGTCTTGGAAGATCTTTGTAGGTCTTGGAAGATCTTTGTAGGTCTTGGAAGATCTTTGAAGATCTTTGTAGGTCTTGGAAGATCTTTGTAGGTCTTGGAAGATCTTTGTAGGTCTTGGAAGATCTTTGAAGATCTTTGTAGGTCTTGGAAGATCTTTGTAGGTCTTGGAAGATCTTTGAAGATCTTTGTAGGTCTTGGAAGATCTTTGAAGATCTTTGTAGGTCTTGGAAGATCTTTGTAGGTCTTGGAAGATCTTTGAAGATCTTTGTAGGTCTTGGAAGATCTTTGAAGATCTTTGTAGGTCTTGGAAGATCTTTGAAGATCTTTGTAGGTCTTGGAAGATCTTTGTAGGTCTTGGAAGATCTTTTGAAGATCTTTGTAGGTCTTGGAAGATCTTTGTAGGTCTTGGAAGATCTTTGAAGATCTTTGTAGGTCTTGGAAGATCTTTGAAGATCTTTGTAGGTCTTGGAAGATCTTTGAAGATCTTTGTAGGTCTTTGAAGATCTTTGTAGGTCTTGGAAGATCCTTGTAGATCTTCATCTCATACACAAAACAGCTTCCTCTCAAGTATTTCACTTTACATATCAATCAAACTCAAGGGGAAATGAAATGAAATGAAATAAAATGTTTTCGATTCGTTTACCGGATCGAAACTTGATTTGAAACTTATTCAGCGCAAAGTTTAAATCATATTCAGCTATCCTGGAATACACTTTAGCCAATGTTCAAATCAATCAATCAATCAATCAATTGCTTCGAAATAAAGCACTCTCGACAGACAGACTGAAGACAATCCAAGTGTTTGAGTACATGTGTGCCAGAGGGCTGGTGTTTGCAGCGTCTGAGCGTCAGCACAAACGTCTGAGCCGGATTCCTGTCATCCTGGACAACAGTACACCCAAATCACCGCTAAAATCGAGCTCTACCGACAAATGTGTAAAATGAAAAACAAAAAAAAAACGGATAAACCAGTACTAGTGCGTTTGAAGAGCGTGCGTTTTCAAGAGGACGATATATAGGCGATATTTGTGCAAACTGGAGCTCAGTAGAGTTTACTATTGGTATATTATGATGATTCAGAGATGTTTTACGAAATCTCAATCGTTGATGACGTCACTTTAGTTTTTTTTTCTCAATCAAGCTTTTCTTTATACAAAATGAGTAAAATGTCTTGTTTTTTCGTGAAAACGAAATGTTCGTCTTGTCGATTAAAAAGAAAAGAAAGAAACCCGTTTTTCTGGAGTGAAGGAAAGGAAAGAAAGGGAGAAAGGAAGAGAGGAAGAAAGAAAGGGAGAAAGGAAGAGAGGAAGGGAGAAAGAAAAGAAGGACGAAAGGAAGAGAGGAAGAAAGAAAGGGTGAAAGGAAGAGAGGAAGGAAGAAATGGAGAAAGGGAGAGAGGAAGGAAGAAAGGGAGAAAGGAAGAGAGGAAGGGAGAAAGAAAAGAAGGACGAAAGGACGAAAGGAAGAAAGAAAGGAAGAAAAGGAAGAACGAAAGAAAGGAAGAAAGAAAGAATGACGATAAAGTTGACTCTTTTTGCTTTAAGAAAAGCTGTCCTTGGCATTGAATTTAAAGAGAAAACCATCTCTTGAAGGCATTCAAAAAAAAGAAAAAAAGTTTATCATCAAATTTCTTTCCATAAAATCATAGGGATTTGAAAATAAAGCCAATAAATAGGATTTATGAATTTAAATAGCTCAAATCTCCATTCAGATGAGCAGGGGTTGTTGCTGTGGACTCTCTTACGCTCTTGCGACTTTCAAGGAGACTAGAATGACAAGCAACGCGGCAGCTTTACGAGGACGGGTTTCTTTTTTTTCTTGTATAGTTTAACAAAATACCGGGGTTCAGTTTGCTTTTTTTAGTAAAAAAAGAAAAAGAAATAGAGGAAAAACAATAATTTAACAACAAATGAACAAAGATCAACAACTATAAAAAGGTAAATTTTCTTTATAATTCCATAGATATAAAATCTTCCTCATCACTAGATTCTCCTTCAGACAGTGATTCAGCCTCCAATGAGCATCCTGCTAGGGCCATTTCCGTTAGGGCTAACTGCTTTTCTTCGTACAAAATAGATGGGGAATTCTTGATGATAATGCTAAATTTTTCTCAAAACTCAAACTGCGTAAACTGGTCTTAAAGTAAGACCTAGCGGAATTTGTAAGGGCCGTAGCGATGAACAGCAATCGCCCAGACGACTCTGGGCGATTGCTGTGACAGCCGACGCTTTTTCGAGAATCGGAGAAGATTCGTGTGACTTTGCTGAAAGCCCGCTCGATTGAAGTAATCGGGGTATAAGGAGGTACTTTGATGCTATTTTGTAAAGCTATAATCATTATGGGGTTTTATATATGTTATAGGTAAGACCAGGGTACCGTAGGGAACTCGGCGCGATTTTTATGCCAAAATGGATGGTCATTGTAACTAGATGGGGGATTGCTTTTCGCCATAGCTACATAGGAGTCAGTGAATTTATGCCGCTGTCCACTCCACCGGATGCTTTGACTGGCTTAAGGTTTGCAAAAATAAAGTAAATCTACTTTTAGATGATTTTTCATGGCGTAGAGGGCGCCAATGGCATAGTTTGCAATTGCGTTTGGCATAGATTGCATTGTGGGGCATAGATTGTGGGGCATTGTGGGGCATAGATTGTGGGGCATTGTGGGGCAATTCTGGGGCATAGATTGCATTGTTGGGCATAGATTGTGGGGCATTGTTGGGCATAGATTGTGGGGCATTGTGGGGCATAGATTGTGGGGCATTGTGGGGCATAGTTTGTGGGGCATTGTGGGGCAATTCTGGGGCATAGATTGCATTGTTGGGCATAGATTGTGGGGCATTGTTGGGCATAGATTGTGGGGCATTGTGGGGCATAGATTGTGGGGCATTGTGAGGCAATTCTGGGGCATAGATTGCATTGTGCTCGAGTCTCTTACTTACTCTTTACCGCTCACATGGGCATTTTAGGTTTACGCGAAGGAGTTTCGCATAAAATACTTTGACATAAAATCCCAGCCTAGTGAGGGCATTTTGGGTTTACGCGAAGGAGTTGGCGGAACTCTTCAAAAATGATTTATAAGCGTAAAGGCAGCTCAAAATCTCAAAATCAAACTCTTTGACATGCAGAACGATTAAATATATTTTATTTTATTGAATTTGCTTTTGGATTTGGATTTTTCATCTTTCATCTCATTTTTGCTTGCTAGAGAATTTCGCGCTCATCGATGTTTTATTTATTCTTTTTTTTTTTGCAAATTGATCGTTAAATTCACACTTGAAAACCCCATTAAGTTTACCAAAAACACTCGAAAACTCGAAAACTCGAAAACTCGAAAACTAGAAAACTAGGAAAAAATTTTTGTTATTTTTGAGCAACACAAAAAGTGCATTGAGAGAGTGAAGACGGCACGCGTTTCTTGAGTGCTCAAAAATTATAAACGAGAGATTTTTCAGAGAGAAACCCGTTCAGTGCGCTCCAGCATCACCAGAAAAAAAAAAAAAAACGACGATTTTGAGAAAATTTTCACAAAATTTTGTTGTTTTTGTGTCGGTGGTGACCGTTTTTGAAAATTTTGATTTTTAACGACACACAAGAGATTTTCGAGTAAAAAGTCTCAAAAAGGCGTGACTTGTTTACGTAAACCCTTGTGACTTGTTTACGTAAACCCTTGTGACTTGTTTACGTAAACCCGTAAACCGTAAACCACAAAGGGTTTACGTAAACAAGTCACGCCTTTTTGAGACTTTTTGAGACTCGAAAATCTCTTAGTATTGGCACGCGAACAGTTTTGAGATTTAACGAAATTTGACTTTTTTTTTCATTTGAAATCTTCACTAGCTTCCGATGCTGCCGCGAGCCGATTTTCGGTAGGGATTTTGAGGTTCTGGATTTTTTTTAAAGAATTCATCTGGTTGATCTGGTGAATCTGGCATGCACAAGGAAAATTGAGCTAGGTTAGAAAGAGCTAGAGACACTTTCTCGCGGTCTTGATCGAGTTGCGTAACTAAACCGGCGCCTCGATAACCGCTCCCCGAAAAGCAGTCAATTTTTTGTAAATGTTTTTGAGCATTATGGAAGGCACAAGGCATATCTATCATTTCAGAAAATGCTTAATGCGTTTTCTAAAATTTTGGTCATTGTTGGGTGACTAGACTGGGGCTCTGAAAAGCGTTTCCCGGGGCGGCATTCATTTTTTTTCCACTGGTTCTAGCCATTCTGGAACACATAACGAAAATTGAGCTAGGTTAGAAAAGGCTAGAGACACTTTCTCGCGGTCTTGGTCGAGTTGGGTGACTAAACTGGGGCTCTGAAAAGCGCTCACCGAATCGGAATAAAATTTTTGCCACTGGTTCTAGCCATTCTGGAAAGCACACATACAACTTCTGATAATTTCAACCACTAAAATTAACTTTGGGCCAAGTTGGGTAATTGAACCGGACACATCAAAGACTCTTTTAGACTCGATCGTTCTTTGCTTGCCGACATCTCAGAAAAGGAGCTTCTCAAATCGTCGACTCGATCATCGGAAAGCGAAAGCTCAACCGCGTCCACTGATTCGAATCACTTGAATGGTTTGGCGATTTGGCGATGGCGCGACAGGGGGCTGCAGCGATTGTGCTTGGCTTTGGGTGAGTTCGGTTTTGAGTGAGCTTGGCTTTGGGTGAGCTCGGTTTTGAGTGAGCTTGGCTTTGGGTGAGCTCGGTTTTGAGTGAGCTTGGCTTTGGGTGAGCTCGGTTTTTGGGCTTTCAAAACTCTAAGTTGCACTCCAGTTTGAGACTTTTCTTTTGGAGAATCGTAAAATCTTGAAAGGATGCCGAGAAAAATCGAGTTGAAAAAAAAACCTAACCCCATTTCCAGGCTCTCATCCATTGCTGAGTCTGCTCTGCATTTTCGTTTTTCTTTCACCACTTCACTCATTCTATTTCTTCAATCCTCTTCAAATTGAGAGTGACGTGCGGCGAGGGTTTGCGCAAAGAGATGGCAGATCAGCTGCCGAATTCAAGGTTTGCGAATCGTGAACAGTCAAGAACTCACGATCATCTCTGTGTCGAATTTCCTTTTTCTATCGTATACAAAATGTAGGGTGATATCCAGATAGGGGATTACTGTAGCCAAAATGTCGTGTGATATCTAGGTAAGGGATTACTGTAGCCAAAATGTCGTGTGATATCCAGATAAGGAATTAATGTAGCCAAAATGTAGTGTGATATCCAGATTAGAAGTTACGGTAAGTGGACACGTTTTAGAAAAATGTATTTGCAGACTTTCGCCGACTACTATCATCTACCATTCGAGGGATTGGAGATTTGGGTGATTTTAGCGACGCCGAAACGCAATTCGAACGAAACAACGATTACAGTTGACGGGGAATTGTTTGACGAGGTTGGACTTTGCATTTAATTTCATTACTTTCATCCTTATCAATCGGCAACTTTCATAAATGCATCCTCTTCAATTTGGGTTAAACCGGCGCCCGAAAAAGTCCTTCCCAAGTCGAGAATTAATTTTTGCAAGTGAATTTGGACATTCTGGAAGTCACAAGGCATATCTACCATTTCAAATAATGTCTACTGAGCTTCTAAAGTTTTGGTCATAGCTGCGTAACTAAACCGGCCTTCAAAAAAGCCCTCCCCAAACCGAGAATTGATTTTACCAGTTGATTTTGAAATTCTGGAGGTCACAAGGCATATCTAGCATTTCGTCTAGTCTTTAGTGGCTTTAGAAAAATTTTGGTCATAGCTGGGTAACTAAACCGGCGCAGCAAAAGCGCTTCCCAAACCGAGAATTAATTTTTGCAAGTGAATTTGGACATTCTGGAAGTCACAAGGCATATCTAGCATTTCAGATAATCTTTAACAGCCTTAGAAAAATTTTGGTCATGGTTGCGTAACTAAACCGGCCCTCAAAAAGCGCTTCCCAAGTCAAGAATTAATTTTTTTTCAAATAAATTATGCCATTCTGGAAGTCACAGAGTAAAATAGAGGTGCTAATAAGCTGTAAATCATTGTTTCAGATTACTCGTCTTGATGCCTTTGTGCGAAACTTTAGCACATCTTTCAAGGAGAATGAGACAACGAAATTTGACGAAACGTGGAGTGGAGAGGATTTGAATGCAATGCTGGGATATGTAAAGGTAGTAGGACATAGAAGCCAGGCGTTTTTTGAGAGCTTCGGTCGCCGCTGGGCACTAAGTTTCGTGCATGTCACTAAGTTTGAGTTTCTCTTGTCAACAATTCCTTTAGCAAATCCATCCCCTCGTCGGCCTCGTTCCCAATTTCAATCTCAACTATCCGATTGCCCAAATTTCTCATCACAAACTCCATTTGGCCACTCATTTTTTCATGGTTAACGACGGGTTAAGCGTTGGAAACAAAGTGGGTTAGAAAACTTGCGTAATTGAGTTAATCAGTTAACCAATCAATCAACCAATGGTTGGACCAATCAACTTGGGTAACTGAACCAGTAGCTTTTTTGTAACCAGTAGCTTGTTTGTAACCGTAGCTTGTTTGTAACCAGTAGCTTGTTTATAACCGTAGCTTGTTTGTAACCAGTAGCTTGTTTGTAGCCAGTAGCTTGTTTGTAACCGTAGCTTGTTTGTAACCAGTAGCTTGTTTATAACCGTAGCTTTTTGTAACCAGTAGCTTGTTTATAACCGTAGCTTGTTTGTAACCAGTAGCTTGTTTGTAACCGTAGCTTGTTTGTAACCAGTAGCTTGTTTGTAGCCGTAGCTTGTTTGTAACCGTAGCTTGTTTATAACCAGTAGCTTGTTTGTAACCGTAGCTTGTTTATAACCGTAGCCCGTTTCTCTAGAAACGGAATTGTCAACTGCTCTCGGTTCAGTTACCCAAACCAATTGGATCGCAATAGTACTAGCTTTAGAAACCGATTGATACAGATTGAATCATTGAAAATCTTTTTTTGCAGAATGTACCAATGAAAACGAGTCGCTTCATCGCACTTTGGTATATGAGCAAAGCCGAGAACTATACGCAAAGGAAGAAATTGGGTGAGTTCTTCGACCTCAGCTTTTTTACCAATATTTTCCAAACCACAAACTAAACTGATTTTTATTTCTCAAATTCTGGAGGTCACAAGGCATATCTACCATTTCGTATAATCTTTAGCGGCTTTAGAAAAATTTTGGTCATAGCTGGGTAAATAAACCGGCCTTCAAAAAAGCGCTTCCCAAAGCGAGAATTAATTTTTGCAAGTGAATTTGGACATTCTGGAGGTCACAAGGCATATCTACCATTTCAAATAATGTCTACTGAGCTTCTAAAGTTTTGGTGATGGTTGGGTAACTAAACCGGCCCTCAAAAAGGGCTTCCTAAAGCGAGAATTAATTTTTCTAAGTGAATTTGGACATTCTGGAAGGCACAAGGCATATCTAGCATTTCAGATAATCTTTAGCGGCCTTAGAAAAGTTTTGGTCATAGCTGCGTAACTAAACCGGCCTTCAAAAAGCCCTCCCCAAACCGAGAATTAATTTTTGCGAATGAATTTGGACATTCTGGAAGTCACAAGGCATATCTACCATTTCAAATAAGTCTAAAGAGTTTCTTAAAGTTTTGACCGTCCTATGCTAGTCCTTTCTTTAGAAGCCATCGAGTTAGGTCTCTTCAACGAGTTTCTCGGTGATAATTTCAGTCAACGCTTCAGCATTGAGATGTTCGGGGATCAGGTTCGCAAAACCGTTTACAAACGATTCGAGCTTTGATATGATCTGGTCTCTTAGGTAGCGAACGCGGAAATGCTTCGCGGCACGTTGCTCTCTCTGAAGCTCTTCATCCTTGGCGGTGTTTTAATGGTGATGTTTATGCTGGCAATGCTTCGACATTTGACATGGAAGAGTCGAGTGAGTTAGCTAGAGTCAGATTTTAGTTACATTCTTAATCTCAATATGATTGAAGCTCGAATCCGAAGGAATTGGGTATTCTAGATGGGTTTGTTTGGGTTAAATTTGAGTCAATTTGGTCGATTGGTTGATTGGTTGATTGGTCGATTGGCCGTTTGGTCGATTGGCCGCTTGACCGTTTGTTTGATTGGCTGATTGGCCGCTTGGCCGTTTGGCCGATTAGCCGCTTGGCCGTTTGGTCGACTGGCCGCTTGGCCGCTTGGCCGTTTGGCCGATTGGCCGATTAGCCGCTTGGCCGCTTGGCCGCTTGGCCGTTTGGTCGATTGGCCGATTAGCCGCTTGGCCGCTTGGCCGCTTGGCCGCTTGGCCGTTTGGCCGTTTGGTCGATTGGCCGATTAGCCGCTTGGCCGTTTGGTCGACTGGCCGCTTGGCCGCTTGGCCGTTTGGCCGATTGGCCGATTAGCCCTTGGCCGCTTGGCCTTGGCCGTTTGGTCGATTGGCCGATTAGCCGCTTGGCCGCTTGGCCGCTTGGCCGCTTGGCCGTTTGGCCGTTTGGTCGATTGGCCGATTAGCCGCTTGGCCGTTTGGTCGACTGGCCGCTTGGCCGTTTGGTCGATTGGCCGATTAGCCGTTTGGCCAATTTGCCGATCAAAATCAGTGTAGATAAAGCTGAGAACAAGGAGCTTTTTTGGTTACAAAGCTTGATGAAACTCTATCGATAATCGTCTAGCTGAAGTCTCTGAAATGCCAAACCCTTGCAGATCTTGATGACAATCGGTGCTGTGCTTTCCCCAATGTTGGCCACTCTATCCACTTTTTCTCTACTCGGTTGGCTGGGTGTTCGCGTGAATTCGATGATGTGCATCACACCGTTTTTAGTGCTCGGCATCGGTGAGTCAAAGCCAAAAAGAAAGCCAAGAAAGTCAAGGCCAAGAAAGTCAAAGCCAAGAAAGGCAAGGCCAAGAAAGGCAAAGCCAATAAAGGCAAAGCCAAGAAAGTCAAGGCCAAGAAAGGCAAGGCCAAGAAAGGCAAAGCCAATAAAGTCAAGGCCAATTGCTTCAACTACTCAATTGAACTTCAGGAGTCGACGACGCTTTCCTCTTGCTTCATCAATGGCGGAAAGTGAGGAAAGAAAGATGCCATCTTAGGTGAGGAAATGGTTGATTTGTTTAAAAAGACAATTCCATGACAATTCCATGACAATTCCATGACAATTGCAGAGCAAATGAAGTTCTCGAAATGATCTTCCATCACGTCGGTCCAAGCATGGCTGTTACATCAAGTAAATTGTTTACAAACTCTTGTGGATCAAGCCACTTCATTATCCAATTTCAGTCACAAACACGCTCGCTTTCGGCATCGGTATCAGCAATCCGTCTCCGCAGGTAAGCGGAAGCAATAATTAGTTCTTCTCTAATAGCTATTCTCTAATAGTTCTTCTCTAATCAATTTCCAGATGAGCACTTTCTGCCTTGGCACGACTCTTGCCGTTTTCCTCGATCTCATCTACGAGTTTGCCATTTTCACTCCAATCATGGTGTTGTTCTTTGACGAAAAAAAGGAAACGAAAAATGTGGAGAATGAAATGAAATGGTAAACAAGAAAGCCAAAGTAGTACAGTAGCTTCTACAGTAGCCCAGAAAGAGTACCTAACGATATAGAAAAGCTGAGCGTTAATTCCCAAAGTCTGATGGCTTTGAGGTTTAAGTTGGAACCCACTAGAGCCTTTGACACTGAAATTTGCCTTCATTTTCTATTTTCTCATTTCCCAGGTCTAATCTGGAAGGCACTAGGGTATTTAACGTCGAAATTTGACTTTATTTTCAATTTTCCCGTCTTCCAGGTCTAGTCTGGAACTCACTAGGGCACTTAACATCAAAATTTGCCTTCATTTTCAATTTTCCAGGCTCCCCACCTGGGCCCACCTCGTCGACGTGTTCTATTCTCCAATTGGCCGTCTACTAATCGTTCTCATTTGTTGTGTGATGTACACAATGGCCGGGATTGGTGAGTGAGCAAGTAAACTTGTGTCTGACCAGTAGCTTAGCTTAGTTAACTGGGCTGGAGGGCTGTAAAACAGTTAGATCAAAGCCTCAGAAGCTACTGGCAGCCCCAAGGACTCTTTTGTGTCCCAAGGACTAAGTCTTAAGGACCCAAGGACCAAGTCCTAAGGACCCCAAGGACAAGAGCTATTTAGTCCAGGAGTGCTGCAGTCCCAGTTCCAAGATCAGTAGCCTGACTTGGTTTGGCGGAGTCTTGGGTATGCAAAACAGGCTCTAGAGTTGAGCTAAGCTTAGTTAAGCCAAGCTTAGTGACTTTTCAGGGATCAGGTCAGGGTTACTGTAGTCTAGATCTGATCGATCGGTTCTTTTCCAGGTCTCTCCCAAATGGTTCCCTCGTTCGAGCCGGCAAAGACTTTCCCGGCAGACTCTGAGTTGATCCACGCTTTGCGATCTTTCGAATTTATTCAAACTGAGGTGATTTTTGAAAAAGAAACTTTAAAACTTGATTTCTATTCATTTCTAGTATTGGCCAGTCAATTACATTACGAAAAAAGTGCCAAAAACTTGGAAAGAAGTCGAGGAATGGGAGGAGATGTTGATCAAGTTGGTAGAACAAAAGATAGAAGTGTTCCAATGCTCTAAGCTACTGTAGCCTATTGTAGACTACTCTAGACTACTCTAGACTATTGTAGACTACTGTAGCCTATTGTAGCCTATTGTAAACTACTCTAGACCATTGTAGACTACTGTAGACTACTCTAGACTACTCTAGACAATTGTAGACTACTCTAGACTATTGTAGCCTATTGTAGACTACTCCAGACTATTGTAGACTACTGTAGCCTATTGTAGACTACTGTAGACTACTCTAGACTACTCTAGACTACTCTAGACTACTCTCGACAATTGTAGACTACTGTAGCCTATTGTAGACTACTCTAGACTACTGTAGACTACTCTAGACTACTCTAGACAATTGTAGACTACTCTAGACTATTGTAGCCTATTGTAGACTACTCCAGACTATTGTAGACTACTGTAGCCTATTGTAGACTACTGTAGACTACTCTAGACTACTCTAGACTACTCTAGACTACTCTCGACAATTGTAGACTACTGTAGCCTATTGTAGACTACTCTAGACTACTGTAGACTACTCTAGACTACTCTAGACAATTGTAGACTACTGTAGCCTATTGTAGCCTATTGTAGACTACTCTAGACTATTGTAGACTACTGTAGCCTATTGTAGCCTATTGTAGACTACTCTAGACTACTCTAGACTACTGTAGCCTATTGCAGCCTATTGTAGACTACTTTAGACTACTCTAGACTACTGTAGACCACTCTAGATTACTCTAGGTTACTCTAGACTACTTTTTGCACATTTCTAGATCAAGCCTATCCTACAGTACCCAAAAAAAAGCGTCGACTTTTTAGGCTTGAAACTCGGGATCATTGCTATGGGTCGACGAGGCGAAGCGCTAACTTTCTACGCGATTTTTACGAGGGTGGCTTTTTGGGAGACGAAAAATGAAATGAATTTGAAATATTTAAAGATTAGAATTTTTAAATTCATCTTTTTTTTTTGCCGTTTTTTATTTTCCTTAAAACTTTACTCATTTTTAGGAGAATGCAAAGCGATCAAAAGGCACAAATGAAACGATTTCTTTCGACAATTTACCGCAATTCTTGCTCGATCGACGAATCGCTCACAGGAAATTGATCCAGTGGCACTTCGAGAAGTTGATTTCCAATTCATGACAAAAACTAGCCACTAGAATTTAAGAATCTTGTAGAAAAGGAGTTTTTCGTTGGATCTGGCACGCACAGCAGTGATTTAAGTAGAGAAATCGGCGAATAGACCCCGGAACCGATTCCCGGAACCGAAGTTATGTTGCGTAACTAAACCGGGGTTTTAAAGAAGCGTTATAGAAGGCTAATCGACTTTCTGAGAATGAATTCTGACATTATGGAAGGCACAATTCAAAAAGAATATAGTTATTCAAGCTGTGTTTGGGTTTTGAAGAAAAGAAAAAATTTCTTTTTTTTTTAAAGAAAAGATTCTCTTTAATCAGCAAACCCCGAAAATTTTAAAATCATTAAAAATGATTTTTAATCAACTATATTTACTTTGTGCCTTCCACAATTGCAGAATTCGGTTTGAAAAAAAAGCTAGCTTGGCTTTAAAAAGGGATTTTATAAAGGCCGAGTTTAGTTTAGTCATCTAGTTTCTAGGTGATTTAGTTCTTTCCATTTAGTGACACTGTGCGAGTTGATGGAGCAAATTTCGTGATCGCTTGTCGAGGTTTGTTTGCGCGAAAGATCTAGAAAGATCTAGAAAGATCTAGAAATCTAGAAATCTAGTAATCTAGAAATCTAGAAATCTAGGAATCTAGAAATCTAGTAATCTAGGAATCTAGAAATCTAGGAATCTAGAAATCTAGAAATCTAGAAATCTAGAAATCTAGAATTCTAGAATTCTAGAAATCCAGAGATCTAGAAATCTAGAAATCTAGAAATCTAGAAATCCAGAGATCTAGAAATCCAGAGATCTAGAAATCTAGAAATCTAGAAATCTAGAAATCTAGTAATCTAGAAATCTAGAAATCTAGAAATCTAGTAATCTAGAAATCTAGTAATCTAGAAATCTAGTAATCTAGAAATCTAGAAATCTAGAATTCTAGAAAGAAAAGATTAATGATAGCTAGTTTTAGTATTCAGTGTTAGTAACATTAAATATCCGTTTTCTGGCGCTAATTCCTTGATCGAATAGGATCGAATAGACGTTCTAGATGAGTTTTTGATCATTTTAATTATTCTAATCATTCTAATCATTTTAATCATTCTGAATCATTTTAATCATCTGAATCATTTTAATCATTTTAATTATTTTAAACAAGTTTTCCAAATGAAACTCCAATGATTCTAGAAAGGCGTACAAATAATAAAAGAATTCTCTTCCCATTTGCTAGACTAATAACTAGGCTAAAGACGAATAGCAAAACCGCTGTAAAGGCACAACATGAAAATTAGATTTTGAGAATTTCCTTGAAACATTCTACCGTCTTACTTTCATATTCTAGCTAATCGAAACCTACTTTCGAGAGTTCAATCAAATCACCAAATAACTTAAACCTTACAAAGCGTTCCAGTTCCAAGGAATGAATCGTCACGCTTTGTAGGTCGCTTTTGGTCGACTGTAGGTCGTACGTCGACTGTAGGTCGTAGGTTGACTGTAGATCGTAGGTCGACTGTAGGTCGTAGGTCGACTGTAGGTCGTAGGTTGACTGTAGGTCGTAGGTCGACTGTAGGTCGTAGGTCGACTGTAGATCGTAGGTCGACTGTAGGTCCCTTTCCTTTTCCCTTTCCTTTTCCCTTTCCTTTTCCCTTTCCTTTTCCCTTTCCTTTTCCCTTTCCTTTTCCCTTTCCTTTTCCCTTTCCTTTTCCATTTCCTTTTCCCTTTCCTTTTCCATTTCCTTTTTCTATTCAGTTTTCCCATTGCCCTCAGGAATGACCGATTGGAATCGAAGAGCTGAAATCATCAAATAACTTGATACCAAAAACTTGACACCAAATAACTAAGAGTTCAATCACATCACCAAATAACGTAAACCTTATAAAGCGTTCCAGTTCCAAGGAATGAATTGCTTTGTAGCTTTGTAGGTAGCTTTGTAGGTCGCTTTGTAGGTCGCTTTGTAGGTCGCTTTGTAGGTCGCTTTGTAGGTCGCTTTGTAGGTCGATCTGATCTGAAAAAGATCGCCAAAAAGATCTTCCAAAAACCATTTCCTTTTCCTTTTCCATTTCTATTCAGTTTTCCCATTGCCCTCAGGAATGACCGATTGGAATCGAAGAGCTGAAATCATCAAAAAAACACGGCATTTCGTCGATGGATATCCGAAATTTGAGACAACGCTTTTCGACTACGATGCCACCATTTATGATATTATAATCTCGGTCAAGGTCAGCTCAATTCAAGTGTACTTTGTGCTAAAAAACTTTGTGTGCCAAAAGGGATGTGCTCCCAAAACATTCACCGCACAAAATACCCACCAAAAACGCCAGAGAAACAAAGTCTGCTCAGAACTCAGAAAACTATTGATTCAAGCTGAATCTCCCTTTAATCCCAACCGCCTTTCAGTCTGAGCTCATCCAAGCTGTCGTCGTCACGTTCTCCTGTATGTCCATCATCTCGACTCTCTCAATTCCTGAGCTATTCGGCGCCTCGATCGCCTCCACATCAATGTTGAGCATCACCGGATGTAAGTCGTTTGTCTAACCAACTGCAAAGCACAATCTGGCACACACAACAGTGATTCGAGTAGTTAAACTAAGGCAAGCAAGCTTTTCTCCGGATTTTGGTCTAGTTGGGTAACTAAACCGATGCCTGAAAACAGTTTGTTCTCAATTAACAGATCGAATAATGAAAGGAGAGTCTAAACTGGCACGCACAACAGTGATTTGAGTAGTTAAACTAGTGCAAGTACGACTTTCCCCGGAGTTGGGTCAAGTTGGGTAACTAAACCGGCGCCTAAAACAGTTCCTTCTCAATTACCAGATCAAATAATGAAAGGAAAGTCTAAGCTGGCACGCACAACAGCCATTCAATTAGTTAAACTAGTGCAAGCAAGCTTTTCCCAGGAGTTGGGTAACTAAACCGACGCCTGAAAAAGCGTTTGCATGCCATTTTTCATCACAAAAACAGTAGCTTCAGCCAATATGGCGCACAGGGAAAAGGCCAGCAATTAAACAACGATGAAATCGGATCATTAGATTTCTTGGGTAACTAAATCAATGCCTAAAAACTATAGTACCACAAAGCTACAGTACCTTGAATTCCCTCTTTCAGGCATGTTGGGTTTCCTCTCGCTTTGGGGCTGCGGTCTTGATCCGATCGTGATGATCAATGTGCTTATGGCCATTGGTTTCTCCGTTGATTTCTCCGCCCACATCTGCTATCATCATCACAAAGCAAGGAGATCCGGGATACGGTAATAAACAAAATACATTCAATTAATCAAATTTTAGCGAATCCGAGAAAGCCCGGCTGCAACGAATCATGGAATCAGTGGGAAGGCCGATGATTGAGGTCGGGGAATTGAGATCAAGCTTGAAAAATAGTTTCTCGTCAAACTATCAATCAAATAATGAAAGGAAAGTGTAATCTGGCACGCACAACAGTGATTCAATTAGTTAAACTAGGGCAAGTACGACTTTCCCCGAATTGATTCTAGTTGGGTAACTAAACCGACGCCTGAAAACAGTTCCTTCTCAATTACCAGATCAAATAATGAAAGGAAAGTCTAATCTGGCATCCACAACAGTGATTCAAGTAGTTAAACTAGTGCACGCAAGCCTTTCGCCTACATTGGGTCGAGTTGGGTAACTAAACCGACGCCTGAAAAAGGGTTTGTGTGCACCTGGAAACCAAAAAAGCAGTTAATTCGAGCAATTTGGCACACACGAGAAAAAGTTCAATAGTCAAATAACGATAAAATGATCTGGGTGGTCGTCTAAAATTCTCGAATTTAGGCGGGTTTTTCAACGATTCTCTGCATGTTACCGCTTTTTTTCATCAACATCTACGCGATTATTTCATTCGCGAAAACCGTTTGTCTGGTGGGTGAGCATAAGCTGGTCAAAATCAAAAAGGCTCTTTAAAGAATAGTCCCAGTTTCCGTAATGCTGGCTGATTTGGTTGGCTAGCTTACGGTAGATTTACGAAATACGAAATACGAAAAAACGAATTAATCATTAAGATCACGATAAACGAAATGATTTTAGGAAAAAAAAGCTATTTGGTATTTGGTATATTTGGCTCAAAAAAAAAATCGTCATTTAATCGTGAACACCGACTTTTTTCCAGGTTTCATCGATCGGTCTTTTCCACGGTCTCATCCTAATCCCTCTAATTCTCTCACTATTCCCAATGAAGTGATCAATTCATCAAAAATCAAAAAAACAAAAAGGAAAGATAAAGAAAACCATAAAATCAAGTCACTTTTTGTAAATACTGTAAAAAAAATATTCAAATAAAAATCTTGAATATAAAATAATTCATAAAAAACAAAAAAAAAAGCAAATCGCAAAATGAGCACAGAAAAGCTTTATTTTCAACCAGAAACTCCAATAAATCACAGAAATGTTCCAGAAAAGTTTTGAGCATCACGTCGCACATCGATGGAGAAACAAAAGGAGAAACAAATCGAGAGGAGAAACAAAACCCGATCGATCACCCTGAAAAAAGGAACTACAATTTGAACAGTCAAACTTTTAGCTGGCCACACTAGTTGGGGTTTGTGAAAGTTTTAGAGTTTTGGCTAACAAAAAGCTTTCAGAACCTGTTTTTTAGTATCAGAAACGGGCCCCCTATTCAACCTTCTGGGTTGTTCCAAAAGTGATTTCTCCGGGTTAAGGAAGCCAAGAAAGGCCAGGGCCAGGTCAGAAGCCAGGTATTGGCCTTGCTTTTGGCTGGCTTTACTGCAGCCTAACCAGAGACCAGACCTGGATTTGGTCGAAACATCACTGGTCACATCCAGCCTAGTCTAGTTGTCCAAAATAAATAAGTCCAAAAAGTAAAGCTGCATTGAAGAAAAATTTGAAACTCGAGCAGTTTACAGTTAAACCTTTTGATGCCTAACTTTTTAAATATCAAAACTCCCTTAACGATATTTTACGTAAATGAGTATCTAGCGTAAGATGCCAGTCTTCGAGACAGAAATGTCAATTATGGAGAAGATTGAAGAAGATTTTTCCAATCCCAGTCATCTATTGCACTATCCATTCAATCATCCAAAAACCCTCACCCTTTTTGGCGCCTTTCTTCTTCTTTTATATCTTCTTCTCTTTCTCATTCCCAGTCTCGGCCCTCGTCGACGTCGTCTCCCCGTTTTTGCTGCCGTCGACTGTGCTGCTCGGCTGCTCAATGAAATCGCAAGTCTCGGCGACAAGAGTCTAAAAAAAACGCAATCAATACCGTAACACTACTAGCTAGCTAGCTTGCAACAACAAAGTGCTATTAACCTATGTCTCCTGTAAATTTTCACACTTTTAGTTCAACTTTGAGCCTCAAGGGCTTTCTTTTTGTTCCCGAGGAAATTTCCCTCCCAAAACGTCTCTTCAGGAACATTTCCCCTCAAATTCCCTTATCTTATCTCAGTGTCTATGCTTTGAAAGCAAGAAAAAAAGAGAAACGGTTCAAACTCCGATTTTTCTCCCAACAAACACGTAAACAATGTTCTTAAAAGTGGCCATTGGGATTTTCGAGTCCACCACAAAAACCCATTGCTCACCTCAATCGCGAGCGCCATGTCGCAGGCAAGTTGTGCGGCGGGGACGCCTTGGTTCAGCTGAAGAGTGTCTAAATGAAGAAAATTAGCTTAGGAGCTAATATGATACCAGCTATTACCAGAGGATTTTTTCCGATCGAAGGAAAACCCTATGCACTTTTGCACTGCACTATGGAAGACGCCAGGTGGAGTTATGTCAGTACTAAGCCAGTACAACTTTTTTTGATTTGGGTAACTAAGCCACCGCTTGGAATCCGTTTGGATCCAGCTTGACAACTATTTTGACACCAATGCTAGTTTTGAAATGTAGTTTTGAAATGCATTTTGAAATGAAAAGTTTTGGTAATTAAGGGCTAACATTTCATTGTGCCAACAACTTTTATGAGTTGGACAACTAAACCACCCGTTTGCCGGACCCATTTTTTGTGTCTTCTTCGATGGGAAGACTGCGTTATCCAAAAATCTCGCTCACCCAGTAACGAGGCGCGAGTCTTGTCCCGATTGAGTGTCATCTCCGGCGTTTCCGGGGCACAAGGAGTCGACGAGCCGGGCTAAAGTAAAAAAAAACGGGAGAATCGTTAAACCAATCCCACCACTCACCATCACGCATTTATACTGTTTCTGCTTTCGATCGCCAACATGTACCATCCCGCCAATCTCGCATATTTTGCTCAGGGCACCATGCCTAAACATAAAAAAAAATTTCCAACCCAATTGAAAGCTTTGAAGGATTTGACCGTTCGTCCAGTTCAATACTTTCAGTTTTGTGGTGTCAAAAATCGTAAAAATCGTAACCTATTCAAGTGGGAAACACTCAAAGATTGGACCTGTCAAAGTTCAGCTTTGACAAGCTCAAACTTTTCCTTTTAACTTGTCATAAGACTCACTTTCGCCACGGATTGTTGCTGCCGCGTTCGGCGTGTTTCGCGTGTTGTTCGTTTCGGCCCAAATCCGGGTACTCGAGAATTGTCTGGAAAGAAAACCCAATAACCAATATTAATTTTTTAAAAACTGACCACAAATGGCTGCACACAAACGACTCCGTCGTTGGTGGCTTGCAAAGCGCTCGGCACGACACAAAGTTGCTCCAAGTGTTTTCTAAAAAGAAAAAAATTAGGTTTGATGTGAACGCCCAATCGAATTTCAGGAAACAAGCTCACGCCGTCACATCTTGGCCAGTATTGTAGACTCGATATCGCCCAGCAACACCTTCGGTACTAAAAAGGAAAGCTAGAATTTGAGGCTTTAGGTTGAACAAGAGCTTGATTTGACTTTTTACAACAGTTTGCGGTGCTATGTATAGTAGTTCGGGGGATATGGGTACATTCAGCCAGTGTACATTCATCTCTATTGAGTAAGAGTGCACTAATTTTTGCTTCTAGGGCTTTTAATGGTGTAGATTCTTAATTTGGTATCTATTTAAGTTTTGTAACTATTTTCTATTTCAAGTAGGCTTTAAGCCACTTAATTCTCTTAATTCGCGCTTAGCCTCTTAATTCGATCCGGTACCTTCAAATCCAATGAAAATAGAGTCCCACTTGAAGGCTCAGAAATGCTTTTCAAAGTGCCATAAAAGTTGTTTAGATTGGCTTAAAAATGCTTCCAATGGATTCAGCATAGTTGATTAGCCAAGAAAAAGCTTTTAAAACTAGTGGAAAGTTCGAAAAAACTGGTATTTGCAAACTGCTCCCCGCCCGAACCACTATAGCACCCAGTTTGCTTCAAAATTTAGATGAGAATGCGCCAAGATCGTATCATTCGTTCAACAACGAAATCATGGTTATTTTTGTGCCAAAACCGTATCATTAACTGTTTTTGATTAAAACGCATTTTTTAATTTGCCCCAGAGTATCCGACTTTACAACTCGTTTCCTAGTACTAATTTGACTAACATAACCGTTCTAATCGTATATTCTGACAAACTTCAATTCAAGTTTTGTCAAAATCTTTACAAATACCTCGTTGAGGTGGTCGTCGTTGTACCAGTGGTCGAGGAGGTCCCAAGCTGTGACGACGATTGTGCATAAGTCAACGGGGTTTGCGTGGGCTGAGTGGTGGCTGTTTGCGGTGGCATCGACATCTAAAATGAGAAAAGATTAACGGGATGGAAGTTAGGGATCTCAACTTTAGATCTTCAACGCCGTCTTAGTTTGAACAGTTTGAGCAAACTCAAAGCTAACATCTTTCACATCTGTTTTTTTTAAGGTTTGCTGCTATCTAGGCATTTTACTAGGCGCAACACTTCTAGGTGGGTTAAAACCCTTAAAAACTTGGATAGAGTGCTCTGAAACGGTCAGCAACTAATTCGGTCGGTTCAGTTTGAAAACGTTTACACAACACATTCACTTAAAACGTAAAATCCTGCCTGAACTAGCCTGAACTAGCCTCAAAAGGTTTCCTTTGGAACAACTCTACACTATCAACGAATAAAATAAATTCTCACTACAAGGTGTCACAGTGCTTTACAAACGAGTCTTTGACACTTATTTACGCATAATCCGCTACATTAAAGTTTACCGTGGTTATCGCAATTGTGATAAAGCCCCATAACAAACGCAAGCTAATAAGCTATTGCAGCTACTCCAAAAATCACAAGAATCTTCAGCTGTTTTTTTGGTATACGTAGCGTTTGCGATCATTATCCGATAGCCATGTCTAACTGAAATTATTCTGAATGCCAAAACTTACAATTTCCCCGCAAAGCGACGAAACATCGTTGCTCGAGTGTCTCGACGATGACGAGGAGGCGCGTCGACTGATCGATTGAGCCGTCGCCAGTTCATTTGACGGGATCCTGTAAGAAAGAACATATAGAATAGGCTAAAAAAACGATCAAAACATTAATTTAAAGCCACCAAAACAATAATTTCAAGATTTTCTGAATTGAATCGTCTAAATTATGTTGCAAAGCAAAATTTCTAAGCGGAAACACAGGAATTTCGTCTTTTTTTTCGGAATTTCGTCTTTTTCAACTACAAATCCAGTCAAAACAAATAGAAACCGTCAAATTTCGTGTCAATCTCAAAAAAAAAAATAAGGCCAACCTGTGAAACTCCATTGTAAGAAATGAGAAAATTACTGGATTAAGGGTAAACTTTCCCTGAAATTCTCATGCAAATATAACGATAAACAAATTTTTGACTGTCTTTCAAGCATCGTAACACCAAATAGGCTGAAACTTAACCACGACACTTTTTAGGCATCAATTGTCAAGATTCCAAAGAATTGACTCATTTTTCTCAAAGCTGCTGCTTTTCAAGGTAAAAGCACAAAATCCCGGGCATTTTTATTCAACGAGAGCTGAATTCATGCGCAACAACAACCCTTTTCATCTAAATTTCCAAAGAAACGAGGAGCTTTCAAAACTTTTGACTGAAAGTTCTTCTCGTACCTGTACATTTCATGTAACTTTTGACTGTGTCACCCAAATTTCTCACTGAATCACTCAATATCGTAAAATTTATTCAACCGGTATAGAAATAGGATAGTGGCGACTTTATTTCGAGCAAAAACAAACATCAAAACACAGCGATACAAAAAGAAACAAAAAAGTAGATCTTTAGCCTCATAAAATACCCGATACAATCATTTTCATTCAATCATCTTTCTTACTGCCCTTTCCGTCGCGTTCAGCCTCGGCGAGCAGGTCGCTAACTCGGTCGTATTCCCTTTGCAGTCCCTCGGCTTGCTTCTTCAACGTGTCGCGGTCTTCTTGGGCTTTCTGAAAATGAAAAACGGTGTAGAGATAAAAATTTCGTTAACTTTTACTAGTAGCTCAAGTCAATTCACTTTCCACAACTTCTACAACAACAAACAGCTCATTGGGCTTATCTAAAAGCCTAAAAGGCAGCTCGAAAACTACAATTAAATAAAAGTTCATTGATAATCAACTTTTCACCAAACCTTTACCCAACAATTGTAATCCTTTTAGCATTAGAATGAAACTAGATCGCATAGATTTAGTCTTAAAGTTGTAAAGCCTCTTACCAGCCACCAATCAAATCTCGCAAAATATTGTATAGCCAAAAAATTGCAATTCTTTTGGTATTACAAAAAAGCTATTTTACACAGATTTGACCTTAAAGTTGCAAAGCTCTTTGCCTCCTACAAAACTTGTAAAGGCATACCGCACAAAGGCCCAAAACCTCACCTTCAATTCCTTGCTCATCTCCTCGACTTGTCGCACCAAATCCTTCGCATCCTCGTCCTTTGATCCGTCCATCAGAGTTCGAGCGGCTTTCGTGGCGCTCTCGGCTTGACGCATCGCCGCCTCACTGGCCGCTTCCAGTTGGGCACCACGTTGAAGGAGGCCGGCGATTCGCTTGATGACGAGAAAGAGGAGAAGCGCGAAGCCGGAAATGTAGAAGTTCCGTTGAGCGCGGAAGAGCCGCATGTGCAAGACGGCGTCCGCCTCGGCGTGTCTTGCGTTGGCCAAGTCGATATCGACATGCGAGTACTTTTGCACCTCACGAACCGCGTCGGCGAAGAGCACGAAGAGCACCACCGTTCCCGCGTAGAAGCCGACCTAAAGCAAGAGATTTACCTTTTGGTGTTAAAGTACGTTTTACTAACTTTATAATCACATAGAACTTATCAATCAACTTTTTGAGTTCAAAGTAACAGAATTTCGAAATATTGCTGAATTTGGGTAAACGCCTTCTAGAATCTATTAATAGCCTCGATTTGGCCAAAACCACGTACCTACTCTATCTCCACAAACCAATCTTTTGAAGCTAGCATTGAACAAGCTTAAACTTGGCTTTGCGGAGCTTTTTAAAACTAAATCCCAATACAAATACAGCCAAACTTTAGCCGCTCTAACACTTCCTAAAGCAAAAATTGTTCAAATTAGCTTAAAAATTGCTTGAAAACGGCAGAATAGTCCTTTTACCAAGGTTCTCGTCAAAGAAACCCCACGAAAGTTGACTATAGCTTTACTTCCAAACAAACTCGTTACCTGTGCATTCTTTGCGACCACATTGACGAGCGTGCTTCGGAAGAACTTGCTCCACAACGATGGGCGAATCCAAGGCAGCAACAAAACGAGCACGACGACGATCTCCGCGTAGAGAATTCCGGCAACGGCCGTCCATTGTAAAGACATCGTTGAGTGGTGTTATCTGAAAATTTAAAGATTTAGCAAGAATAAAAGAGATAAGAAAAAAGAAACAATTTCAGCAATGATTGGGGGGCTGATGAATTAGGACGTAATTTTTCGACTAAAAATACGTCTAGCATAGCAATTTTCAAAGTTCAAATGCACTTTATTGCTGTGTAATGCGTTTTTTCAGACAAAACAAGACACAATCGTTAAAAACTGGAAAAGTCTTGGATTCCTTCCAATTATCTAAACAAAACCAGCCAACTACTGGTTATTACTTGAAAAAATTGGCACGTTAACAGCTTGCTAACGGGTGATTGGATAAAAACCTACTTTTTACAACCAAATTTGATCCAGTTTTAACGCTATTTTCTTCAAAATCAAAGAAAAGTCACTAAGTCACTAAGAACATCCAAAAAATCCCCTCAAAGCACCAAATTCCCCAACAAAAAAATCTTGCAACATCCAATTGTCACACTTTTGCAAAACTTTAACATCAACAATCAACGCTTTTTAATCGAAAGCTTTGATGAATTCATGACGCAAGAAAATTTCGGCAAAAACTGAACAGCTTTCCGCCAAAGCTAAGATGTTCAAAACACTGAAAGTTGGCCACAAAACGCCAAAAAAGCGATCGATCGGCTCCGCTTTTTTCCCCAATGCGGGGGTAAATAACGCTGTAAACAACAAGGTCACCTGCACTAGAAAGAATCAGCCGACAAAAACAGGTGAACATAGCTTTTTAGGTCAAAAATTGTTCCAAATAGATGAAAATTTGTTTGAAAATGGTAGAATGGGCCTTTTTACAAGGTTGCTTCATCAAAAAGAATGAAAAGCTGATTATAACTTTTCAAAGCTCCAAGAATTCCCCAAAAACAAGTGATTTCTTTCAATAACAGCGGTGATACTTTGGTGGTTGGGAGGGGCCACTTTTATCCTGGCTTAGTTGGATCTAATGTTTTGAGTGGTTGTATATGTATATATCGAGGATCTTTTATTTATTCTAGGGTAATCAAATATATTTAATAGATTGGTGACTATTTTAGTAAGTTTTTGGCAATTCTAGTCTAATCTCATGTACTTTGACCGCCAAACGTTATCCCAAAACTGCTTACACTTGAAAATCAAATAAAAGTGGCAATCTGAAACTTGGAACATGTTGCAAATGCTCTAAAAGTATAACCATATTTGATTACCCTAGAATAGGTGGATAAAAGATATCAATACAACCACTCAAAACATTAGTTCTAACTAAGCCATGATAAAAGTGGCCCCTCCCAACCACCAAAATACCACAGCGGTAAACAACTGGAAATCAATCTGAAAAATTTTAACTTTGAACAACATGTGATGAATCTTCCTGTAACATCACACAGAACTAGCAAAGTGGCCAAGAATTAATGATGAATTCTGCAACAAAACCAAGATAGCATTGGATCTAGCATTTTTCAAAATAAACAGCGTACGTGGCCAAAACAACTTGACAACTCAAGGAAAAGCTAACTTTGACAAAATATGATGCAACTCACTGTAATCATAACTCAAAACAGTCAGTTTCCCAGCTTTTATCCCAAAAATTGGTGTACGTGGCCGAGATGACTAAGAGGGGGAATGAACAAGTGAAGTACTCTCTTGCGAAATGCGGAGAAAATGGGGACGACGGGGTCTCGCGGGGATCGCCCGACCAGCAACGCTTCGCTACGATCCCCCATTGGCACCCATCCAATCGGGATTGAATGGTGTGAAATGGAGAGGAAAGCAAAGCCGAGCCCAAGAGAAAAATCACATGCTTCGTCGTTGATTGACAGCCCGACTTCGACCCGTTCCAATTATTCCGGAATCTAGAAGAGCTGCAAGGAAACAATTGGCTGGCTGCTACTTGCTAAAGTGAAGATTATTTTGTTCAACTTGAAGCTTTCTTTGAAAAGAACCCATTCAACAGCTGCTTCGGTTCGATTTTAACTTGACAAGAACATCTATTCCACGAAAACTACATGAGAAGCTGCCGTTTTTAAACAATTTCAAGGTTTCTTTCATTCAAAACGCCAAATTTAAGCCAACTACGAGATTAGAAGCAGCTTTTGCGCGTTTTAAAACGATGAACTTCTCGAAATAACGATTCTTATCATCCGTTTTTATCGATTCCAAGCATTCAACCACTAAATCGTATTTTCAAGCATTTCTACAACAACTAGCGACTCATTGAGCTTATCAAAAGCTTAAAGCCAGCTCAACAACTGAACAAACGCAACTCACTGCTCCGAAAATCGTAATTTGATACCAAGATGGGCACCAAAATCCGGAAATGACCGAAACAACGCTCGTCGATTTCGTCGCGATTTGTGGACACGAGTTCCCGTTGCAGGTGGGCCAAATTCGATACCAATAGCCGACGTTTCCTAAAATAATCGATAAATCCTAGAACATTAAGCAAAACACAGCTTGTGATCAAGCTAAAAAACCGGGTTTTGATCAAAAAAAGGCAATCTTCGTTAAAAAAGCCATCTATTTTAAGCAAAACGTCGACTTTCTCGTAAAAATTCCATAACTCCAGGCAGAACAAAGCTTATAATCAACCTTAAAACTGCGGTTTGTAAAGAAAAATGGAACTTTCCGTCAAAAATACATCATTCCAACCTTTTCACGTAAGAATTCCATGTTTACACCCGACAAAGCTCAAATTCAAGCTCTATTCGGCTTTTTAAAGTATTTAGGCAAAGTAGATTATAGAAATTCGAGGTGTAGGCTCTTTCCCTGAATCGTGGTCTTTTGTCAAAAAAAAGAGTCAGCTTCGTGGTCTTTTGCAATTGTTTTAACGTATTTTATTAAGTTCCACATGCACACTTAATCAGAGTTTAAAGAACAATCGTAAGAACAACAATTTTAGCATCCCAGCAAAGCGCAAATCAGATTTACGAAAACAAAAAAAAAGATCAAAAGAACGTGTACAAAAGTTTATTTTAAGTCGCATTGGCAAGTTGTTAGACCCAGTTTTAACCTGCCTTTTTATATTAAATCTAAGAGTAAATCCGATAAATCTGATTCGCGCTTTGCTGGGATGCTAAAATTGTTGTTCTTACGATTGTTCTTTTAAATTCTTAAATTCTTAAATTAAATGTGTATGTGGAAGCAAACGGACAGAGTTATACATAGAAAAAAAATCGACAATTTTCTAGAATTTGACCTATCCGTTTTATCTTTCAAATTGGTTCCACAAGCTCTGATATGTCAAAATTTGAATTCTATTTTAAAACGAGAAAAAGGGTGCGCAAAAAAAAAATACAACAAAAAAACAAACCACATTTGCCCCACTACCGATTTATTTCACAAGAAAAACCTATTTATAGCAACCATTAACTGAATATCTTTTGTTTGCTCAACATTTTCCGCCATTGCAGGAAATTAGCTGAATATCTTTAAAGCAACAAAAGAATATACAATAATTGCAAGAATTTTGCGTTTAACATCATTTTTAAACAAAAAAAGCTCTCAAAGCTGTTCACCCTTAAACCAAACGATTTTCAGGTCGAGTACGCGTACGAGGCGAGCTCTGACAGCGGTTCGTCTACCCCCGAGCGCTTGAAACCGCCACTGCATAGGTAAAAAAAAAGCTATTCCTCAACGATAAACCCTAATAAACTTGTTTATTACTCTTTTTACAAACACTTAAGACATTCATCATCAATAACTGAATAGATTCCCGTGCTTTCCTTTGATTTAACGTGTTTGTAAAGACATTTTTAAAGAAAAACGTAAAACGCCCCCCAAACAAAACAAAAAAACCGGTTCAATTTATATCAAAAATTCCCTTCCTTCCTGCCCCCAGGGGACGTCAAAAAAGTTAATATTTCATCGATAAAAAGAGCACTCAAAATGTGTGTCGAGTGATACTCAGTTGGTTAACTGAATATCTTTAGAGACTTTTTATTATTATCAAATATTAACTTTTTTTAAAAACTGTTTCACCCATCATGTAGCCAAGAACACAAGGGTTTTTTGATTAAAACTGGACCCGGTTGGTTTCTTGGTTGTTTCCTTTTTGTAGCTAAACAATCTCCTAAGATATCAGTTATTTAAATCGAAAATTTTAGAGGCTACACGGGCCGTGTTCTCGCTCACTATCCCCATAAACGAAGCGATGCCACTTTCTCTGAGGAAATCTTCGCAGTAAGGGATAATTTGTATAGAAAATATGAGCCATTGTAACACTCACTCGGCTTTAAAAACACTTGTGACCTTTTTCCGAGAAAATCTTGGGTTGGCGCTTTAAAGAGTGGTAAAACTACCGTACCCCTCTTAATTTGCGCGAAATTAAATTTTTTTCATTCTTGTTCATTTCATTTTATTCTTTTTTCGTTCTTCTTTTTCTTTTTCTTTTTCTTTTCTTTTTTTATGTGTGCGCGTTTCTTTTTCCCTTTTTTTTCGCACCTTTGCTTTTGCTGGAAAAGGCCTTAGGGCTTAGAGCTTCAAATTTTTTTTTTTAGAAGGAAACGGGTTCGATACCAACCAGACCCGCCACACCGGGGGAAACCGCAACTTACGCCTTTACCGCGTTTTTGCCTTTTAGCCCAAATTTGACGTATCAGCGGGGTCTGATTTGTCGAAATTGGCCTACGCACGTTCCATTTTGTGGAAATATCTCAATAAGGCCTTGCCTAACAAAATGCAAAACCAAAATCATAAAGACAGGCGGATTAGAAGCTAATCTTTAGATTTTTGGTTCGTTTTGGTAGCTCAATAAGTGTAACAACCTTCCTGAGGAGGGGGGCCGCGCGATGACCCTGTTGCGCAAAAAAATGGCGGAAATTAGCCTGCCCCAGGAAACACAGAGGATAAAGCTAAGTTACATTTTCAACAACATTTTCTGTTGTGGAAGCTTTGTTTGTAGAGTTTTCTTAGATCCACTTGCTTCCCGACGATCTGCTCCACGAACTTGATGCTAACTAACGTTAAATTACGTGGGGCTTTATAATTTTTTTATAGCGGAAGCTTTTTTTTAGTGACTTTTTAGTTGAAAAAATGTTGAAACGTCGAAAAAAACGAAAAAAAACGCAAAAAGAATAAAATGAAATGAACAAGAATGAAAACAAATTTAATTTCGCACAATTTGAAGGGGTACGGTAGTTTTACCACGCTTTAAAGCGCCAACCAAGGGTTTTCTCGGAAAAATGTCGCAATTTTAAAAACTACAAGACTAAACTAAAAACCTGTAGAAATGTACAGAATAGATATTTTTGAAAAGTATCAAAAAATTGGGTCAAATAATGAGGCAATTGGTAGATTCGAAAACTATTTACCGTCTACCTATTAAATTTTTCAGCTCTGTATGCCAAAGGGTGTACGTTTCTGTACAGAACGTGAGCTCCCTACCGCTCCAACCATTCACACATTTGTTAACGTGAGAGAAGATGGGAGCAGAGTGTATGGAACAGCGATCACTTTCTTTGAGGTTTCCCCTGGCCTAACTCTCTAACTTCCCCAGTTTTTTACAGGAGGTCCGTGATCCAAATATTTGCGAACAAATGGTTCGTCTACATATGGAACACGTAAAAGAATTGACGTCACAAAGGAGTGAAACCGGCATTGGAGAAAGAAGTGCTAGAGAGATCAAAGGCGATCACAGACATCACCATGCACCTGGTGAGTCAACTTTGCAAACTGGAGTCAAGCTCTGAAGTCAGCTGAAGCTCTGAAGCTCTGAAGCTCTGTCAATCTAGAGCATACTCTGCACCCAATTTGAATCTCTTTTTAGGCATAGTCTCCGGTGGCACTCATACCCTTCCACGTAAAAAGCAAATTGATCGTTCAAAGCGTATTTCCTACTACGATGGTGGTGCCCATAAACAGCTATTCGTGTAAGTGATCAGATTTTAATTCTCTTTCAATTCTCTTTCTTTTTCATTTCGTGCATTCCGTGCGTTCCAGATTTTAAAATTTTCAGCAGCAAGACCCTGTGCTTAATCACTCGACTGCCAATGGTGTTCGTGACGGAGGCGATCTTGCGAAGTCTTGTTGATATGGTAAAATTTAATAGAATGATACTTAAAGAGTACCTTTGCACATATCCACTCTTTAGTTATCCCCAAAAACTGAGTCGTGCTCACTTCCGCTAGAAAGTTACCTCTATTGGATCCTTCATGAAGTACCCCTGCCATCACCTGGCACAACGTTGAAGGTAAAGGTTTTTCTGACAAAATTAGAATAATAGTAATAGCGAGTCTCAAGACTGAGTCCTGATTTTTGTGGGCTAGGCTTGCAGAAGGAGGGTAGGACATCTTCCCATGTGATTCAGAGCCCTACCTTGGCCTTTCTGAATCAGTTAGACAACACTGACTCTGACTCTGGCTCGAGGACTGACAGAACTATATCTGTACCCTGCAAGACCTAGCTCTAAACCTAAGTACTTGATTCTCGATATATCTAAGCCTACTTATACCCTAATATATCCAAAATGCTGATTCCTGTGATTCCTGTGATTCCTGTGATTCCTGTGATTCCTGTAATTCCTGTGATTTCCAGGTGTCGATGTCCCCCTCGTCCCCTCTCCTTCTTCAACGCCCATCCCTGCTTGAACTTCCCTTCTTCGACTATTCTCTCTCGAATCTTTTTGATGTGATCTCTCCCGAGAAATTCCTCCGTTTACTCACTTGTTTCTTCCTCGAGCACCAGATTTTAGTTTGCTCTAAAGGTGAGTGCTTTTAACCCTCGATTACTGTACATTACTGTAGGGTAGAGAAGTTGAAAGTAGAATTTTCTTTAGATAATAAAATTGACTTATACAAAAGGTTATGTGATATCCAGATGGGAAAATCTGAAAAAAATTAGATCAATAGCTCTACTAGTGAAAAAGATATTCAGCTAAGAAGCCACAGTACTATTTCAATGTCGGATTAAAGTTCCGAAAAAACACAGAAAACACAATAATCTTACAGTATGAATTCCAGATAAGAAACTGGCTAAAAATTAGATTAATAGCTTTATTGGATAAAAAGATATTCAGCTAAGAAGCCACAGTACTATTTCAATGTCGGATTAAAGTTCCGAAAGAACACAGAAAACACAATACTCTTACAGTATGACTTCCAGATAAGAAACTGGTCAAGAAATTAGATTAATAGCTTTATTGGATAAAAAGATATTCAGCTAAGAAGCCACAGTACTATTTCAATGTCGGATTAAAGTTACGAGAGAAATTCAAAAACATGCTATTTCTACAGTGTGCCCTCCAGATCAGAGAAATCCATTGTAATTCTCCTTTTAGATCTATCTCGTTTGATGTTATTGTGCGAATCGCTTTCCTCGTTCGCTTTCCCATTTCGATGGTCGCTCGCCTACGCGCCAATCCTACCGTACTCGCAAATGAAATTCATTGAGGCTCCAGTTCCTTATGTGATGGGTTTATGCTATGAGGAGGAGTTGCCAGAGAGTTTATTTCAGGTAAAAGGGACAAGAGTTTCAATCCGTCGCGTACAGTACTTGTTACAGTACGCGTACAGTACAGTACTTGTTACAATACGCGTACAGTACAGTACTTGTTACAGTACGCGTACAGTACAGTACTTGTTACAGTATGCGTACAGTACAGTACTTGTTACAGTATGCGTACAGTACAGTACTTGTTACAATACGCGTACAGTACAGTACTTGTTACAGTACGCGTACAGTACAGTACTTGTTACAGTACGCGTACAGTACAGTACAGTACTTCTTTTCAATTACTTCTAATTGCACAGTACTGAATTTTGACTTTAATTAAATTGTACAGTATTGGAAAGTTGTCAATGGGTGTTTTGAAAATCGTCCTTGGTTAATCTATTTCTAAATTTTACTGTCTGGAAGAAGTTTGGAGTACTGTATCATTAGAAATCTTATAGATAACTGGAAAGGAGTACTGTCTTAGCTTCATTTTGAAGTTGCTATACATTTCGATCAGTTTAAGGTACTGTAAATATTTTCTAAGGGCTAGTTTAACCCTTGAGCACACAACAGCTTGCCAGGCCATCTTTTGACAGTGACTATTTACTTCTAGAGAAGGAGTAGCCTCTTACAAACCCCCTGAAGAGTACTGTAGCTTTTTAGAGAGTACAGGAGCTTTTTAGAGAGTACTGTAGTGTACTTATTACTAGAAAAGGAGTACTGTAGCGTACTGTAGTGTACAATTTCTAGTCAAACGTTTGCGTGTTCGATGTGGACAGCGGGAGAGTGGAGTTCCCTGAGGATGTGCCACCATTCCCGCAACACAAAGAGATCTGCGCTGAAATGAGAGCCATTTTGAAAAGGTGAGTCTAGAAATAAATAGAATAGGCTTTTAAGCTGAATACGAAAAGCTGAATACGAAAAGCTGAAAACTACAATTCTTTAACTACAACTACCTTCAGATTCACTGTTGACGAAACAGAGAACCGCGACGATCCAAACACAACGATCACAACAACAACGGGAAATGAAGACGAATACGCACCGAAGATGAGAGCAATCAGCACGAGGAGAAGGTGCAGTTGAAGCTGTTGAAGCTAGTGAAGCTGTTGAAGCTGTTGAAGCTGTTGAAGCTGTTGAAGCTGTTGAAGCTGTTAAAGCTGTTCAAGCTGTTCAAGCTGTTCAAGCTGTTGAAGCTGTTGAAGCTGTTGAAGCTGTTGAAGCTGTTCAAGCTGTTGAAGCTGTTCAAGCTGTTCAAGCTGTTCAAGCTGTTGAAGCTGTTGAAGCTGTTGAAGCTGTTGTAGTCGAGTAATACCCCAACTTTTAGAGGTGAATGGACTTACAAACGAATGTCTCGATCGTTCGATGCGGACACGCTCGATGGATGGATAAATCCATCAACGGCACAACTACAAAATGATCCTCAACCGCCGCCAATTCCTGCAAGGGGCATACTAGGAGAACAGCCGATGACAAGACCGAGAAATCTGCCTCCATTGCCGATGTCGACCCTGTTGGCTGAGGATAGTCCATTGTCGAGGTGGGTTTGAAGCAAAAAAGCGAAGCACATCTTTCTGGTACCCCAGAAAAGATGTGTTTCGGCTTTTTGTAAACGCACAAAGAGCATTTTGAGTGAGAAATTTGAAAATAATGCCCTTTTTGACCTTTTTGAGACTCTGAGTTAGAGAAAATCGAGTATGCGTGTGCTAGAAAGCGTTTGTTTGCAAGTAAACAAAATACAAGCGATTTTTGTGCAAGCTGGATGTCACTACACTCAAATAACCACTCAAATCAGCAAACAGTCACTTTCTGGCTAAACATGGAATTGTGAAATCAAGTACGAGTGTGCCAGACAGTGTGTGTTTGCGAGTAAACAAAATACAAGCGATTTTTGTGCAAGCTGGATGTCACTACACTCAAATAACCACTCAAATCAGCAAACAGTCACTTTCTGGCTAAACATGGAATTGTGAAATCGAGTACGAGTGTGCCAGACAGTGTGCGTTTGCAAGTAAACAAAATAAAAGCGATTTTTGTGCAAGCTGGAGGGCAGTACATTCAAAATAACAGATCGAATCAGCAAGCGCTCACTTTCTGTACACGCTCACGCACGAATCGAGTACACGTGCGCCAAAGGGCGTGCGTTTGCAACAGTTCAAAATGCAGGCGGTTTTTGTACGTTCTGGTACACAGTAAACCTTACGAATATCTTAGAATCTGTTAATTCTCTCGTTTTAGAGTGAACGAGATTGCGCGTCGTGCTGGTGTGGCTATCGATTTGGCCGCAGTAGAAAGCGAGCTAAGTGGGCAAGAGATTCTCACAAACTCTCCACAAAATGAGCACTATTTTCGGGTGAGTTTTTTGTTGAGAAAAAGTTTATTATCGACTTCGATTATTATCTATACTATAAACACGCTTTCTACCTCACCGAATCTTTTCCTTTTCTTCCTTTCTTCCTTTCTTCCTTTCTTTCTTTCTTCCTTTCTTTCTTTCTTCCTTTCTCTCTTCTTTCTTCCTTTCTTCCTTTCTTCCTTTCTTCTTTCTTCCTTTCTTCCTTTCTTCCTTTCCTTTCTTCCTTTCTTCCTTTCTTTCTTCCTTTCTTCCTTTCTTCCTTTCTTCCTTTCTTCCTTTCTTCCTTTCTTCCTTTCTTCCTTTCTTCCTTTCTTCCTTTCTTCCTTTCTTCCTTTCTTCCTTTCTTCCTTTCTTCCTTTCTTCCTTTCTTCCTTTCTTCCTTTCAAAAACTATTCAGAAGAAAAGGAAAATATTTTTCAGTGCACCAGAAAGATTGCGTTTCCGCTTTTTTGAAAAGCGCAAAACATACGTGTGATGATGAATTTCCTTCTTTTCAGGAGGTGAAACTCTCGAATGCTCTTCGGGAGACGGTTCTTCATCGAGTCGTCGGCATGCTCTACTCTTATGAGCATTTTGTCGTCGGTGCAGTTGGATGCAAAGATTTGTAAGGAAAATAGAAAATGATTTGACATTTCTAAACGTCTCTAGGTATAGCTTTTATGGTTTTACCGAAAGTAAAAACCTAATAAAAGCCTAGTAAAAGCCTATTCTTTTTCAAAACCTCCAAGCCTTTTCTAGTTTTGACCGGTTTTGACCGGTTTTGACCGGTTTTGATTTGTTTTTGACCGTTTTTGACCGGTTTTGATCGGTTTTGGTTTGTTTTTGACCGGTTTCGATCGGTTTTGGCTTGTTTTTGACCGGTTTTGACCGGTTTTGGCTTGTTTTTGACCGGTTTTGATCGGTTTTGGCTTGTTTTTGACCGGTTTTGACCGGTTTTTGACCGTTTTTGACCGTTTTTGACTAGTTTTGACCGGTCTTGATTTGTTTTTGACCGTTTTTGACTAGTTTTGATCGGTTTTGGCTTGTTTTTGACCGGTTTTGACCGGTTTTTGACCGTTTTGACCGTTTTTGACCGGTTTTGACCGGTTTTGATTTGTTTTGGCTTAAAAAAGCATTCTTATAACAATCCTGACCTTTACAGTACCTTTAAGCTATAGATTTTTAATGAAATTTTTGAAAACAAGCCAAATCAGACCGACTGACGGACTAGAGCCGTCAGCTAAAGCCAAGCCAAGTCAGAACTCTGATCTGGCCTATTGTTGGCCAAAAAGGATTGTCTAAACTCGATCAATGACGAAATTTCTATCATTTTTTTTGCAGAGAAAGCTGGGAGATCTCTCGTGATAGTGTTGTTTCTTTCGACAAAGCCTCTTTCCTATCGGATCAACCCGACAGTCATCTCGCTTTTCTAGCGGCTTTCCTCGAGACACAGGTTGGCGCTAACTATTGCAATATAATGCAGATCTAAAGCCTCCTCAAACTAAACCCTATTCAAACTAAACCCTATTCAAACTAAAGCCAACTCAAACTAAAGCCTATTCAAACCAAACCCATTTTCTTTACAGATGTTCACCGATTTCATCGACGAGAAGATCAAAGCTCAATGGCAACAATCGGATGAGAATTTGAAGTTATTCGATACAAGGATCAAAGTGGGGAGCTTGTTTTTGATTTCAAAAAATTCTTGCTTTAGGAACTCCAGCATCGTTTGGGTCAATCGATGGTTCGGACACCGACCGCTGACACGACGAAACCTTTTGCTCAATCCGAGGAGCTGATCACAAAACGTGCAGAAACAGTGGACTACGTTGTGCCCGCTCCACATCTTCTTTCCGGCGCACCTCCGATGAGGTAAGCAGAATACTGTGGGGTTAAAAGATAAAGGTTAAAGGCTAAAGGCCAAAGGCTAAAGGCTAAAGGCCAAAGGCTAAAGGCCAAAGGCTAAAGGCTAAAGGCCAAAGGCTAAAGGCCAAAGGATAAAGAACAAAGGACAAAGAACAAAGAACAAAGGCTAAAGTCCAAATCTCAAGCTAGTATTCTTATTATACTCTAGAAGTCGCAGAAGCTATGTTAATAGTATTCCTAGTATTCCTGTAGGGTAGCTAGCTAGCTAGCATACTGTAGCTAGCTTTAGAAAACCTACTAAAGGACTTTAGACAAGTCTTCTACTAAGTTTACTGTATTTTTTCGATTAGACTAACTAAAGAAGTACTAAAAGAATCTACTAAGTAAATAGAATAAGACAGAGTAAAAAAGAAAGTGTAGAGATGTTGTCATTTCAAAGCTTAGGCTGTTTTAGCTTTACTTTAGTTTGCTATAAGCTGTAGTTTGCTACAAGCTGTAGTTTGCTACAAGCTGTAGTTTGCCACAAGCTGTAGTTTGCTACAAGCTGTAGTTTGCCATAAGCTGTAGTTTGCTATAAGCTGTAGTTTGCTGTAGTTTGCTTTATGGTACATACTTTAGAAAGAAATGCTTTAAGAATGCTACTACTTAGATCGAATAATTTCCCTCGAATAGCTTTAAATTTCTAGATACGAGGGCTATTGGCCGGACACATTCAACGGTACGGTTTTAGAAGGACCACTTGGCGCAGCCGCTCCTTCACCTTGGAAACAACGTTATAGAAATCGACGTCCACTTGAGGTAAGATTACAGATAGTTTTACAGTAGATTACAGTAGTTTGACTAGTAGTTTTACTAGTAGCTTTTACAGTAGTTTTACTGTAGTTTTACTGTAGTTTTACTGTAGTTTTCCTGTAGTTTTACAGTAGTTTTACTGTAGTTTGACTAGTAGCCTTACTAGTAGTTTTTACAGTAGTTTTACAGTAGTTTTACTGTAGTTTTACTGTAGTTTTACTGTAGTTTGACTAGTAGCCTTACTAGTAGTTTTACAGTAGTTTTACAGTAGTTTTACTGTAGTTTTACTGTAGTTTTACTGTAGTTTGACTAGTAGCCTTACTAGTAGTTTTTACAGTAGTTTTACAGTAGTTTTACTGTAGTTTTACTGTAGTTTTACTGTAGTTTTACTAGTAGCTTTACTAGTAGTTTTACAGTAGTTTTACAGTAGTTTTACAGTAGTTTTACAGTAGTTTTACTAGTAGCTTTACAGTAGTTTTACAGTAGTTTTACTGTAGTTTGACTAGTAGCTTTACTAGTAGTTTTACAGTAGTTTGACTAGTAGTTTGACTAGTAGTTTTAGAGTAGTTTGACTAGTAGTTTTAGAGTAGTTTGACTAGTAGTTTTACTAGTAGTTTGACTGTAGTTTCACAGTAGTTTTACAGTAGTTTTACTGTAGTTTTACTGTAGTTTTACCGGGTGATCTTTTAGAAACTAGAATTAAAATGACTGTTTTAGGGTTTATCAAATGGTTCATCCTCTCATCGTCCCACATCAATCTACGGAGCACAACTAGCAAACGATACCCCAACACATAAAGAACAACAGTTAAAATTCGTTGAGCAATTATTGAAAGAAACAAAAGGTTTGTCAAAGTTTTGTCCAATTTTTTTTGTACAATTTTTTTTTGTCAATTTTTTTTTGTCCAATTTTTTTGTCCAATTTTTTTTTGTCAATTTTTTTTGTCAATTTTTTTGTACAATTTTTTTGTACAATTTTTTTGTACAATTTTTTTTGTACAATTTTTTTTGTACAATTTTTTTGTACAATTTTTTTTGTACAATAACTAATTGACAGTTAGATTTATGTAAATATTATATTTTTAAGGTTAAATAAGGTAAAGATTGATGTCTAGATGGTAAAGATGATTGAATAAGATCAAAAAAAGGAAAAGATAATTTGATTTTTTTCATTCTTTATTTACAAATGAATAAAAAGAAGAAAAAGAAGAAAAAAGAAGAAAATGTTTTTAAATGTTTTAAATTGCTGAGCTCTTGAACTCTTGAAAATTTAAGCAATCCTGTAACTTGAGCATTTAAAAAAATCTATTAGAATGTTTAGTCGTTGTTTAGGAAAAACGAAGCGAATGCTGGTGAACAAAATGGGCAGAGAGGCGGTTCTTTTAGGGCATGGAGCCGAAGCTGGAGTCGGTGGAGTCGAAGAAAACACACTAGTAAGTACGCAGTCAGCTTATTCGAAGTCAGCTTGTTCAACTACGATCCCTACATACTTCTATAGCCCTTCTACAAAATTTCTACATAATTTTCTTTAGGTTGCCGCTTTTTGCGATCTTTTGGAGCGAGTTTTCAGCCACGGGATCATCAAGAAACAGGTTGACAGGAAAAACTCGAAATTTTACATGAAAAGCTAGCTTTTTTTGACGATTTCTAGCCAATCTGGATGTCAGTCGGGGTTTTTGAATTGAAAGTTTTTTTGTTTTTTTTAAAGGGCAAATCCGCTCTCTGGACCTATGTGCTTCAGCATCAGGATATGGAGAAATCGCAAAATGGGGACACTCATCGATCGATGACGTCATCAATGCTCACTCCAGGTTTACTTCATGGCATTATCAGATCGTTTATTTCATAGTTTATTAGCTTATTTTAAGCTAACTATAGCTAGATCTCTAAGCCCGAGCTCCAGAGCCTTTTTTTTGTGCTTTCTCGTAAACGCCAACTCTCTAGCACACTTTGAAATTCTTAATTTAGCTATAAACAGCTATAAAAGTCGGCTTTATATCAAGAAAATTTGCGAAAGCCAGTGTGCTAGAGGCTATGCGTTTACAAAGAAGCACAAAGCATAAAGAAATTGAGTAGAAAGGCTAAAGAACAGAAAATAGTACTAAATAATACTAAAATCTACCGTAATCACGTAGCTGTACGTACTTCTAAAAAAAACCCTTTAGCCCTTGCGTGGCACGTCTTTCGAAAACGATTCGAGCAGCGTAAGAAATCCAAAAAAAAAAAATGATTGATAAATGACATTTTGTGGCCTTAGCATTGCGCTCCTATTCATTGGAACGGCCTTTTTGTAGCCTAGATTGAAAAGATTTTCGTTTATTTGGCTGCCAACGTGTTAAGCTCCCGGCTTTCTGTTATAAAATGGTCAAAACTTGAAATCTGCTATGAAAACCGATCAAATAAAGTCGAAATTCGAACTCCTCGTACCCGGAAAGCTCTAAACGACATATTGGACCATGGGCCTACGCTCGAATTCCGCCCGACTACTGTAAGACAGAATTGTACATAGTACTCCGATGGAAACCCGACGCCAACCCCGCTTCCCGTATGTCGTTTAGAGCTTTCCAGGCATGAGAAATTCAAAATTCCACTTGTCCATAGAGGAAATATTTCAATCAATCGAAATTTCGATATCCGTACCCCTAAAAACCTTACCAACGTGCTATAGCCCCTGTGTTTGCTTATAATCGTTGTGTTGTAGCGTCAACGTCATCGCTGGGTGTCACAACGCATCGCCAATCGCGACCCCCACGTGCACCGTCAAGACCGAGAGCCGTGCCCTACCCCGGCACGAGGAGTCGAGCCCCTTCCCAGGATGCCCGGCCAGTGGATCAAGAAAACAATGCGCTATCTGTGAGTCCTGGAGGGCACACAAGCATCTCCAGTGATCAGCGGCAATCTCCCGGCACTTCTAGCACTGACCAAAATGGGAACGAAGGAGTTGTTGGGTCAGCGATTAGTGATCTCGTTGAATCGATTCAAAAAGAGTTGGCAATGAAAGACACAGAGGATACACCGGCGTGGTCAAAGAATTTCTTGAAAGCAGCGAACTTTTTATGTGATCGAATACAAGAGGCGTCGAGACCGAAGAGAGATCCGTCACCTCAACGCAATTTGTTCAGTCAAGCACTCGCTAAACCTCAACGAGAGGTCGCCTTGCCCCCAATCGGCCCCAGACGGCTGAAGAAGTGCTCGAGTGTTAGTGGTGAGTGTTGTGCTGTGGTTTTGTTGCTTGAGCAGAGAGGAAATTGGATACTTGACCGTTAAGCTAAACCTACTAAGCCTTGAACCCTAAAATCTTATGCATTCTTTTGATCTGGAACGCACTGAACAGCTACAGTAATCCACAATTGCAGTCAGTCTAAATTAAAATTTAGACTACAGTACCCCGACAAGGATCACCCCGGAATCTTTGACAGAATATTGACGACATAGATTTGTGCTTGAAGATTCCTGAGTTCTGGAAGTCACAGGACATCCAGAGACCCGTAAATCTACAGTATCCTTAGAACTACAGTACCCCATCTGTACACTGTACTCTTTCGGAATTTTCCCAAAAGACCCAAGTCCGATATGTCGTTTAGAGCTTTTCGGGTACGGGGAATCCAAAAATCAGCTTTATTTCCTTAGAACTACAGTACCCCACCCGTACACAGTCCTCTTTCGGAATTTTCCCAAAAGACCCAAGTCCGATATGTCGTTTAGAGCTTTTCGGGTACGGGGAATCCAAAAATTTCCTTAATTTCACCCAAAAATCCACACTAAATCCAATTTCCCGAGAATTGTGCTGTGTTTTTGCTTTGCTTTGCTCATTTTCCAATAAAATTTACGCAAAACAAGCTGCACGGCGAAAAATGCTGAAGTTCACGGCTGGTTCACTAACCTAACGATATCTCAATCTCGATTGTCGTTTATTTTTCAGATTTCTCTACGCCAGGCTTTGGTGGCTCGTCATCGGGAAGAGAGGGAAATTCATCTGTTGAGGAATCGCCGAGGAGAAGTCAGAGAACGCACAGGAGTCAAAGCAGGTACAACTATTCCACTAAAGTCATGTTTTTAATATCTGGAAGGCAGAGTGGTCTGGCTACAGTCATTTACAAAGTAGAACCTGAGCGGAATGGAATGGGAACCTAGTCAGAATCGAATGGGAGTCAGAGCGGATTCGAATGGGAACCTGAGCAGATCCGAATGGGAACTTGATCAGATCCGAATGGGAACCTAGTCGGAACCGAATGGGAACCTAATTGGATCCAAATGGGGAACCTGAGCGGTTCCGAATGGGAACCTAATCGGATCCGAATGGGAACCTGAGCGGATCCGAATGAGAACCTGATCGGATCTGAATGTGAACCTGATCAGATCCGAAGCAGAGCCTAATCGGAACCTGATCGAAATCCAATCAGAACCTAGTCCAATCAGAACCTAATCCAATCCGAATGAGAGCCATCGCCAAGCTCCAAAACCAACCTCAACTCCAGATCCCAGACTATTCTCCCAGTATTTTCCAAGAAATCATTAGCCCACCTTTCAAAAAAGCCCGTTTTTAGACCCCGAAGTCCGGATGGTCGTGTGGTTCTCCCCTCCCTGCCCACCCATATCGCCTATGATTTAAAGTAAGTTTTGATTGAATGCAAAAATGATTATGTTTTTAGAAACGTCGTCCGTATGGCTGAAATCAAAACGGATATCGGTTACGCGAGGGCATTCGTGCGGCTGGCTTTAGAGCGAAAGCTGCTGCATCGACACCTAGCCGCTCTCCTCTCCAATACACAATTGATACGGTAAGTGATCATAAGTGATCATAAGTGATCATAAGTGATCATAAACAAAATCTCTCTTCTGAATTGGTTTCTGTGCGTGGCAGAATGGGTAAATTCTTGAATTGTTGAAAAAGAGCGGTTGTTAGCTAGCAGCTACTTGATAGCTAGCAGCTACTTGATAGCTAGCAGCTACTTGATAGCTAGCAGCTACTTGATAGCTAGCAGCTACTTGATAGCTAGCAGCTACTTGATAGCTAGCAGCTACTTGATAGCTAGCAGCTACTTGATAGCTAGCAGCTATTTGATAAGTGCTCAGGTTCAGTTTTCTCTTAAACATCTTTTCTTGTGCACACCAGAATGGGAGATTTTCGATAAGAATATTTATTGTGCCTTCCAGAATCTCGAATTCTTGAATCCACTTTGATCAATCAACCATTTTAGAGAGCTCTATCGTGCCGACTCATTTACTCGGTGTGAGGACGAGAAAGAGCAATTCTTGTACCACGTTCTGTCACTGAATGCAGCGAATTACCGTTGCTACACAAATACATTCACAAAAACGAGTGAGTGGCTTGAAAATAGTACTCTTGAGAGGCTGAACGCTTGAGATACGGTAGCTAGGGTACGGCTACAGTACTCTTGATACGGAGAATTTGATTAGAATATTGGATTACGGTAACTAGGCGATTTTTGGACCCTAGGAATACGGTAGTCTCTCTATACTTTACAATGTAGTGTTATAGAACTCAAAAGCTACAGCAGGGGTACTGTAGCTGCTTAGATACAGTAATCTCTCACTCTACGATACTTTAAAATGTACAGTGAACTCAAAAGCGACAGCAGATTCTCCCCGGGGTACTGTAGCTACCTAGATACAGTAATCCCTGGCTCTACGATACTTTACAATGCACAGTGCTATAGAACTCAAAGGTTACAGCACACTGGAGGGATACTGTACTTAAATTCTCTTGGGATACTGTACTTAAATTACGGTAGTCGGGATAAGCTATGAATTCGGTAAATCTGAATCTCCAGCCCGTACCAATGCCACTCAAAACCCTACAGTACTCGATTTACAGAGATGGATTATCAAGTGGTTGTTGTAACGGGCACTTGGAGAGGTGCATTGCCAGCTGTCTGGATGTGCATCGAGGGATCACTAGCCACAACGCCGATGATCCGTTTACCGGAAGGGACACCGTTGTTCAAATTTGATGTAAGTTGACTGAGCTTTGTTATTCATTAGATGACTAGAATTACTAGAAAGCTGTAGATGGATTTGGAGTCGTTAGAAAGATTCGCAAATAACTCTTAGTAGCCTTTTTGGAATGGTCAGTCACAATAGAAGTCAAAATAGAATGGCGTAGAGCCTAGACCGACTTTGCTAGCTTTGTTACAGGCTTTGTTACAGGCTTTGTTACAGGCTTTGTTACAGGCTTTGTTACAGGCTTTGTTACAGGCTTTGTTACAGGCTTTGTTGCAGGCTTTGTTACAGGCTTTGTTGCAAGCTTTTGGTCTGTTCAAGGTCTAATCTAGTCCCAGAATGTTCTAGAAGCAATTTTCCCAAACCAGGCCAAACCTAGCTTTACTTGTAAAGCTCCATAAGGTTCTCGTTAAGTCAAGAAGGCTAGCCTAGGCTTAGACTGGTCTCTACAGCTCTGATCCATCAATAACTACTTCAAACAAGATTCGAATACTTTCATAAAGATTTTTCTAGCATCGAAACCTCGGCATTCTGTCAACACTTCGAATTGGGCATTTGGCTGAAGATGAGCGACCGTCAAAATGGTTTCTCGACTACGTGAGTCAATTTTAGAGTCTAATAATGCCTAGTTTACGGTATTCTTTCATATTTACAAACTGTAGAACAAAGTAAAGAGTAAAGTAAAGAGTAAACTAAAGGACTCAATCATTTGTGATTTCTAGATTGTGGTCCGAAATGAGATCACTGGTCAAATGTATCGTTTCCCGTGTGGACGTTGGTTTGGAAAGGGAGTCGATGATGGCAGTCTTGAGAGGTTACACAATAAATCTAATTTCTATTACCATAAGCTATTACTGTAAGCTATTACCATAGTCTATTACTGTAAGCTATTGCCGTAATCTACTAAGCTATCTATTACCATAATCTTCTAACCTATCTAAACAATTTACAGACTCCTTGTCGCTGAACCGCTTCACGATTTCAATCCAGAAACAGCAGAACTTGGTGAGTTTTTCGAAAGAACAAGAATTGAGCATTGAATCTTAAAGCAAAGCGTTTTTTTTTAACTTTCTAGGTATTGGCCCATTCTCGCCGGCTCGTGGTCGACGAATGGAGAGAGATTCATCAGTGACAAGAGAAAGAAGTCCATCGACAGGAAGAAGTGCTGATGCTGGGACAAGAGACGCACAACCCAGGACGAAAAGTGCGTTCGGGTTGAGGAGCACACAAGTACAAGGCACCGTACACACAAGAACGACAATTTATGGTTACTGTAGATTACTGTAGTTGGATAACTGTTCCAGATAAGTGCGTTCCAGATTAGAAAATAGATAAGATTTTAAGGTTGGGATTTGTCTTGTTTTCTTGATAACGAGGATAAGGCATTAGAAGTAGTACAAGAATGTTGTAACATTGTACAAGGACATTGTACAAGGAATTGTACAAGGAAAGCTCTAGTGACTTCCAGATCGGAGGATTTCATAAGAATTTAGACAGTAGATAGACTGTAGGGGTTACTGTAGCTTGGACTACCGGACTACCATACTACGGTACTTGTTTGATATCCCAAATATAAGCTTTAAAACAACTTAGAAAGCTCTAGTGACTTCCAGATCGAAGAATTTCATAAGAATTTAGACAGTAGACAGACAGGGTTACTGTAGCTTGGACTACCGGACTACCGTACTACTGAACTTGTTTATATCCCAAATATAAGCTTTAAAACAAGTTAGAAAGCTCTAGTGACTTCCAGATAGGAGAATTTCATAAGAATTTAGACAATAGACAGACTGTAGGGGTTACTGTAGCTTACACTACCGTACAGTAATGTAAATTAAACTGTAAAGGTTCTCTATTCAGAGCAACGAATGCTAGAGATCGAGCAGCAACTCGGCGACTCAGTCAACAGCATTGTCAAGCATTTCTATTCAGAAAAGTTTGTTATTTGCATCTTTTACCGTAAATCAATCAGAAAGCTCTTTCATAAATTCATAAATCATTTCAGAGAATCGAAGAGTGAATTGGCGAGACTTTTATGCGGTGAACGGGGTCTTGTGCCCACATTGGAAGCTTTATTCCAGGTAAATCCATTATTCTACCGTAATCAATTCAATAGAAAGCTTTATTTCAAAAGAAAAGCCAATGAAAATCGATCAGCCATCGATCAAAAAAACTAGAAAGCTCTAGTGACTTCCAGATCGAAGAATTTCATAAGAATTTAGACAATAGACAGACTGTAGGGGTTACTGTAGCTTGGACTACCGGGCTACCGTACTACTGAACTTGTTTGATATCCCAAATATAAACTTTAAAACAACTTAGAAAGCTCTAGTGACTTCCAGATCGGAGAATTTCATAAGAATTTAGACAATAGACAGACTGTAGGGTGTACTGTAGCTTAAGCGCTATGACAATGCGAAATAATATAGCTGAATTTATAAAGAAAAAGGATTTTAAAATTGAACCATAACTGTGATTAAACTTTTAAAGATCAAAGCTTTTAAGATCAAAGCTTTAAGATCAAAACTTTTTAGTTCGGTCGTCAGGATTCCATTTGGACTTCGCGACTTTTTCGACAAAATTACCCATGGGATTATGTTGGTAAGGGAAAGTTGCGCTGATTTTATCATTTCTCAAATTCTCTTGAACTTTTTACGACTTCTGGAAGTCACAGCTGATTTCTTGATTTCAGAGAAAATCTCCAATTGGTTTTTCGAGTTTTGTCGTCGCGGTGAGGCCGAGCGATTGACGCGCGGGCAAAAAGAACTCGTCCACTACTACCTCAGATTGGTCGGTTTATTCATAATCAGCTAAAGAAATCCAAGGAAATAAAGCTGATTTTTGGATTCCCAGTACCTGAAAACCCCTAAACGACATGTTGAATTTGGAAGAAATTCCGAAAGAACACTATGTACAATTAGGGTACTGTAACCATTGAGATACTGTAGATCTAAAGGGTTCTGGATTTCCTGTGACTTCCAGATCTCAGGAATCTTAAAGCTCAAATTTATGTTGTCAATATTTTGTCGAAGATTCCGGGGTGATCCTTGTCGGGGTACTGTAGTCTAAATTTTTATTTAGACTGACTGCAATTATGGATTACTGTAGCTATCCAGTGCGTTCCAGATCAAAAAATGCACAAGCTTTCAAGCCTCAAATTGTTTCAATTACCAAATTTTTCAGGTGCAACGCATTTCCGAGAAGAACGTGCTCGGGAAAGACGGGAAATTTCACGTTTTCATCTTGATAACGATTCGGTAGAGTAGCTAGATTCTCTCTAAATAGCTAGATATTATTTGAATCCTTTATCTAATTATAGTGACCACGTGCTGGCTGGTCTCTTGCAGCTGATGTCATGGACTCCAGTAACCGCTCAACTCTACGATGAGGTACTGTAGCTCAGGGTTACTTTAGATTACTGCAGACACCTAAAATCCCCAGGAACGGGTTGTGTGCCCTCCAGATAGGAAGATTTCATAGGAATTTAGACAGTAGATAGACTGTAGGGGTTACTGTAGCTTGGACTACCGGACTACCGTACTACCGTACTACTGTACTTGTTCGATAAAAGCTTTAAAGCAACTTCAAAAGCTCTAGTGACTTCCAGATCGGAGAATTTCATAAAAATTTCAGGGGTCTTTCCTTCGATCGACCTCTCAAATGGCGCATACCTCGAAGCTCCTAGAGGCGCTGAATGAATTTCACTTTCACATCGAGAAATCGTTAACTTACGGAATTGTGTAGAATTTTGTTTGAAAGATTTGTCAATCCTGAATGTCAGGCTATCGTTTTTGTTTCACATATCTCATGGATCGCTGTTTTTTGTTTCTCTTGGGTGCCCGGTATAGCCATATTAGCATTTTAGCATTTTAGCATTAGCATTTTATTTTATTTTAGCATTTAAGTCAAATTTTCTTAGCTCAAACCGCTTACCTGCATGACAGATTCGAGAAAAGAAAGAAGAGAAAAGGGTTTAGAGAAGTTTAGAGAAGGTTTAGAGAAGGTTTAGAGAAGTCTTTAAGTCTTGAATTTAAATCAAAACCCCTTGAAATGGTAGACTCATCAAATTCAGAACCGATTTCCCCTTTTTGTTTACCAACTATGACACACCCTAAAGGGCATTAAATAGAAGAGAAAAGAGAAAAGAGAAAAGATAAAGTGATTATTAAATAAATTGTGATTGATCGAAATTTGATTGATCGAAATTTGATTGATCGAAATTTGATCGAAATTTTGTGGTGATTATAAAATCGATGAGTGTACCTGAAAACCTCTAAAACGAGATGTTGGATTTGGAAGAAATTCCGAAAGAACACTATGTACAATTAGGGTACTGTAGCCATTGAGATACTGTAGATCTAAAGGTTTCTAGATGTCCTGTGACTTCCAGATCTCAGGAATCTTAAAGCTCAAATCTATGTTGTCAATATTTTGTACTCAATTTGATGAGTCTACCTTTTCAAGGGTTTCTGATTTAAATTAAAGACTTCTCTAAACCTTTTCTCAAATCTGTCATGCAGGTAAAGAAGAGAAAGGGTTTAGAGAAGTTTAGAGAAGGTTTAGAGAAGTTTAGAGAAGTCTTTAAGTCTTTCATTTAAATCAAAACCTTTGAAATGGTAGACTCATCAAATTCAGAAACGATTTCCCCTTTTTATTTGCCAACTATGACACACCCTAAAGGGCATTAAATCGCAGAGAAAAGAGAAAAGATAAAGTATTATTAGTTAAAGATTGATTATTAAACATTAACATTAAATTAAACAAATTGTGATTGATCGAAATTTTGTGGAGATTGTAAATTCGGTTCTGAATTTGATGAGTGTACCTTTTCAAGGGTTTTGATTTAAATTCAAGACTTATCTAAACCTTTTCTCTTCTTTACCTGCATGACAGATTTGAGAAAAGAAGAAGAGAAAAGATTTAGAGAAGTCTTTCATTTAAATCAACCCTTGAAATCAAATTCATCAAATTCACAACCGTTTTTACAATCTCCAAAAAAAATTTCGATCAAATTTCAATCAATCACAATTTGTTTAATAATCACTTTCTCTTTTCTCTTTTCTCTTCTATTTAATGCCCTTTAGGGTGTGTCATAGTTGGCAAACAAAAAAAGAAAAAAAACCGTCTCTTTTTGCACCTTTTAGACACTCGTTTTCCCCTCTCTTGTGCCAAAAAAAAAGTTCCCGCGAAACGTGGAGCCGTCACTTCGATTTTTTTCTCGTAAACATATAGTTTTTTTTTCAACTATGGATGCCACACTAGCACTTGAGAATTAGAGAAATCATTTTGCAACAATTTGAATTGATTGATAATGTTAAAGCCATTAGGGAAGTAATGTAGACATTTTCCTCCATCAACTAAGTAATGCAGACATTTCCCCCCCCATCAACTAACCTTTCTTTTCTTCAGAAATCTCGATCCTGGGATGGCATTGAACATTTTGCGAATTTAAACTTTTCTCTGGGAGCATAGTATTCTTAAATTTTTTTTTTGTCATTCTACAATTTTCTAATTTTGTATATTTGCATAATCAAAAGGTGCTTTTGATAAAAATCGAGGTCATTTTCAATGAGATTTCAACAATTTTCATCAAAAAATGTCTCATGTTGAAAAACAATAAAAACTTTAGTCTTGGCTCGTTAAACGGCCGCTTTAGTCACCCAAATGACCCCGATTTCTGTTTCTCTCGTTAAAGTTCTTCTCTGTCGTTAAAGTTGTTTCCTCAATCAAAGCATTCTTGTCATTTTCTTTTTCTTTTCTTTTCTCCCCCCGCTTTTCGATTAATTTTATATCGATTTTATATAATTTTCTATAATATAATTGTTTATTTCTTTCTTTTTTTGTATGTTTTTATTGTTTTAAAAGCTTTTTTTATCAAAATTGATCAAAATTGATTAAAATTTATTAAAATTGATTAAAATTAATCAAAATTAATCAAAATTAATTAAAATTGATTAAAATTAATCAAAATTGATCAAAAATTGATCAAAATTGATCAAAATTGATTAAAAATTGATTAAAATTGATCAAAATTTATTCAAAATTGATTAAAATTGATCAAAATTGATTAAAATTGATTAAAATTTAACAAAATTGATCAAAATTGATCAAAATTGATCAAGAATTTATCAAAATTATCATTTTTTTTCTTTCATTTTTCCTGAAACATTTGCATTTTTTTGGTCAAAATTTCTAGATTCTATCGAAAAACTTTGAAACAAAAGCAATAAATCGTTGGATTACCCTTGGAAATTGGGAGATTTCCTAAGAAAAATCACATGTTTCTCAGCGTGCAGCGAGCGAATCGCTTTCTTGAATCAAAATTTTTTGCGAAGGAAACCCCTTTTCTCTCTTTTCTTGTGATTTTCTCTTCTTTTTATAGGTAAACTATCGAAAATAAGGTGAAATCTGTGTTTTTTTTAACTAATTTCCTACCATTTTCAACTCAAAGCAACGTCAAAAATGACATAAAAATTGTTATCCCAAAAACCCCAAAAAAAATATATAAATTTTTTTAAAAAACCCCCCAAAAAAAAAAAAAAAAATAAATATTTTTTTTCCTTTTTAATCCTTTAAATTAAAATTTTTTTTTTTTTTTTTTTTTTTCCTTTTTTTAAATTTTTTCCACCCCCCCACCCTTTTTTTTTTTTTTTTCCTTTGGGGGGGGGTTTTTTGTTTTTTTTTTTTTCTTGAATCGTAAAAACGAGATGCTCAAAAAAAGAATGAAAAATTTACCCAAATCCGTAAAAAAGAAAATTTTGACGGCTTTTGTACCCAAATTATTAAATTCCTCAATGAGATAAAGATATTCAGTTAATTAACAAAATTAATAAAAATTGCGATCTTTGCATATAAATTGCGTAAAGCGAAAATTTTTTTTATTGTTTTCCCTGCGTCGGGGGTGGGACAAATGCGACCTTTTTTTGCGCACCTTTTTTTTTGCTGGAAAAGGCCTTAGGAAAGGCCGTAGAGCTTCAAAAATGTTTCCATAGAAGGGAATCGTATGCGTAGATTCAGAATTTCGACAAATCAGACCTCGCTGACACGTCAAATTTGGGCTAAAAGGCAAAAACTACGCAACTTAACGCTTTTCCGCAGTTTTTGCCTTTTAGCCCAAATTTGACGTGTCAGCGAGGTCTGATTTGTCAAAATTCGGAATCTACGCATACGATTCCTTTATATGGAAATATTTTCGAAGCTCTACGGCCTTTTCCAGCAAAAAAAGGTCGCATTCGTCCCGCCCCCCAAATCTGTAAAACAAAAAATTTTGACGGCTTTTGTACCCAAATTATTAAATTCCTCAATGAGATAAAGATATTCAGTTAATTAACAAAATTAATAAAAATTGCGATCTTTGCCTATAAATTGCGTAAAGGGAAAAATTTTTTTACTTTTTTCCTGCGTCTCTTTTGACTTGCTGCAGGGAATTTAAAAAGGAACGAAATTTTACGGGCTCTTACACTTTAACAGTTCACTTTAACAGAACTCGCAATCTTTACGCTTAAAGTTCTTCGATTTGTCAAATTTGGCAAATTTGGCTTGATTTTTGCTGGTAGTTGAGCTAAAGCATCAAAATTGTGTCCGATCGCTTAACTTTCCGGTTTTATACTTCTAGTTTGCTAAGAATTTGACTTAACTCTCTTCCCTTTGACTCATTGTCCCTGATTGTATTGTTGCTTCTTCGGTTTAATCGTATAAATTGTTAGTTTTTTATGCTTCTGCCCAGTAACTCCCAAAGTTTAGTGGTTTATAGAGTTTAGCTATCCTTTTACTCGGGAATCAACGAAATTTATTATATTTTGGTCTAGTAACGACAAGTTCTACTAGTTTTTTTTATCTTTTGTTTTTCCCTTGCGGTTCTTAAAGCCTGATTAATTTCTCTTTTTAGGTGCGACGACGATTCGTAGAGGGAAGAGCAACAACACTAACACGGTCACGAAAGAAACGAGAGCAAGGGTAACAAAGAGATATGGAGTCCAGGACGGCGTCGCTCTTCCATCGCGTCTCGTCGGCGCTTTTCTTTGGCGTGTCGAGTATACTTGTCGTCTTCATCAACAAGATTTTGCTCACAAATTACAAGTGAGCTGAATTTCTTTCTGCTTCTGATGGTGCTATTCGGTTATATACCTAAATACCTAGTTTAGACCTAAGATAATGCTTATCTTATCTATTTTTCGTCTGAAATTATACCCAAAGCGTATTTTATACATAAACTAGGCGCATTGATTTTAAACTAGTTTAATTAAGAAGCTAAATGCGTTTTGGGAAATAGCCGGAATAGTCCCCTTTCTTTTCTCGCACAATGGAGTTAGTGTACCTGTCGCTTTGCCGTTAAATGACTGTTAAGCAGGCTCACAGTTTGAAATTAAACGATCACATGCAGTAATACAGGAACTAGGCTGGAGTTTAAAAGGTCAAAGTTATTTTCTCATTTACTCAATCTTTTGTTTAGATTCCCTTCACCGTTGACGGTGGGCGTTGGTCAAATGGTGGCTACAGTGATGATTCTCTTCTTCGCCCGCCTCTTCCGACTTGTTACGTTCCCTCGATTGGATAGCAGTGTGCCTAGAAAGGTATTTTAGTAACAAACAACGTCATTCACTTTGAAGTTCAGATCTTTCCGTTGCCAATCATCTACGTGCTCAACTTGATATGTGGATTGGGGGGAACAAAGGCGATCAAGTTTGTGTCTAGCATCGACTCTTGTAAACCTTCAGTTTAGTCTTCCGATGTTCACCGTTCTTCGGAGGTTCTCCATTTTCATGACGATGGTGCTGGAGTATTGGATTTTGGGGTAGGTTTATGCTGGAAATAAAGTATTCTTTTTCTGCTCGATTCCCCACAAAGAGGTGGAGTCAGAACAAGTGTGTCATTGGTACTATAGCAAAATGGAAGTATAAGACATTCGTGTTCTACTTAATTAGGAGGAGCTAGAACACGTGTATTTGTTGTGCATCTACTCGTTTGCGACTTTAATACAATGTTAGGCGGATCATGGAATAAGTGAACGTGCGGCTGAGGGTTAGCTGTTCTAATTATGGCTCTATAGTCTGCCACTGGTGGAGCATAAGAATGGCTATTTCAAGTTCAAATCACATTTGATTAAAGATAATTGGCTGAACAGTAACACATTAAAAGTCGTAAGAAACTGGTGATATTTTCCATTTTCAGGGTTCAAGCCTCGTTCGCTGTGCAAGTGTCGGTCGGGTTGATGATTGGCGGATCGATTGTGGCCGCCTTTTATGATCTCGCTTTTGATTCTTATGGGTGAGTTTAGCGTTTCTAGACTCTAATGAGACTTAAACCAATTTGTTAAACATAACCATGCCTTTTATTTAGTTACACGCTGATTTTACTCAACGATCTCTTCACGGCTGCCCAGGGAGTATACACAAAGCAGAAATTGGATGCAAAGGTACGATTGATTTTTGGATTTCTTAATAAAGTTATGCTTAGGATCTTGGGAAGTACGGGATAATGTACTACAATTGTTTGTTCATGTTGGTCCCGGCGGTTTTCATGCTCATCTACACGGATGAGTTCGAAAAGGTAAATTTCCAAGTTATCATCAAACTAAACTTCTTTTAGAGCTACATCTTCATCACTTCTGATCAGATGCTGCCCGGGGTGTGGTTTTGTTTCATCGTCTCGTGTGTTTGCGGGTAATTTTTGTAAAAATAAATTGAATGAATTAAGAATTTCCAGGTTTATCCTCAACTTCTCGCAGGTTTTGTGCACCAGTTACAACTCGGCGTTGACGACGACGTGTGTTGGCCCTATAAAGGTGTGCTAGTCAATGGAACTTTGACTTATTTGTTTTAGAATCTCTTTGTGACTTATGCGGGCATGTTCAGCAGCGGCGATTATCTGTTTTCATGGACGAACTTTATCGGAATCAACATAAGGTATCGAGTTGGAGTCATTAAAAGCAAATTAGGAGTGGGGGAAGCTTTGTTTGTATCTAAAGCAGTCCACACAAGCAGCTAGCTAAAGGCTCAATTTTGAATTACACGACTCGCAAGCTTGCTTAATTCTAAACCTGAACCTAAAATGATCGCCTGAAAAAGCATCGAATTGTTAAATAAAATAAAACTTCATGATACGAATAAGCCATCATCAGCACTAATCTTTCTCCTTTTTAGCACGTTTGGAAGCATCTTGTACACGTATGTGACATTCCGGACCAAATCCACAGCCAGCAACCGACTCATCACGATCTCACCAAAAGCCAAGGAAGCCGAGCGACAAACGCTACTTTGAACCTAATTTGCGCTCGTTTGTGTTTTGCTTTAAAAATTTTCGATTCTTGTTTTGGAGGTTTGCTTAAACGTTAAAAAAGACGGAAACGTTTTGCTCAAATTTCGCGCACGGTTTAAGCAAACCTTATTAATCTGAGATGGCTCAAACTCTTTCCAAATGTTGTCTTCAGCATTTCCCTCTCGTTTCTCCACATTTTAAACCCTCTAGTCACATTGGGTATTGATTTTGTATAATTTATCACAAGCATAATTTCCCCTAAGCGTTTAGAAACTTCTAAAATCATTTCTCTGTGATATTTTTTTGATTACAAAATCTACGTGTGTCTTTTCATCTCTCTAATGATCTTTCTGATGTATGTGTGCCTTTTTTTGCGAGTACCCCTTTTATCGACTAAACTTCACATTGCCCAAATTTCTTTTCAACGCTCCCTAGGCGTCGATGTTCACTTATGCGATATTTGCATTCTCACTTTCCTTTTCTCATTTTCTTTTGCCTTCTCTCTCGCGCACACATGTGATATGGGTTGTAAGTTGAATAAATGTAAAATGCTATATGAAAACCATTTCGGACACATGAAAGGGGAGGGCAACGGCAAAACCACAAAAAGTATATTGCTCTAAGTGAGCTCGACAAGTGCCCTAGATCTAAAGCCGTTGGATGGGCATCTGTTTTTTGAAATCGTCTACATTTGCAGTATTCCTGTGATCCTTTCTGTATTTTACAGTGTATGAACTACCGTAACCTCTTATGTGAGTTGACCGTGGCCCTCCAACTTAGAGATTACTATAACCAAAATGTGATGTACCATCCAATAAAACAACGATCTACTTGCGTGACTCTTTGCAAACTTGGCATTTCTTGCCAAGTTTGCCAAGCGAAAGCATTTCTTTAGAAACTAAAGCCTGCCTTCTCTGTAATCGCCGGTGTGCGCCATCATCTCCTCAACCATGCTCAGAATTTGGAACTCGTTTCGCCAGGTGACTCGTTTCTTTCGATGCCTCATCCAGGTGTATCTAAATTGAAAGAAATGATCAACTTTCCGAAAAAATCTTTGAATTTTTTCAGTCATTAATCGTTTTTGGTAACAAAACGTTGCATTTTGAACAAGAATATGCAAAAAAAAAAACCTAATTTCAATGAATTTCATGCTAATCTTTTCAGAAATTTCAGAAAAAGTAGAATTTGCGCTAAACTGCAGGAAAAAAAAGTTTTTACACCAGTTTAATTCAAGAAAACGAAGGCATGTTTTAGACGCTTTTTTGCAATGATGTCGACATGTCGAACAACTCACTCTCCAACGACGAACGGATCACAATCGGTGTAGGTCCGGTGTAAAAGGTACTGAACGCGGGGATTGTTTTCTCTAAATGTGCTCAACGTTTGACAAATCTCTTCCAAAACATACCTGATCTTTGGCAAGAACTCTTCGATGAATTTCTCCATGCCTTCGCTCTGGAAGAGAAAAAATTAAAACGACGATTTAACCTCGTTCATTCAAGTTTTCGAGGATTCAAGGTTTTTAAGATTTAAGTGTCAAAAGATGTTAGAGAAAAGCCAAAAAGCAAGGCTGGTAAAGCCAAAGCCATTGCCTGCAGTTGGGCTTGACTTTCCTGGGAGTTTTTGAATGAAAAGTCAACCAAGGTAGGTCAAAACTGGTATAAAAACATAAAAACAAACATCAAAGCTTTTTCTCTCACTTTTTTGTGAAGTTCTAATACTTTAGCATTTTTTTAAACATTTATATGACTTAGGCCTAGAAATAAGCTTTTACTCATTTACAAAAAAGCAAAAAAAATGGTCGTGACAGGATTCGAACCAGAGGTCAATTTGGTCAAGCCAAAGCCAAGGGGACTCCGAAAAAACGGATTTATCAGCGCAATTGTGCCAAAATGCCCACCCTCAAAAAAGCCTAAAACTATCACTAGCCAAGCGAAGCCCAAATCAGCCACAAAGCCAAATTCTTGAAATTTTAAGGGTCAATATGAAAACATTTCTTACTCACTGTCAAAAATGACAAAAATGGGGAGTGGAACAAATGCGACCTTTTTTTTGCGCACCCGGACATTTGCGCACCTTTTTTTTTGCTGGAAAAGGCCTTAGGAAAGGTCGTAGAGCTTCGAAAATGTTTCTATAGAAGGGAATCGTATGCGTAGATTCAGAATTTGACAAATCAGACCTCGCTGACACGTCAAATCTGGGCTAAAAGGCAAAAACTGCGGAAAAGCGTTAAGTTGCGTAGTTTTTGCCTTTTAGCCCAAATTTGACGTGTCAGCGAGGTGTGATTTGTCGAAATTCGGAATCTACGCATACGATTCCCTTATATGGAAATATTTTCGAAGCTCTACGACTTTTCCTAAGGCCTTTTCCAGCAAAAAGAAGGTCGCATTTGTCCCACTCCCCAAAAATGACATAAAAATTGTTATCTTGAATCGTAAAAACGAAATGCTGAAAGAAATAATGAAAAATTTACCCAAATCTGTAAAAAAAAGAAAATTTTGACGGCTTTTGTACCCAAATTATTAAATTTCTCAATGAGATAAAGATATTCAGTTAATTAACAAAATTAATAAAAATTGCGATCTTTGCCTATAAATTGCGTAAAGAGAAATTTTTTTTACTTTTTCCCTGCGTCTCTTTTGACTTGCTGGAGGGAATTTAAAAAGGAACGAAATTTTACGGGCTCTTACACTTTAACAGTTCACTTTAAGAGAACTCGCAATCTTTACGCTTAAACGCTTAAGCGCTTAATCTTTATTCTTCGATTTGTCAAATTTGCCTCGATTTTTGCTGGTAGTTGAGCTAAAGCATCAAAATTGTGTCCGATCGCTTAACTTCCCGGTGTTATGCTTCTAGTTTGCTAAGAATTTGACTTATCTCTCTTCTCTTTGACTCATTGTCCTTGATTGTATTGTTGCTTCTTCGGTTTAATCGTATAAATTGTTAGTGTTTTATGCTTCTGCCCAGTAACTCCCAAAGTTTAGTGGTTTATAGAGTCTAGCTATCATTTTACTTGGTAATCAACGAAATTTATTATATTTTAGTCTAATAACGACAAGTTCTACTACCCTAAAGTCGCGAGTATAAGTTCATCCGAGTATAGGTTCTGAATTTACATTTAAAGGGCATTTAAAGGGATGGAAAATTTTCTTCTTTCTTTAATTTTTATTGTTTTTTTGTATTTTTTATTTTTTATTTTACTAACGTTTTTTCATTTTAGATACGATGAGGAGAAAGTCGTACACCGCCGAAACGAAGCTCGGAGCGGTCAAATTTGCGAGGAAATTTGGAACGAACGCGGCTGCGATCGAATTTGAAGTCGCCGAACAGATGATTAACCGCTGGAAACAAGCTGAGCCGGCACTGATGACTTCACCAAAAAATAATCGAGCTTTCCGAGGATTGAGGGCAAAATGGCCGGATGTGGAGAAAGATCTGAAGGCATGGATTCTGGAGAGGCGATCAAAACAACGAGCTGTAAATGGACCGGCAATGAAACGAGAAGCCATCAAGATTGCAACGAAACTTGGGGTTCGTCCGTTTTCACCCAGCAATTCATGGATTCAAAATTTCATGAGGCGGAATGGTTTGTCGATGCGGCGGAGGACGAGCGTTGGACAACCACTTCCAAAGGACTGTCAAAGCAAGAAATCATCTTTTCGATCGTTCTGTCGAGAATTTTGTGATGTTTCACTAAACAATTTTGGAAATTTAGACGAGGTTCCGGTTCCATTCGATATTGTTTCCAACCGAACAGTCGAAGTAAAAGGAAAGGATGATATTTCAATTGCTTCAACGGGAAATGAGAAGACGAATTTCACAGTTGTGCTCGGAATTCTAGCCGATGGATCGAAACTCCCACCGATGCTCATTTTCAAGCGCAAGACTCTTCCTAAAGGAATTTTTCCCGGTGTGATCATCAAAGCTAATCCGACAGGGTGGATGAATTCGGACTTGATGAAGGAGTGGATCGATGAAATTTGGTTGCGAAGAGCAAATCCAGTGGCCAAATCCGAAGAATCAGTGCTCGTGTTGGACTCAGCTCGCTGTCGCTTAACCGATAATGTCAAGGCTGAAATTCAGCAACACTCGAAGCTGGCTGTGATTCCAGGAGGGCTAACTCGATTTCTACAACCGCTTGACATCAGCGTCAATAAGCCATTCAAGGACAATCTAAAGGCTCACTGGGAAGAATGGATGTCCGATAGCCGAAACGACCAATTTACCCTGTCGGGACGAAAAAAGAGAGCGAGCTACGAGACAGTTGCGGAATGGGTAAGGAAAAGTTTTGATGCGATCCCCTCTTCTTGCATTATCAATGGATTTCGAAGAGCTTTGACGGATGAAACAGTTTCGAAGCTAAGCACAGAATTCTTTTTTATGTCGCTTTAATTGCTTTGAATTTCTTTTTGTTGGGTTTCAAAACATTTTTATTGTTATACAAACTTTTATTATTGTTCTTGGAGCGCGGGATACTACAGGGTGACAGCCTATCACCATTGCTATTTGTTATGTGCATGGATACATCCAGACGATAGTGTTGAAGAAGACGCTGGAAAGCATCTCTTTCGACCGTCGACGTGGACTTTGGCCGGATGAAGAGGTCAGGGAGGGATCCATAAGACTGAGCACCGAAGAGGAGCAGGGCGGACGCGCTGAGCCACGCCCGGAGCAACAAATAAGAGCATAAAATTGCTATAACCCTCAATAAATTTACTTCTATTGTTCTTAAAAAGCAAAAAAGTTATGCTGCAGCGGGGTTCGAACCCTCGACACACCGTCAATTTGCATGCGAAAACCAGACAGAACTTATACTCGCGACTTTAGGGTAGTTTTTTTTATCTTTTGTTTTTCCCTTGCGGTTCTTAAAGCCTGATTAATTTCTCTTTTTAGGTGCGACGACGATTCGTAGAGGGAAGAGCAACAACACTAACACGGTCACGAAAGAAACGAGAGCAAGGGAAACAAAGAGATATGGAGTCCAGGACGGCGTCGCTCTTCCATCGCGTCTCGTCGGCGCTTTTCTTTGGCGTATCGAGTATACTTGTCGTCTTCATCAACAAGATTTTGCTCACAAATTACAAGTGAGCTGAATTTCTTTCTTTGGTGCTATTCGGTTATATACCTAAATACCTAGTTTAGGCCTAAGATAATGCTTATCTTATCTATTTTTCATCTGAAATTATACCCAAAGCGTATTTTATACGTAAACTAGGCGCATTGATTTTAAACTAGTTTGATTAAGAAGCTAAATGCGTTTTGGGAAATAGCCGGGATAGTCCCCTTTCTTTTCTCGCACAATGGAGTTAGTGTACCCGTCACTTTGCCGTTAAATGACTGTTAAGCAGGCTCACAGTTTGAAATTAAACGATCACATGCAGTAATACAGGAACTAGGCTGGAGTTTAAAAGGTCAAAGCTATTTTCTCATTTACTCAATCTTTTGTTTAGATTCCCTTCACCGTTGACGGTGGGCGTTGGTCAAATGGTGGCTACAGTGATGATTCTCTTCTTCGCCCGCCTCTTCCGACTTGTTACGTTCCCTCGATTGGATAGCAGTGTGCCTAGAAAGGTATTTTAGTAACAAACAACGTCATTCACTTTGAAGTTCAGATCTTTCCGTTGCCAATCATCTACGTGCTCAACTTGATATGTGGATTGGGGGGAACAAAGGCGATCAAGTTTGTGTCTAGCATCGACTCTTGTAAACCTTCAGTTTAGTCTTCCGATGTTCACCGTTCTTCGGAGGTTCTCCATTTTCATGACGATGGTGCTGGAGTATTGGATTTTGGGGTAGGTTTATGCTGGAAATAAAGTATTCTTTTTCTGCTCGATTCCCCACAAAGAGGTGGAGTCAGAACAAGCGTGTCATTGGTACTATAGCAAAATGGAAGTATAAGACATTCGTGTTCTACTTAATTAGGAGGAGCTAGAACACGTGTATTTGTTGTGCATCTACTCGTTTGCGACTTTAATACAATGTTAGGCGGATCATGGAATAAGTGAACGTGCGGCTGAGGGTTAGCTGTTCTAATTATGGCTCTATAGTCTGCCACTGGTGGAGCATAAGAATGGCTATTTCAAGTTCAAATCACATTTGATTAAAGATAATTGGCTGAACAGTAACACATTAAAAGTCGTAAGAAACTGGTGATATTTTCCATTTTCAGGGTTCAAGCCTCGTTCGCTGTGCAAGTGTCGGTCGGGTTGATGATTGGCGGATCGATTGTGGCCGCCTTTTATGATCTCGCTTTTGATTCTTATGGGTGAGTTTAGCGTTTCTAGACTCTAATGAGACTTAAACCAATTTGTTAAACATAACCATGCCTTTTATTTAGTTACACGCTGATTTTACTCAACGATCTCTTCACGGCTGCCCAAGGAGTATACACAAAGCAGAAATTGGATGCAAAGGTACTATTGATTTTTGGATTTCTTAATAAAGTTATGCTTAGGATCTTGGGAAGTACGGGATAATGTACTACAATTGTTTGTTCATGTTGGTCCCGGCGGTTTTCATGCTCATCTACACGGATGAGTTCGAAAAGGTAAATTTCCAAGTTGTCATCAAACTAAACTTCTTTTAGAGCTACATCTTCATCACTTCTGATCAGATGCTGCCCGGGGTGTGGTTTTGTTTCATCGTCTCGTGTGTTTGCGGGTAATTGTTGTAAAAATAAATTCAATGCATTAAGAATTTCCAGATTTATCCGCAACTTCTCGGAGGTTTTGTGCACCAGTTACAACTCGGCGTTGACGACGACGTGTGTTGGCCCTATAAAGGTGTGCTGGTCAATGGAACTTTGACTTATTTGTTTTAGAATCTCTTTGTGACTTATGCGGGCATGTTCAGCAGTGGCGATTATATGTTTTCATGGACGAACTTCATCGGAATCAACATAAGGTAGCGAGTTGGAGTCATTAAAAGCAAATTAGGAGTGGGGGAAGCTTTGTTTGTATCTAAAGCAGTCCACACAAGCAGCTAGCTAAAGGCTCAATTTTGAATTACACGACTCGCAAGCTTGCTTAATTCTAAACCTGAACCTAAAATGATCGCCTGAAAAAGCATCGAAATGTTAAATAAAATAAAACTTAATGGTACGAATAAGCCATCAGCAGCACTAATCTTTCTCCTTTTTAGCACGTTTGGAAGCATCTTGTACACGTATGTGACATTCCGGACCAAATCCACAGCCAGCAACCGACTCATCACGATCTCACCAAAAGCCAAGGAAGCCGAGCGACAAACGCTACTTTGAACCTAATTTGCGCTCGTTTGTGTTTTGCTTTAAAAATTTTCGATTCTTGTTTTGGAGGTTTGCTTAAACGTTAAAAAAGACGGAAACGTTTTGCTCAAATTTCGCGCACGGTTTAAGCAAACCTTATTAATCTGAGATGGCTCAAACTCTTTCCAAATGTTGTCTTCAGCATTTCCCTCTCGTTTCTCCACATTTTAAACCCTCTAGTGCTCCCTAGGCGTTCACTTATGTTCACTTATGCGATATTTGCATTCTCACTTTCCTTTTCTCATTTTCTTTTGCCTTCTCTCTCGCGCACACATGTGATATGGGTTGTAAGTTGAATAAATGTAAAATGCTATATGAAAACCATTTCGGACACATGAAAGGGGAGGGCAACGGCAAAACTACAAAAAGTATATTGCTCTAAGTGAGCTCGACAAGTGCCCTAGATCTAAAGCCGTTGGATGGGCATCTGTTTTTTGAAATCGTTTACATTTGCAGTATTCCTGTGATCCTTTCTGTATTCTACAGTATGAACTACCGTAACCTTTTTTGTGGTACTTGTGTATGAACTACCGTAACCTCTTATGTGAGTTGACCGTAGCCTTCCAGCTTAGAGATTACTATAACCAAAATGTGATGTACCATCCAATAAAACAACGATCTACTTGCGTGACTATTTGCAAACTTGGCATTTCTTGGTTTGCAACAGTCCGAACACTGAGAAATCTTCATTCTTTCAATCTATCACTAAACAAAGAAAAATGAAAAAGCACCCCTAGAAAAATAACGACAAAAAAAATAATGTACAAACGAGATCATTTCGGGTATTTCCTGTAAATGTAATGTGGATGATCTTTTGATCGAAAACACGCCAAATCCTCAGCATCCGCTTTCCATTTGCTGCGAATCTGGAAAAGATGAGTGAATAAGCATAAAATGGTACTTTTTGGGTCTGGTCTGAATCGATCTGTGTCACTTTTGGACCATTTTCAAGAACTTTCATTAGGTTTTCTTGAGGCCCCTTTGAGCATACTTCGGTCAATCGAAGCCAAATTTAGTCCTTTCAGCCATCTCCTCGAATCAGGAGCCGAATAGAAGGGAAAACGTCAAAAAAATTGACCTCAAACACGTCGTGTCCCATCGTTTCGGTATCCCAGAGCTCTTGGCCGCGCGGTAGTCGATTTTGCACTCGTCGCCGCTTTCCTGGAATAAAAAGGATACATTTACAAAGAAGATAACCACAGTATCTCATATAGATGATCTACGGATTAGCTTTTAAAGGATTTTAAGTGCTAGGCTCAAGATTTTTTGAGCTCCTGGAATCAAAAAACGCTAAAATTTGAAAAGAGGATCGGAGTTTTTAAAGTCTTTCAGTGATTTTCAAGGATTTTTTGAATCAAGATCGGAAGAGCAGCGAAAGCATTTCTTTAAAAACTAAAGCCTGCCTTCTCTGTAATCGCCGGTGTGCGCCATAATCTCCTCAACCATGCTCAGAATTTGGAACTCGTTTCGCCAGGTGACTCGTTTCTTTCGATGCCTCATCCAGGTGTATCTAAATTGAAAGAAATGATCAACTTTCCGAAAAAATCTTTGAATTTTTTCAGTCATTAATCGTTTTTGGTAACAAAACGTTGCATTTTGAACAAGAATATGCAAAAAAAAAAAACCTAATTTCAATGAATTTCATGCTAATCTTTTCAGAAATTTCAGAAAAAGTAGAATTTGCGCTGCAGGAAAAAAAACAGTTTTTACACCAGTTTAATTCTTTTCAAGAAAACGAAGGCATGTTTTAGACGCTTTTTTGCAATGATGTCGACATGTCGAACAACTCACTCTCCAACGACGAACGGATCACAATCGGTGTAGGTCCGGTGTAAAAGGTACTGAACGCGGGGATTGTTTTCTCTAAATGTGCTCAACGTTTGACAAATCTCTTCCAAAAACATACCTGATCTTTGGCAAGAACTCTTCGATGAATTTCTCCATGCCTTCGCTCTGGAAGAGAAAAAATTAAAACGACGATTTAACCTCGTTCATTCAAGTTTTCGAGGATTCAAGGTTTTTAAGATTTAAGTGTCAAAAGATGTTAGAGAAAAGCCAAAAAGCAAGGCTGGTAAAGCCAAAGCCATTGCCTGCAGTTGGGCTTGACTTTCCTGGGAGTTTTTGAATGAAAAGTCAACCAAGGTAGGTCAAAACTGGTATAAAAACATAAAAACAAACATCAAAGCTTTTTCTCTCACTTTTTTGTGAAGTTCTAATACTTTAGCATTTTTTTAAACATTTATATGACTTAGGCCTAGAAATAAGCTTTTACTCATTTACAAAAAAGCAAAAAAAATGGTCGTGACAGGATTCGAACCAGAGGTCAATTTGGTCAAGCCAAAGCCAAGGGGACTCCGAAAAAACGGATTTATCAGCGCAATTGTGCCAAAATGCCCACCCTCAAAAAAGCCTAAAACTATCACTAGCCAAGCGAAGCCCAAATCAGCCACAAAGCCAAATTCTTGAAATTTTAAGGGTCAATATGAAAACATTTCTTACTCACTCACCAGCGTTTAAAGCGTTTAAAAACAACTATCCGTTGACCTCAAAAACTTTTAAACTTTAAACTTCAAAAACTTTTTTTAACGTTTGCTCAAACAGTGCGCTCAAATTTGGCTTAGCCTGGGAAATTGGCTTCAAGAACAACCCTGGCACCTAGTTTCTTCACAAAAAAAAATAACAACAACACCCCACACTCTCACCTTTAAATGATTATGTGTCCATGATAAACGCAACTTCTCGAAGGTCGGCACGGCGCGGATTAAATCGGCGGTGAAGCCGTTCACCGGTTGCATCACTTTGTTCGCGTACACCGACATCGTTTCCTGGAAATGAACAAAAATTATCCCCCGATTTTAAAGGGAAACATATCAAGTTAGGCAACAATAATCACATGAACATGAACAACATCACAACCCAATCAACAATCACATGAACTTGTGTGTCTTATAAGGAAAATTGGTTTCAAAAGAATCATTTACTCAATTTTTCACAGAATCCCGTGAAAATTTGTGTATTCTATACAAGAAAATCGTCGAAAACAATTCAAACTCTTCAATTTACTATTACTATTTAAGGCAAAGATCCCCCCAAACCAAATTTGACTCAAATCTCAACTCCAACACAGAAAATCGCATTTTTCCAACGAAGTACATGGTTTTTTCAACCGAAATCTCGAAAAAGCACGTTTCAGACTAGATTTATTCTCAATAAAACAACAAAAATCTGTACAAAAATCACTAAAAAATGACATAAAAAGCTAAATGAAAGCCGCAAAAATTACCCGATTCGTAAATAAAAATGAGATTTTTTTTAGTTTCAAAAGGTAAAAGTGAATGGAAATCGTGAAAATACACTCGTTTATCGATAAAGTTCGCTGGAATTTCAAATGAACTTCGTTAAATGCTTCGTTTTGAACGTAACTTTATCGAACAACTAAAAACATTATCGAAAACCCCAGCCGTTTTAAACCTTTGGTCACTTTGAATTCCGCAGTTTCTCCTTTGCGAAATCCTATCCGAATCGTTTCCCCCTCATTTCTTGTGCTGTTGTTGTTGTTGGTGCTTCAGTTTGTCCTCCTCGGAACCGATCACTTCTTTGCGCAACTCGTCCAAATCGATATCGTAGATTTTCGTCTTCTCGAGCCGCTGAAAAGAAACGATTTGGTTTGGTTGGAGAAAAAGCTTTTTTAAATCAGATCTTTTTAAAATCAGATCTTTTTAAAATCAATTCTTTTTTAAATCAATTCTTTTTTAAATCAGATCTCTTCAATCTCGCAGTTTTACTTTTCTTGAAATACAGAAATTTGTATGAACAAGCTACTAGTAGCTGAAATAACAGATTACCACATTGCTGAAATAACAGACAGGTAACAGATTGTTGACTTTTCAACAAAAATTCGTGAAACGTCTTGATTAACCGAAATAAATCACACGAAGAGTTGAAATATTCTGCTGTTTCTTGTTATTAGCAGCGATGCGATAGCTTATCGTGGACTTGGCCTATAAAATCTATTAGCACTTTTGAAAAAGCCTTATCAAACCCATATCTTGTACGAAAAAGAATTTTAAAAAACTAATCAAGGCATTACTAACGTTTTATGGGGATTTGACGAAGATTTAATGAGGATTTGATAAAGTTTTGAAAAGAATTTAATAATTTACTTTTTGAATTTGCTAAAAACTGAAAGGCAAAGCAAAGTGTTGCTTATCGATTTGCGAGTGTGATTGTGATAGTTATCCGAGAGCTATATGTCAAGACTTGGCCTATTAAACCTTTTATCAAGCCCCATAAAACCCAAAGACTTGCTAAAAGTTTGCTAAAGTCTGATAAGTCTAAAGTCGAGTCTTATGGGTCGGTAAAAATACCCTACTCTTTTTCTGAAATCTCGATTTTGCAAGATTTCCTTACAAAACATACTGTTGGATGGCAATGGGGCATTACTTTTGTGGACCACTGCATCAAGCCCCATAAAACCCAAAGACTTGCTAAAAGTTTGCTAAAGTCTGATAGCCTAAATCCCGCTTATCGATTTGCAATTGGGAATACAAAAAAAAATCCGCTTGCCTATCGAATTCAAAACTTCAAAAAAACAAATTTCACCTCTTTGACACAATCGTTGTAGGCCTCGTGTAGCCGCTCGCACGGATTGACGGCGTATTGGTGGCGATAATTGGGCGTGATGAATTTCTGGAAGAACTCGCTGAAGCACTTGTCGTACACCTGAAAAAAAAAGGAAAAGTTATGCGGTTTTTAAAGCTTACGAGTATCACAACGCTACATCTAAAGCATTTTCTATGGCTTGTACCTTTCTATGGCTTTCAAAGAAAATTCCGGCTAGATCTTTGCGAAAGAAGCAAAAAAAATAAGTCAAATTCAAGTAAAACAGCTCAATTTTTCATCTAAACAGTCAAAAAAGGCAAAATTTTGAAATTTTCATCAAAACGACAATTTCTTTAGGCGATTTTACGTTACTTTAACGTATTTTTTGGAAGTTTTATTGGGTGCATTAGTACTGAATTTTGCATTTTTCTTCAGAAGAAATGTAGAATTTGATCGAAATGAGCTTAAAAACTATGTAAAACCACAAAAAAAGCCGAAATTTTCATGAAAGCAACGGTTTCTTTAAAGGATTTCAAGCTCTTCAACGAATTTTTGCATTTTTCTCCCGAAGAAATGCAGAATTTGATCGAAATGAGTTTAAAAACTATGTAAAACCACAAAAACGACATGCCGACACGGAATTTTGAAATTTTTATTACACCAACACGCTTTTTACCCTACTTTAACAGATTTTTTGCAATTTTTTTTCCTGAAGTCAAAACAAGCTAGAATTTAGTCAAAACAAGCTAGAAAAATGTCTATTCACTTGAAACTTGAAAAATGTCTATTAGCTTTTCAACTTTTAACGAAAAACCGAACCTGTTTCAGCTCATCGCACTCGTGGAATATGCTCGGCATTTGTCGGTCGCTCATTTCTTGAAGTTAGCTGAAAAACAAACATTTTATAGAAGAATTTTTGAAGAATGAAAGGAAAAATTGGGAGTGGAACAAATGCGACCTTTTTTTTTGCGCACCCGGACATTTGCGCACCTTTTTTTCCGCACCTTGCTCATTAGCGCACCTTTTTTCGCGTTTTAAAAAAGCTCTAAAGCGTAAAAAAGCTCTAAAAAGCTAATATTAACGAATTTCTATTCCAAAAATTGTTTTTCTAGGTAATTTTAGGGCGTAGAATCGAAATTTTGACATATCAGAGCTTGTGGAAACAAACGGACGGAGTTACACAAAGAGAAAGATCAACAATTTGAAATTTCTGTAATTTGATCTAGCCGTTTTGTCTTTCACCCTTTCTCTTTCAAATTGATTCCACACGCTCTGTTATGTCAAAATTTCGATTCGACACCCTTAAATTACCTAGAAAAACAACTTTTGAAATAGAAATTGGTTAATATTAGCTTTTTAGAGCTTTTTTTACGCTTTAGAGCTTTTTTAAAACGCGAAAAAATGTGCGCTAATGGGCAAGGTGCGGAAAAAAAGGTGCGCAAATGTCCGGGTGCGCAAAAAAAGGTAGCATTTGTCCCACTCCCGAAAAATTTAAAAAAAAACGCTAAACAAATGCTTTCACAAGGCACGTTTATCAATTCTTGACGCAAAAAAAACGCAGGAAATTCGACGAGCCAAAGAAACGGAGAAAAAACGAAATTTGTATCTGGGCGGACATCCACCAAATCATAGCCTCATTCCAACTTTTTGATCGGAAAACTTTTGAAACTTTGAAACTTTGAAACTTTCTATACTTTAACTTTGGGTATTTTCAAAATCAAGAGCTTTTTCTTTTTAAAAATGTTTTGCCTTTATTCGGGTGCCAGCCGAGAAACCCGCCTAACGGCTGTTTTGATGTTTTGGGGATGCAAGGCTTTTGTCGCCGTGGTGTAGTGGAGAGCGCGGCGGTCTATCGCCCATAAGATCCCGTTCGACCTCCCCATGCGACTCGAATTGTGCTTTTTAAAAAAAATCCAAAAGCACGTTGCACAACTACATGTAATTCCCTATTCAACGGCGCAAAAATCATTGCAAACGGTTTTCTGGGGGCAGAGGAGCGCGCACAGACAGACAGACGGACAGGCGGACAGACAGACAGGCGGCCAGACAGACGGACAGACAGATAGATAGACAGATAGATAGATAGATAGACAGACGGACAGAGAGACAGACAGACAAGCGTTTTAGCTCCTTTATATAGTAGATTTGGGACAAACTGAGGCATTTTACCCTCCTCCCCCACGAAAAATTTTTAAAAACTACTTTTGCTGGGGGTTTTCGACCATGCTGAATCCGAATAACAATAACTTGCACATAAATTTCCTAAAGCTTTCTTTCATTTCCTAAAGCGTACCCCAACTTTACCTCCACTATCAAAATCTCTTTAGCTAAAAGCTAAATCTCTTTAGCTATATCCATATAAGCCCCCACTCTATCGTCAAAATATAGTGTGCTTAGATAAGAAATTACGGTGTTTAAGAAAGGAGCCTGTTTTTAAAAAAAAAAACGCTTTTTATTCAGAGATGAATTACGGTGAGCCGGAAACCCGGCAAAGAGCCCCGTCAAATCCCCATGAGCAACAAGGAGGACAATCGGCTCCTGGATTCGGCTCAAATTTGCATGCCCAACTTGGGCATATGGTGAGTGAAAGTAAAAAGAATTGTTTGCTAGGCGGAGCACAAAGTACACGAGCTCGAGCAGTGCTGGACGAGAGCTGGACGCTTTTAACGCGATTTTTTCAAGAAACTCGAAAATTCGATTTTCTTTTCAGCCAAGCTGGATATCAGGCTAGGGTTTCAGAAAGATAGAATTTAATTTGGGAGAGATTTTTGAGCTCCCAGGTCTGCACTGAACTCACAGTGTCCATGTACTTTGTGCCTTCATAAATGCGCGCCTTTGGCACACCGAAACAAAAAAGTTTCAGGTTTGGGAAGCGGGCAGTAAACAAATCAAGGACTCTTTCAATTCGTACGGTCGAATCGATTATTTCCGACCCTATTTCGACGTTGAACCAAAACAGGTAAAAGAAAAAAAATCTTAAAAGAAGTCTCTTTCAATTTTCCACACAATTAACGACTACGCGACTGTACGCTTAAAATACCGTCTTCGCGTTAAAATCTAATTGTTCTTGCAGGTCCGCAATCGGCTCTTTCAATCGTTTCTGCCACGAAAACCGTCAACGATCTCGGTTTCAAACGATTTATACGGTTAGCCACAGTACTGTACATAGTATTTTTCGTACTAGGACCAGGCCAGGGCAAGCCTAGCTCTAGATACTAGCCAGACAGTCTAGGTTAAAGCCAGACAAGGTCAGACAAGGCCAGACAAGGCCAGACAAGGCCAGACCAGGCCAAACAAGGCCAGACCAGGCCAAACAAGGCCAGACAAGGCCAGACCAGGCTCAACCCAGGCCCAATCTGGCCTATACTGGCCTATACTGACCTCTGCTAGTCCCGGTTTTACTAGGTAGCTCCTAACAGATGGATGTCTGACGCTATTTTTAGGCCCATCGATGGTCGTTTTGACAATGGTCGCCTTGCTTTTGCTGAACATGAAGAGTAGCGGGTAAGGCTTCAGACTCCTGGCTAAGTAAAACCGTGAACTCCTCGCTTACAGTAACTTAGTTTAAAAATAGATATGTGAGGGTTGATTTTCAAATTCGGAATAACTGTAGTGACATCCAGGATAGAGGAATATTAGATCAAACTTCTCTAATGCCAAAAGATATTCAGTTATCGGGGTGACATCCAGATTGAATGAATATCATCTTAAAGTTCTCTAATATAGCATAGTATTCAAGATATTCAGTTAACATGGTGACATCCAGAATGCATAAATATTAAATCAAACTTCTCTAATGCTAAAAGATATTCAGTTATCGGGGTGACATCCAGATTGAATGAACAAAGTTCTCTATATAGCATAGTATTCAGTTATTCAGTTATCATGGTGACATCCAGAATGCATAAATATTAAATCAAACTTCTCTAATGCCAAAAGATATTCAGTTATCGGGGTGACATCCAGAATGCATAAATATTAAATCAAACTTCTCTAATGCTAAAAGATATTCAGTTATCGGGGTGACATCCAGATTGAATGAATATCATCTTAAAGTTCTCTAATATAGCATAGTATTCAAGATATTCAGTTATCATGGTGACATCCAGAATGCCTAAATATTAGATCAACCTTCTCTAATGCCAAAAGATATTCAGTTATCGGGGTGACATCCAGAATGCATAAATATCAAATGAAATTCATTCAATCTCAAAAGCTATCCAATAATCTGCTCCCATTTCAGTTACACCACCCAAGACGGTACGCTGATCGGTTCGGCGATGGTTTCCTGTTTTGCCGCGTGGATTATTCTCTCGACTGTTATCTCTACGTTGTGCTATATTGTAAATATCGACGTCGGATTCGTGAATACAATTTCTTTAGTGGTTGGTTTGTTTAAGTGAGTTGAACAGATTACTGTAAGGTCTATTTGTTTGGTGTTCTTGTTGAGAAGGTGTTGTTGAGAAGGAGCAGTGCCTAGAAGGTGTTGTTGAGAAGGAGCAGTGCCTAGAAGGTGTTGTTGAGAAGGAGCAGTGCCTAGAAGGTGTTGTTGAGAAGGAGCAGTGCCTAGAATGCATTGATCAAATCGCATTGATCAATCGCATTGATAGACTCAAAACTCAAAATAGCTCAAATCGATTCGCCTAAACGTCAGTAGTCATCTCGTAGTCTAATAAAGCAGATTGTCTTTCAAAAGTGAAGGTACAATTTCGATTTCCAGGGTTATTCGATGACCTCGCATTGCCTCGTGCTTCTCCTAACCGCCATCTATCATCCATCTCATGATCACCTCTATTTCTTCTTCCTACTCATCGTTTTTTGCTTTCCCTCGGCGCTGAGAACGGTAAGGAACAGTGAGAACTGTGAGAACAGTGCTCGATTGTGCACAAAGCTACAGTAACCCTCGCTCTCTTTCAGGGACTCTTTCTTGGCTCAAAAACTCGTGATCCAACTCACAAAATGACTGTATTGAGCGTGTGCATCGGTGTCCATCTTCTCTACCTAATCTATCTACATTTCGGCTTTCATGTTATGGTTGAAGGTTGGTGAAGGATTTTGATGATGAGATGATGAGATGACTTTGATGGTTTTGATGATTTCAATGCTATCAGTGCTATTCAATTATACCTTCCTTGCACAGCATTAGCATTAAAGTCATGTTTATAATGAAATCTTGGCCTTGTATCTGTAAAAAGTTCATTAATTAATTAATTAATTATTTATTATTCATTAATTAGTCATTATTCATTAAATTATTCATTAATTATTCATTAATTATTCATTAATTAGTCATTAATTAGTCATTAATTATTCATTAATTAGTCATTAATTATTCATTAATTAGTCATTAATTAGTCATTAATTTCAGAATTAGACGAAATCCTTGGCGAATCCCCGCCAAACGTCATCAAATCCGCTATTCCACTCGACAATATCTCAACAATAAATAACTAACGCCAGAAAATTTGCATAATCGTCTAGATATTTGTGTACATTTTGTCTGTGATTTGTCTTTCAAAGGGGGTTTTGGGAAATTTACAATAAAATTTTTGCTTCCCTGGTGAGCCCAACTACAATACTCCGCCAAATGCTTAAGTTTTAAACTAAAAGATTCCGTCGAAAAAAAAAATCGACTTTGGCACAAAATCAGAAAAGCCAAAATGTAATGTGATATCCAGATTGAAGAATACTGAAAAAATAAACCCTCAAACGCAAACGAGCATCAAGTTCTTGCGTCGAGAGGCGTCGAGAGCCGCCAGCAGTCACATGAAGAGTGATGCCAGAAGGCTCAAAAAGCCACTAATTCTACAGTGTGCCATCCAGATTGGGGAAATCTCTGTAAAATCGATCGAATAACTTTAGCATTTCTATAATTTTCCTGTTTCTTTGCTCAACTAATGGAAATTTACATTTATCCGATTCAGAATCATACTTCAAAAGTGTTTTCAAATTTGCAGACTTTCGCTGAGCGTACCCTCAGCACTTTGCATTATTTCTCTGTGCTTACTATTGACGAGTTTTGCAATTCGGAAAGAGTTGCTGTGGTTAATTTAAGCAATTTTCAACTTTTCCCAATTACTGAGTACTTAAAAAGTAAGGTTGACAAAAATCGACTTTTCCGCAAAAACCAGAAAAGCCAAAATGCAATGTGATATCCAGATCGAAGAATACTGAAAAAATAAACCCTCAAACTCCAACGAGCATCAAGTTCTTGCGTCGAGAGGCGTCGAGAGCCGCCAGCAGTCACATGAAGAGTGATGCCAGAAGGCTCAAAAAGCCACTAATTCTACAGTGTGCCATCCAGATTGGGGAAATCTCTGTAAAATCGATCGCATAACTTTAGCCGAAAAGCATTTTATTTCATCGATAACCTTTCCGGATTTCCGGTTAAACTTATTGGCCTTTAAAATAACAAAAATGAGATCAAAATTTAGTGATTTTCTCTTCGTTTTCGATTTTGGTGATTTTGGTGATTTTGCGCTCGTTTTCCTCTCGTTTTTCCTCTTTTTCCACGTCTTTTTCTGGTTGAATATTTAACAAAATTTGAGCGAATTTTAATGTTGAATCTGAAAAAAATGAAAAAAATTATTTTTTTTGTTTTTTTTTTTGCTTTTTTCTGATCTATCATTTTTTGATTTATAAATTTTCATAATCTTTTCATAATCTCGAAATTACCATTGATTTTGTGAAGAAAAGCTGGCAGATTTGATGGGTAAATGAAAAGGAAATACGTAACGAGACCGACGATCGCCAGCGAGCAACCGTAGATGCCGACTTTGAAGTGCTGAAATTGTTGACATCACCCCGATAGTTAGATTTCTGATTTGAAGAAAGAAGAAAAACATTTTTGGCCTAAAATGAACTTGTCTTTCTCCTGGCCCTGACCGTCTCTTTTGGCCCTGTCTTCTAGCCCTGTCCCTGTCTTCTGGCCCCTCTTCTGGCCCCTCTTCTGGCCATCTCTTCTGACCCTGTCTTCTGGCCCTGTCCCTGTCTACTGCCCCTGTCTTCTGTCCCTGTCCCTGTCCCTGTGCCCAGATTATGCAAACCAATAGCATCTAGAAATCTCCTATTCCCTGTCCTATCGGATGCTGCATCCAAAATAGAATCTTGTGCCAGAGACCGGGCGTGTACTATGGATCGCAATCTACGCGCGGACTGAGGCTAAGCTGGAGTCAGAAACAATCGCAAATGAAAAGCCTTCATCCCACAAATCAAAGTTGCGTTCCAGCTAAGAAAAATCTCAAATTTTGTCAAATTGTGTAGACTCAAAGATGCACAATCACGAGGCGCTGATCTCTGAGATTTCTTGAAAACTAAAGAAGTGAAGGCGTCAGTCTCTTGAAAGAAGAGAAAAGTACTTGAAAGCTCACCTGCCAAACGGGCACAATCAACAGCATTAGACATAAAAAGAGGAAAATGAATGGGACGGCCAATGGGATTCTGAATTGTATTGAATTACAATCGAATGGATATCGTTTTTGAACCTGAAAATGTTTTCCGTTGGTTTAAGCGGTAATTTCCCGGAATATCGCATCCAAATGAAAGCAATCTGCAAAGAAATGACGGAGTTTTTTTTTAAAAAGAAATATTTTAACCCTAACCTGTGTCATCGTCCGTTGCATCCACATTGCGAATGTCATATACGAGATGAGCGAGTCGAGATCGCCGATGAAGGAAACGCCGACACAGATCAATACCTGGGGGTTTTTACATGGCCGGTTTAAACCACATATGGCAAGCGGCTAGCTTCACATGGCCCAATGGCCCAGTGGCCCAGTGGCCCAGATTGAATCCAGTGGCCTCAGGAGAACTCTTTTTGAATAAAGTAACGCTTATAAGACAAGAAAGCAATACGGTAACCCTAAACGAATTCAGCGAAATCCTTTTCTGCTTACAAGGGATGCTCACCAAGCTATCATCAAGCTATCACCGGGCTTCAAAACGAGACCTAGTTCATCTAGACAAGTTTTAGCTACAGTACTCTAGGCGTACTGTAGCTAGGCGTACTGTAGCTAGGCGTACTATAGCTCTGATCTCTGAGATTTCTTGAAAACTAAAGAAGTGAAGGCGTCAGTCTCTTGAAAGTACAGAAATTCGAGCTTTTGTTTTTAAGATCATTGGGATTTCAGAGTTTTGCTTTCAAGGGAGATTCACCAAGGTTTACCACCAAGGTTTACCGGATTTCAAAGCGCGGAGTCATCGGATTGCGGGAGTTATCGGATTGCTGGAATCATCGGATTGCGGGAGTCATCGGATTGCTGGAGTCATCAGATTTCAACACAGCTACAGGGTTGACCTAGCTCATCTAGACGAGTTTTTCCACGTTGTTTCCGAATCTGCAATCAAATCTATCCAATAGAGGCTTTGAAAGTGCATTTGATTTGCTTAAAGTTAAGTTCTAAACAAAAATGGATCCGAACTTCGAGCTGGATCCGAAATTCGAGCTGGATCCGAACCAGTTCTCAAAAAGGTGAGAGCCCAACGCACTACCATTGTACCAACGCACTACCATTGTACTCTTAATGGCCTTTTAATCTTAATGGTCCCTTTTAAGTCAAGATAGAGCCATTTTTTGTTTTGTAATTCTCCCTGCAATCAAAACCATTTTTACGACTTCAGAAGCTCTATTGGATAGATTTGATTGCAGATTCGAAAACAACGTGAAAAACTCGTCTAGATGAGCTAGGTCAACCCTGTAGCTGTGTTGAAATCTGATGACTCCCGCAATCCGATGATTTCAGCAATCCGATGACTCCCGCAATCCGATGATTCCAGCAATCCGATGACTCCCGCAATCCGATGACTCCGCGTTTTGAAATCCGGTAAACCTTGGTGGTAAACCTTGGAATCTTCCTTGAAAGCAAAACCCTGAAATCCCAATGATCTTAAAAAAAGCTCGAATTTCTGTACTTTCAAGGGACTGAAAACATCTTTACTTTTCAAGAAACCTCACAGATCAGAGCTACAGTATTGCCCAGGGTACTGTAGCTGTGTAGAAATGTGATGACTCCCGCAAGTAATCTTGTTTAAAGACTTTCGAGTATGGAGAGTTCAAAAGAAAGCTCAATTTCTGCGATCGAAAGCAATCGAATTCTTCTGCACTCACCTCGACAAGAATAGCGGCTCGAGGACTGCCCGACTCTTCGTGCACACAACCAACCGCTTTTGGCATCACTGCCGCCACACCACCCGCAAAAAGATATCTAGAATCTAGATATAATAAAGAAGTAATAGAGAGATATCTAGAATCTAGAGATAACAAAGAATTAATAGAAAGATATTTAGAATCTAGATATAATAAAGAAGCAATAGAGAGTTATCTAGAATAGAGATATAATAAAGAAGCAATAGAGAGATATCTAGAATCTAGCGATAATAAACAAATAATAGAAAGATATCTAGAATCTAGATATAATAAAGAAGCAATAGAAAGATATCTAGAATCTAGATAAGTACAAAGTGATCTCACCGACTTGAGCCAAAAATCGTAGAGTTGAGATTGCCGAGTAGCATGACACCGATCAAGAAAGGCACCGCGTAATGAAAAGAGCCGAGGGTACGCTCAGCGAAAGTCTGCAAATTTGAAAACGCTTTTGAAGTTTGATTCTGAATCGAATAAATGCAAATTCTCATTAGTTAAGCAAAGATACAGGAAAATGATAGAAATACTAAAGTTATGCGATCGATTTTACAGAGATTTCCCCAATCTGGATGGCACACTGTAGAATTAGTGACTTTTTGAGCCTTCTGGCATCAATCTTCATGTGACTGCTGGCGGCTCTCGACGCCTCTCGACGCCTCTCGACGCAATAACTTTATGCTCGTTTGCGTTTGAGGGTTTATTTTTTCAGAATTCTTCGATCTGGATATCACATTACATTTTGGCTTTTCTGATTTTTGCGGAAAAGTCGTTTTTTGTCAATCTTACTTTTTAAGTACTCAGTAATTGGGAAAAGTTGAAAATTGCTTAAACTAACCACAGCAACTGTTTCCGAATTGCGAAACTCGTCAATCGTAAGCACAGAGAAATAAGCGATATTCATTGAGAGATACGTGATCGCTGAAATCAGAATCCCGAGAAAAGCGGCTAAGGGAAGCGTTCTGTAAATCAAATAAAATCAAATCAAATCAAAAAAACCCTTCAAATCAAAAACCCAATCATAGCAGACTCTAGTGTGCTTTCCAATTAGACAATAGCGAATGAAATCTAAGCCAATAAATAGAAAATAAACCAGCTGCGCTCATGAAAGACGATCATCGCTAGATCTTTTTTCTCAATGAACACATTTTGCTAATCGTTTCGCTTTCGTCTAGTTGGAAAGCACACTAGAGCTAGGATTGATTAGAGATTCGTTTATCGCGATAAAAATATTCGATCGCTGGTGGTGTGGTTGTGAACGGGATAAATCGCGATTTTCGCACCGCCGATGGTTAAAGCTTTTTGGACCTTCTCGGATTCTCGATTTCTTCAGTGCCAAAGTTGAGGATATCCCATCCATTGTAAGCAAAAAGGCCAGCATAAAGAGCCAAAACGATATCGCCTAAAAATCTCGCTGTTTTCACGTGAATTTCTTTTTTGTTTGGAATTCATTTTTGGAATTCATTTTTGGAATTTTCGGAAAAAGAAATTGATAAGCTTTTTTTGCTTATGCAATCGAAAAGTTCAAAATGATCATTTTCTTTTTGTAAAAATCCACGAATTTGAAGTGTTTATTTGTTTTAAATTTAATCTACCGTAAATCTACCGTAAATCGACTTTAATCTACCGTAAATACTGTAATAGTACCCCACCGCCCTCGTACAGTCGCGTAGTCGCAAAAGTTTTCTTTAGTTTTTTAGTTTTTTAGTTTTTTAGCATTTCATTTTTTTCAAAGCGCCCGTACTTTCAAAAAAATGCGTCTTTGGTATCAAAAAATAGCTGAATTTCAGGGCTATTTTTTGATACCTAAACGAGTATTGTAGCATAAATCAGTGTCAAGAAAAAACTCGTTCAAAGCTAGACGAAGCTGTAATATTAGGTATTGATGCAAAAGTCTTTTTCATTTTTTTCGTACTTCTTTTGAAAAATAACAAAGTCATGAATTAACCTATGGTTTGCTCTAAATGTAAAGTGTTTTATTGTTGAATTTCCCATCTTTTTAAGTCAATTTTGGGTTCACTTTCAAGCAAATTCGAGAGTGAAAAACGGGTTTTTCATAAAAATCTATAAAAACCTTAGGAGCACGTGTGGCTGACTGGTTAAGTGTCTTTTATCTTAATCGGAAGGTCGAGGGTTCGAACCCCACATGCGACATGGTCACCCCCTTCGGATTTCCTTTCCCTTCGGGTTGAGAGGTTTTCTGGAGGGCAGTCTGGTGGTTGTGGCCCCAGTTCTTTAAAGTGACAAGCCACTCCTTTCATCGTCATCTTCCCTTCACCACCAAAAAAGCTATTTAGTTCCCCATTGAGCTTAGGGTTAGGGAGCCGTCTGTCATGACGTGGGTTAAGTTAAGATATAGCCTAGTATTGTGTGTGTCGTTGTATTGTGATTCATATATTTCGTGTATGCGATAAATTCACCACTGGTAGCCCCAGTCGGTATTTTTAATTTAAAAAAAAAAACCTCTATAAAGAAATTGGCTGAATCAATTTCTCTGAAAATCTGAAAAGATATCTAACTTTTTGTGCTCTATCTTTTATTTATGAACATCAAGATTGGTTTCCTTAGCTAAAGCGTCTAAAATGCATCATCGAGCCGTCGCCTTTTTTTGACTACCCGACTTCAGGCTCTCAAAAAAAATCTAGACATAAGACATTTTAAACTCGTTTTAATGTCATTTTGCAGAAAAATAATTGGCCTTTCGAATGCAATAAACCGTTGTTCAATTGGTGCATTTGTTACTTTTTAACGGAAGTACGAAAAAAAATGAAAAAGACTTTTGCATCAACCTAATAGATAGAGCTAAAGCTCGACTTTGGACGAAAAGTGCTTCTCCTTCAATTTCGCTTTCACAATCGACCATAGATTCTCGATAACGTTCAAATCTGGTGAAAAGGGAGGTGCTTTAATTAAAGAAACACCATTAATCGCAAACCAGCCCGGGAATCGTACCCGTCCTCCATTCGAGAATCTTCCGAGCCAATGACACCTAGCCAATGACACCTAGCCAATGACACCTAGCCAATGACACCTAGCCAATGACACCTAGCCAATGACACCTAGCCAATGACACCTAGCCAATGACATCCAGACCAGAGCCTGGACTGGATTCTATTCTTTTTGGCCTCCAGAAACGATATTCAGGATTACGGTATTTGGGAGAGCATCTTTTAGAAAACGCTCGTCAAATAACAAAGATAACAATCTACCGTAAATACTGTACCCCACCGCCCCATAATGACGGTGCGGAGTGGTTGCGTCGTCTAGCTTTGAACGAGTTTTTTCTCGACACTCGTTTATGCTACAATGCGCGCTTTGGTATCAAAAAATAGCCCTCAATTTCAGCTATCTTTCTTTGCCGGCGTTTACACTTGCAATGAACTCGCGAGTGTGTTCGTCCGTTGATGAGCTATCTGATAGCTGTTGTTTAATAGAAATTTAATACCTGAAAAGCTGATTAGTTAGATATAAATACCGTAAATACTGTAATAGTACCCTACCCCCCTCGTACAGTCGCGTCGTCGCTAGTCGCAAAAGTTTTTTAGTATTTCATTTTTTTCAAAGCGCCCGTACTTTCAAAAAAATGCGTCTTTGGCGTCAAAAAATAGCTGAATTTCAGGGCGATTTTTTGATACCTAAACGAGTATTGTAGCATAAACGAGTGTCGAGAAAAACGCGTTCAAAGCTAGACTACGCGATGCTCCGCACCGTCATTATGGGGCGGTGGGGTACTATTACAGTATTTACAGTATTTACAGTATTTACAGTATTTACGATATTTAAATTCGTTGAAACTTAGGATTTTCTAGTCGAATCAAAGTGCATTTTTATGAAAGGAAATACGCGAGATTTCTTTTCGAGTTTAAATGCACCCAGAAAACTTTCGTTTACAAGCACTTTTTGAGAGTACAAAGTACACTTCTTTTTCTCATACAACAGTAAAAAAAGCTACCGTAATCCTCTAGCTTTTCTAAGGGTACTTTAACAGTAGGAAAGTCGCAAACGATTGAATTATAGTGAAGGGAGATGAGAAGGGGGTACAGTAGCCGGAAAACGATGTAATCCTAGCTACAGAGCCATTCGCAGCCGGAAAACGATGTGATCCTAGCTACAGAGCCATTCGCAGCCGGAAAACGATGTAATCCTAGCTACAGAGCCATTCGCAGCTGGAAAACGATGTAATCCTAGCTACAGAGCCATTCGCAGCTGGAAAACGATGTAATCCTAGCTACAGTGCCCTTCTTTGCCCTCTACAGTACTCCAATTCATCTATTTGGCCTACAATCTGAACTATAGAACAATTACAGTACTCCAGAGCTACAGTAACCAAATTTGCATACAATCCACCCGTCTACAGAAACCAGTAGAGCTACAGTAACCAGTAGAACTACAGTAACCAGTAGAGCTACAGTAACCAGTAGAACTACAGTAACCAGTAGAGCTACAGTAACCAGTAGAACTACAGTAACCAAATTAGCATACAATTCACCTACAGTAATCTCCACTCACCCGACTCTTTTGTTGTGCCGTCAAAAATCGTTTTCGAATCGAAATTTTGCGTTTCGCCTAGATGCAAATGTCTATAGAAGTTCTTTTAAAAACTTTTTTTTTTTTTAAAAATCCTTACCTTTAAAAATTAAATGGTAAAAACCAGTAATGACAATGACACAAATGACCAACAATTTCGCGGCAGTGGCCACGATTTGAAAACGAGCCGCCACACGACGCAACGAGAGGAAATTCACTCCCATCAACGGCACTGGAAATGTAATCGATCCGATAAATGACAATAAATGGCTTTTCATAGAAATTCTTATGACTTATGAGCATTTGGGGGAATGAAATTGTAATCGACAGTGAAAGATCGACAATTGTAGCCAGAATTGATCGACAATTGTAGCCAGAATTCATCGACAATTGTAGCCAGAATTGATCGACAATTGTAGCCAGAATTCATCGACAATTCTAGCCAGAATTCATCGACAATTCTAGCCAGAATTCATCGACAATTCTAGCCAGAATTCATCGACAATTCTAGCCAGAATTGATCGACAATTCTAGCCAGAATTCATCGACAATTGTAGCCAGAATTGATCGACAATTGTAGCCAGAATTCATCGACAATTCTAGCCAGAATTCATCGACAATTGTAGCCAGAATTGATCGACAATTGTAGCCAGAATTGATCGACAATTGTAGCCAGAATTGATCGACAATTGTAGCCAGAATTCATCGACAATTCTAGCCAGAATTCATCGACAATTCTAGCCAGAATTCATCGACAATTGTAGCCAGAATTCATCGACAATTCTAGCCAGAATTCATCGACAATTCTAGCCAGAATTCATCGACAATTGTAAACACAATCTAACAAAAGGTCCTTGTTTTAAGTTCTAATTTTAATCACAACTCTACTTAGCATTTGCGCTACTAGCATTTGAGTGATGTTGCTGATGATGAATGAAATTGGCAAAAAAACCTTTCTAGAGTAACCCTTTTGATGCCTGGGGACAATCTGAAATCTTCCTGGGGACAATCTTCATTTTCTAGTTTTTCTTAAATCATTTTTTTTCTAGTCACTTAAAAGTTCCTCATTGGTATGGAAAATTTGTGAGTTTTGTTTAAAAAAAATTGCCGGCTTTATGGCTTTACGGCTTTACTGGCTTTCCTTCTAAATCGGCTGTAGGTGATTATGGATTTGAGTCGATTATGAATGAATAATGAATGAACGAACCAAAGGAGATTGAAGCAAAGCTGGACTAGATTGAAACAAAGCTGGACCAGATTGAAGCAAAGCTGTACTAGATTGAAACAAAGCTGGACTTGATTGAAACAAAGCTGGACCAGATTGAAGCAAAGCTGGACTTGATTGAAACAAAGCTGTACTAGATTGAAACAAAGCTGGACTAGATTGAAACAAAGCTGGACTAGATTGAAGCAAAGCTGGACCAGATTGAAACAAAGCTGTACTAGATTGAAACAAAGCTGGACTTGATTGAAGCAAAGCTGGAGTTGATTGAAACAAAGCTGTACTATATTGAACTAGAGCTTTAATCATTTAGCTTTAATCATTAGCTTTAAAGTCGTTTTGAAGACAAATGAGACTTTTGCTTGGGATCAGAAAGGGGAAAAGTTTCAAGGAAAAAGTTTTTCATTCCGAAAATCACTCACAAAGCACGGAGAAACCGATTAAACGCTTTAGAATCGGTTCCCAATTCGGCGAGACGTGGATAAACTTGTGGAAACCGTTGACAATGTATCTGAAAATGAGAATATAGATGAAAAGATTGATAGGGTTGATAGTTGAGAAATTTTTAGAGTCACTCACTCGCCGAAAGTGATCGTTTGAACAGCCAAAATCGATGGATAAGTGAGTGAACAACTGACAAAAAGAAAAGCTGAGGCGAGGGGATTCCTGAAGGGTTCTTTGTATTTGATTGAATCGACAAGAATCGATCTAACAATTCTAGCAATTCAAATAGAAATCGAAATGGAAATCCATCAGAATCGAGCCAGTCTGGAGAATGGAAAATTTCAGAATTTGAAATTTTGAAAAACCCTGAAAGGAGAGGTATCTACTAGGAACGTGTGCCAGACGGTGAGCGATTTTGCGCGCGCACAAAGAACATAAACGTCTAGATGGATTTCTGCTCTGAATTTGTACTCACTGGTTTTCAGCGTCAGCGAATCGATTGACGGTATTTATTTCATTAAGTCTACAGTACCCAAATGTCTACAGTACCCACAGTCTACAGTAATTACTAGGAAAAGGGAATAGGGGATTTTATTTGGCACAAGTTGACATTTTAACACGACAACCACCGGGACTTTATAGAATCGTTTATGCTGATTCTATATAATATCTTCTATATAATATCTTCTATATAATATCTTCTATATAATATCTTCTATATAATATCTTCTATATAATATCTTCTATATAATATCTTCTATATAATATCTTCTATATAATATCATTTATATCCGTCAGGTATAAACATAGATTGAAACTTTTCTCACTTGAAACCTTAGAACAACGCCGTCTTATCATAGATTTGGTTGAGTGCTTTAAAATTGTAAAAGGAAAACATCAAAACCCTCTTTTTAAAAATCTTTTTCGACTAAACTCGAGGCTTTTGGCGACTAGGCGTGGCTCTTTTATCTTGCATCCCGAATCTGCTTTCTCTAAATCCTCTAGAGCTTTTTTCGTAAATCGTGTGACTAAAGTTTGGAATGCCCTTCCCAACAAGTTGCCTTTGATCTCCACCGTGTCTGATTTTAAAAGGGCTATTTTATTTCCTTGCATTTTAAGTGACTTTGTGATCTTTTATCTAGTACATTTTTCGCACTTTATTTCTTTCTGAATAAAGTATTTATATATATAATATCATTTATATAATATCATTTATATAATATCATTTATATAATATCTTTTATATAATATCTTTTATATAATATCTTTTATATAATATCATTTATATAATATCTTTTATATAATATCTTTTATATAATATCATTTATCTACCTTTATCTAATATCATTTATCTGCCTAATATCTTTAATATCTTTTCATTTATTCAAAAAGTAAACACTCACCACCCAGCGTGACTCAAATAAGCGAAATCGCAACCCGATCGCCGAATCGATGTCCCCAACTCGATATAACAAAGAGCACCTGGGATTTTGGAGATTTTAAAATTGCAAAAGACTCGTTCAACTCCCCTAGGAAACTCACCGAAACTCGCAATGACCGCTGAAAAGCCCCACACCAGCAACGAGACCCCAACCGAGCCGGAATGCGAGAGAATCACCGACGGGGAGACGAAAATACCTAGAGATTTCCGCAAGCTGGATGTCACACTGTGACTCGATCAAAAAATAAATACCGATTTCCAAGCGCAAAAAAAAAATCCGGTTCAATTATTCGACTTTAGCATTATTTACTTTAAATGGTTGAGGAATTTGAAAGTTCTCTTTGTGATTAAACAAATTTAAATCTAAGCAAAGATTTAGACTTCGCTTAGATTTGAATTTGAAAAAATTCATTTAAAAAGAAACTTGCAAACTTACAAAAAATCGAAAATCATTAAAAATTGAAATAATAATCGAAGTGAATCGTTTAACCAGCAGAAAAATGAGGATTTCATTTAAAAGAAAGCTTTTTATCAATAGTATAGTTCAAACTGGATGTCACACTATGATTTGAACAACATTCCAGACGCTCACTCACCCAACTCAACCTCTCCCCATTCAACTCGCTCAAGCACTCGCCCGTTTCATCTACTCAAGACCAAAAAAATTGATTTATAATCATAACCCCGTTCTAGCTGGATGTCACAATGTCATTTGAACAACATTCCAGACCCTCACCCATCCAACTCAACCACTCCCCATTCAACTCGCTCAAGCACTCACCCGTTTCATCTACTCAAGACCAAAAAAATTGATTTATAATCGTAACCCTGTTCTAGCTGGATGTCACAATGTCATTTGAACAACATTCCAGACGCTCACTCACCCAACTCAACCTCTCCCCTTTCAACTCGCTCAAGCACTCACCCGTTTCATCTGCTCAATAAAAAAAAATTGGTTTATAATCATAACCCTGTTCAAACTGGATGTCACAATGTCATTTGAACGACATTCTAGACCCTCACCCACCCAACTCAACCTCTCCCCATTCAACTCGCTCAAGTACTCGCCCGTTTCATTTACTCAAGACCAAAAAAATTGATTTATAATCATAACCCCGTTCTAGCTGGATGTCACACTATCATTTGGACAGCAAAAAGTTTCATTTACTCGACAATAAATCGTTTCACTTACCCGATCCAACAATATCGCCAACTGTGTAAGCGACGGCTGCCACAACAGTCACCTTGTTCTCCGATTTCATCTTCAAATTTTTATAAATGAATAAATTCAAGTCTAGAAATAGGTCTTCTAGCAAAAACCCAGAGCTTTTCGGAAGCAGAAAAAGCGAAAAAAATTTCAGCGATAAAATGATAAGGCGGGAATCGGGGAACCCGTCGATTTTTTTTCGATATTTTCTCTATTTTCTGATATTTGTTTAAAAGATTTGTGCTAGCTGGAGTGCAAAAAAGAGAAATTCGAAATGAATTCGAAATGGACAGCAATTCTATTGAAATCCCCTAACAAATTAGTGAGTTTGGCGGGCGATCCCCTTTAATTGATATTGATAATTCGAACCTAAAGATAATTATTAACTTTAAGTACAAGCTTTTCAAATTTTCAAATGTTTAGTGTGAAAAGTTAAGAATACTTGTATTTTTAGGTGTGCTACGGTCAAGAATGGGCCACAATAGTTTGGGATGCGACCCGCTTTAACACGTTGACGACAATGCTTTAGCATAAACAATCGCAAAATAGGAACGCAAATAGGAAGGAAACGGAGGCGACCAGTGCCGAGCTAGGCTGTAACGGGAAACCAAATTTTCGGTATTACAAAAAAATTTTCATTTTCTGATTTTCAGCTTTCTACTTTAGCCAAAATGTGTTGTGCTATCCAGATCAGAGAAATATTTCAAAAATAACTCGATATCTTTATTGAATGAGTAGTTATGTCGTCGAGAAGAAGCGCATCGCTGTCTGGATGCTACAATGGAGCGTGCTGGAGACTCGAAAGTGCACCGAGTTCACAGTGTGCTATCCAGATAAGGCAAAAATAGTCAAAAAGTTTGCATACAATGCATTTAATAGCGTGTATTAGCTTTCAAAAAAAAAAGAGCTTTGCTTTGTCATTTTGAGTCATTTTGTGAAGAGAAATTGGTTAAAACGAAAAAAAAGCGAAAAACTTTCGAAACTAGAAACGGAAAAGTGAAATTTTCGCTCAAATTGGGCAAAAAAAGAAATGGGCAAAGAGAGCCAAATTTGACGGAAAACATCGATATTAGCAAAATTGGCAAATTTCGAAATTAAAAAATTTCAAAGTCTAATCATTGCGAAAATGTCGACTGACATCCAGATAGGTCACATTTTAAATATCACCTAGAAATACAGTAACCCTGTCTCACAGGGTTCGAGAACAGCGTCAGCCTCGAGATCACTGAAAGCGTAAAATTGAAACATTACGATTCCAACTGTCTAGAATTACTGTGTGATATCCAGATAAGAGAGATTTTAAATATAATCTAGAAATACCGTAATCCTGTCTGCTAAAGCGTCGGAACCCAATCAGGCTCAAAATCACCAGAAATGTAAAAACGAAAAATTACGATTCCAACTGTCTAGAATTACTGTGTGCTATCCAGATAAGAGAGATTTTAAATATCATCTAGAATTACCGTAATCCTGTCTGCTAGAGCGCCGGAACTCAATCAGGCTCAAAACCATCAGAAATGTAAAAGCGAAAAATTACGATTTCAACTGTCTAGAATTACTGTGTGATATCCAGCTAAGAGAGATTTTAAATATTATATAGAATTACCGTAATCCTGTCTGCTAGAGCGTCGGAACTCAATCAGGCTCAAAATTACCAAAAATGTAAAAGCGAAAAATAGTGAATCTAATGATTAGAAACTACAAAATGCTGTCCAGAAGAGTGAAAATTTTCAAAAAAACTCGTAAACTCATCTGGGCAAATCGAGGAAAATGTCAGAGAGAACGATTTTTTCGAAATTTTTATTTCCAAAACAATTCAAAATTGAAACTTTCAACAGGGAAATCACAAAAAATATGTGCATTAGCGTTATTGATTTATTTTCTATGGGCTGAGACAAATGCGACCTTTTTTTTTGCGCACCTGGACATTTGCGCACCTTTTTTTTGCTGGAAAAGGCCTTAGGAAAGGTCGTAGAGCTTCAAAAATGTTTCCATTTAAGGGAATCGTATGCGTAGATTCCGAATTTCGACAAATCACACCTCGCTGACATGTCAAATTTGGGCTAAAAGGCAAAAACTACGCAACTTAACGCTTTTCCGCAAAAAAAAAGGTCGCATTTGTCCCACCCCGATTTTCCATCAAAAAAAAGCATCAAATTTCCTCTAAATAAGCGCGTTTTAAAAGCAAATCGACGAATTGAAAGACGATTTCCCAGTCGAATTTGAGCCGGCACGGGCACGCTTGACGCCGACGTCGGCGAGGATTGAAGCCATCGATTCGCGATTGTTTTGAGGAGTGTAGAGGGAGTTGTGCCGACGAAAGGAACGGTGGGTCCACTGGAAATCAAGGGGATCAAATCAAAGTCAGTGCAAAGTTGAGTTCAAAGTTGCTTTCTTTTTTCTTACAATTCCGATAAATAGTCTATTCGCTTTTCATATTTGAATTATTTAATTTGAATGAATCTATTTGAATGAATCTATTTGAATGAATCTATTTGAATGAATCTATTTGAATGAATCTATTTGAATTAATCTATTTGAATGAATCTATTTGAATTAATCTATTTAAATTAATCTATTTAAATTAATCTATTTGAATGAATCTATTTGAATGAATCTATTTGAATGAATCAATTTGAATGAATCAATTTAAATTAATCTATTTAAATTAATCTATTTGAATGAATCTATTTGAATGAATCTATTTGAATTAATCTATTTGAATTAATCTATTTGAATTAATCTATTTAAATTAATCTATTTAAATTAATCTATTTAAATTAATCTATTTAAATCCCAAATTGGCTTCTTAGAAAGAATCTTAGAAAGATTTGAGTGACTTGTTAAAATGAAATGAAATGAAATGATTTGAGAGGAGAGAGGAAAAGTGTGTCGATGAGTAACGGAAGAGTTGATGGAGTTGTTGGTGGAGTTGTTGGTGGAGTTGTTGATGGAGTTGTTGGTGGAGTTGTTAATGGCTTAGAACTTTTTGAAAAGCTAGAATTAAATACTTTTGCTTTGTTCAAGAAAAAGTATTTAATTCTAGCTTCATTTAAAACATTTCGATTAACAAATATTTTAGCTAAAATCTCTCAGATCAAGTAAAAGTAAAAAAGTAAAAAAAGTAAAAGAAGTAAGTCTTAAGTAAAAAAGAAAGATAAGGAATTGGTGTTCTTTTGGATTACGGTAGTTTTAAGGAGTTTGATTTAAGGAGCTTGGCTTAAAGAGCTTTGTTGAAAGAGCTTGGTTTAAAGAGCTTGGTTTAAAGAGCTTGCTTTAGAGAGCTTGGTTTAAAGCGCTTGGTTTAAAGAGCTTGGTTTAGAGAGCTTGGTTTAAAGAGCTTCATTTAAGGAGCTTCATTTAAAGAGCTTCATTTAAAGAGCTTCATTTAAGGAGCTTCATTTAAAGAGCTTCATTTAAAGAGCTTCATTTCAAGAGCTTGATTGAAGCTCTTACTTTTAAACAACGAAAACCCCTTCGAGTCACCAATTTTCTTGTAATCTTGTCCACTTTTTGGTGTTAGATTTCGAAAAATTGATAAAACGCACCTTGTTGACACTCAGAAATCGAGCAATTCGTAAGGATTTGCGCTTTTCGGAAAAACGAAACAAGACGATCGATGAGCGACGGAAGAGTTGATGGAGTTGTTGGTCGAGTTGTTGATGAAGGGGCGTCGAGTGAGACTGAAAGAGCACAAACAATTGCCTTTCTCAGTTATTCTAGGATTACGGTAGGGGTTACGGTAAGGACTACGACAGGATTACGACAGGATTACGACAGGATCTTTGACGGATCTTTGACGGATCTTTGACGGTACTTCTTTCATCAGGTTACTGATGGTTCATCTTTGATCAGGTTCATCAGGTTTCACAAACAATTGCCTTTGAATTTCCGCTTGCCTACCTGCCTCTGCTTGCCTCTGCTTGCCTCTGCTTGCCTCTGCTTGCCTACCTGCCTCTGCTTGCCTCTGCTTTCATCAGGTTCATCAGGTTTCACAAACAATTGCCTTTGAATTTCCTCTTGCCTACCTGCCTCTGCTTGCCACTCTTTTTAGCGAAATTAATTCACTTTTTGGCTTCGAGAATGCAAAAAGGATTTTGGGGAAGGAAAAGCGAAAGGATAAGATGAAAAATAGAGCAACACGTAGCAGCAAACTACCGTGATCCTAGCCTACAGTAATCCTATAGTAACCTGATGAAAGAAGTACGGTAATCCGTCAAAGATCCTGTCGTAATCCTTACCGTAACCCTTACCGTAATCCTAACTGAAATTTCAGACAGTTCTGCGTACTGCTCCTTTTAATTACGGCAATCCTTTCAAAAGCATTCCTTTCATTGATACAATCGATTCATTGTTCTCGGTCATTTTACAGTAACTCTAAACCTATGACAATCAATTCTACAGTAACCCAGTCCTACCGTATCCCCAAATGGCTTTACAGTAACCCTAAACCCATCACAATCAATTCTACAGTAACCCAATCCTACCGTATCCTCCAGTGACTTTACAGCAACCCTAAGCTCATCACAATCAATTCTACAGTAACCCAGTCCTACCGTATCCTCCAGTGACTTTACAGCAACCCTAAACCCATCAAACCCATCACAATCAATTCTACAGTAACCCAATCCTATCCGTATCCTCCAGTGGCTTTACACTAACCCTAAACCCATCAAACCCATCACAATCAATTCTACAGTAACCCAATCCTACCGTATCCTCAAGTGACTTTACAGTAACCCAAAATAGACTAAAGAATGCCCTTAACCCATGAGGAGATAAAAATCGATACTGACAAGATTTTGGGAAGAAAATTCGGCTCTTAGAATTTGTTAGAGTACGGATTTTAGCGTGAAATCCGACTCTTAGAATTTGTTAGGGGATTACGGTAAAACGAACGATGAATTGATTCCACCGTGATGGGTATCGTGATGAGCACTTCAGTTGTCCTCATCTCCATCATTTCCCCAATCTCATTCTCAGTCGATTCCGTAAAACTCATAAGAAAAAAGCCAAGAAAACGCATGAAAAGCTCAAGCGGATCCATTTGATCACTCTGCAAAATAAACATAATCATTTTTTTTGTTTTGTTTTCCTTTCTATTTGCTATTAAAATAATTCAGCATCTACTTTTCTCTCTAATTAATTTTTGATTAATTAATTCTAATTAATTTGTGATCTGATTAATTTGTGATCTACCCTAAAGTCTCGAGTAATAAGTTGATCCGAGTATAAGTTCTGCCTTAATTTACATTCGCTTTAATTGCTTTGAATTTCTTTTTGTTGGGTTTTTATACATTTTTATTGTTATATAAACTTTTATTATTGTTCTTGGAGCGCGGGATACTACAGGGTGACAGCCTACCACGATTGCTAGCTGACAGCCTATCACCATTGCTAGCTGACAGCCTACCACCATTGCTAGCTGACAGCCTACCACGATTGCTAGCTGACAGCCTACCACCATTGCTAGCTGGCAGCCTACCACCATTGTTATGTGCATGGATACATCCAGACGATAGTGTTGAAGAAGACGCTGGAAAGCATCTCTTTCGACCGTCGCCGTGGACTTTGGCCGGGTGAAGAGGCCAGGGAGGGATCCATAAGACTGAGCACCGGAGAGGAGCAGGGCGGACGCGCCGAGCCACGCCCGGAGCAACAAATAACAGCAACAAATAACAGCATAAAATTGCTATAACCCTCAATAAATTTACTTCTATTATTGTTCTTAAAAAGCAAAAAAGTTATGCTGCAGCGGGGTTCGACCTCGCACAGCCGTCAATTTGCAAAGACAGCCGTCAATTTGCATGCGAAAACCAAACAGAACTTATACTCGCGACTTTAGCGTAATGAATTTGTGATTAATTCATTTTAATGGTAAAGTTAAGAACTGTTATTAGAAATGTTATCAGAGCTATTACTCGATAAATTGCTTCTTTTCAAGAAAAGTTTTAGAGCTATTCAATAGCTACCGTAAAGCCTCTAAGTTGACTCCGCAAAAAAACGCTCACATCTTGCCACTAGTACGTTTGTTTTTGCTCGCTTTAGTATCAAATTAAAGTAGAGAGAATGAGCGATATTTTGAGATATAAAACTTATTTCTAGCATTACACCAAAGCTTAGAAAAATATGATTGAAAAATGAGCTTTTTTTTGTCACTTTTCAACCATTCAAAACCACTCATATCTCAGCACCGGTACGTTTGTTCTTGCTCGCTTTAGTATCAAATTAAAGTAGAGAGAATGAGTGATATTTTGAGATATAAAACTTATTTCTAGCATTAACCAGTGCCTAGAAAAAACTGATTGAAAATTGGCAAAAAAAAGCTGATTTTTCATTATTTTTCAATCATATTTTTCTAAACGCTGGTTAATGCTAGAAATAAGTTTTATATCTCAAAATATCACTAATTTTCTCTACTTTAATTTGATACCAAAGCAAATAGAGATAAACGTACCGGTGCTGAGATATGAGTGGTTTTGAATGATTGAAAAATGATGAAAAATCAGTTTTTTTTTGTCACTTTTCAATCAGATTTTTCTAAGCTTTGGTTAATGCTAGAAATAAGTTTTATATCTCAAAATATCACTCATTTTCTCTGCTTTAATTTGCTACTAAAGCGAGGAAAAACAAACGTATTAATGTCAAGATATGAGCGTTTGTTTGTGAGTCAACTTAGACGACGCGACGCTCCTATAGAGGGTCGTTTTTTGAGAGCTTTTACGGTGTTATTGTTTGAATTTTTCTTTAAATTTGCATTAACAGTTGTCTACGTGACTTTACGCTTACCCGGATTACGGTAGGATTTGTGGGTAATGATGACAACTCGTCGATCATCGAACTCGTCGGTGACTGCAGAATCTCTTCTGAAAAAAAAAGGCATACATTTTCTTCGACTACAGTAACCCTCAATGGCTACAGTAACCCTCAATGGCTCTACAATAGCCTTATCCTAGCTTTACAGTAATCCCTGACCTATCTTTACTCTACCGTAGCCCCACCGCAATCTTTTCGAAATTCTACGAAATCTACCTAACCCTTTCTCCATAGATAACTAGATCTTTAAGCTTTTCCCTTCTCTAAAGTCGCTACAGTAACCCTGAGCCTACAATAACCTCATCATAGCTTTACAGTAATCCCTGAGCATCCTTTCTTCTAGACAATCTAGATCTTTAAGCTTTTCCCTTCTCTAAGGTCGTTACAGTAACCCACAGCGACTCTACAATAACATCATAACTTTACAGTAATCCCTAACCATCTTTTCTCCTAAACATCTAGATCTTTAAGCTTTTCCCTTCTCTAAGGTCGCTACAGTAACCCTCAGCGACTCTACAATAACCCCATCATAGCTTTACAGTAATCCCTAAGCATCCTTTCTTCTAGACAATCAGATCTTCAAGCTTTTCCCTTTCCTATCGTCGCTACAGTAACCCTGAGCCTACAATAACCTCATCATAGCTTTACAGTAATCCCTAACCATCCTTTCTCCCAAACATCTAGATCTTTAAGCTTTTCCCTTCTCTAAAGTCGCTACAGTAACCCTCAGCGACTCTACAATAACCCCATCACAGTTTTACAGTAATCCCTAACCACCCTTTCTTCTAGAAATCTAGATCTCTTGATCTAATCTTCAAGTTGAATGTGTTCAGCTTTTGACTCTTCTAGGGTAATCGAGTACGGTGAACACGAATTTCGTATTTAACGCATTTAAAGATTTCCTCTTTTAAAAAAAGCGACTTTTTAAATGAAAACTTTTTATTAAAGCGACTTTAAACTAAAATTTCGGTATTTTAAAAAAAACCGACCGGCTGTTTCCCTTATCCCGACCGCGTTACCCATGGGTGATATTTTGAGATATAAAACTCATTTCTAGCATTACACCAGCGCTTAGAAAAATACGATTGAAAAATGATGAAAAATGAGCTTTTTTTTTTGTCACTTTTCAACCATTCAAAACCACTCATATCTCAGCACCAGTACGTTTGTTCTTGCTCGCTTTGGTAGCAAATTAAAGTAGAGAGAATGAGTGATATTTTGAGATATAAAACTCATTTCTAGCATTAACCAGTGCTTAGAAAAAACTGATTGAAAAGCGATGAAAAATCAGCTTTTTTTTGCCAATTTTCAATCATTTTTTTCTAAGCGCTGGTTAATGCTAGAAATAAGTTTTATATCTCAAAATATCACTCATTCTCTCTACTTTAATTTGATACCAAAGCAAATAGAGATAAACGTACCGGTGCTGAGATATGAGTGGTTTTGAATGATTAAAAAATGATGAAAAATCAGCTTTTTTTTGCCACTTTTCAATCAGTTTTTTCTAGGCACTGGTTAATGCTGGAAATAAGTTTTATATCTCAAAATATCACTCATTCTCTCTACTTTAATTTGATACTAAAGCGAGCAAAAACAAACGTATTAGTGGCAAGATGTGAGCGTTTGTTTGAGAGTAAAAAAAAAAACCTTACCCATGAGTGATCTTTTGAGATATACCTGCTGTTTCCCTTATCCCGACCGCGTTACCCATTTCGACGAATTGCGCGGGCAGCTCGGTAATCGGATCCTCTAAAAAAATCGAGATAAAATCAAGAAAAAAATCAAGAACTACTCAGCAAAGCCAAGCAAAAGCCTCGGCTTCAAAGCTGTGCCCTGTGCACTCTTTACCCTCCACCGTAAACCCCAAAACAAAGCCCATCTGGTGCACTGGGCAAAAAGCCGAGAAAGCCTTTCACCCAAAAAAAACTCACTGGTTTTCGTTTTCCGCCTCATCGTGCCAATGGTGGTGCCGATTTCGTCATTTTCCGCGAAATCGGTTTCCGTGTCGATTTCCCCGATCTCTTCGGTTTCTTCGTCGTTTTCCTGTTCCTGTTTCCCTGTCATTGTTTTGCTTTTCGTCACCTCGACCACTTTGCGGTCTTTCTTCAAATTCTCCTCGTCATTCACTCCAAAAAACGCTTTTTCATCAAATTTTTGCGAAATCTGCGACATCGGCATTACAGTAGAAAGCAATTGAGCGAAAGAATTCGAAATCTCCGCTCCACCAATCGTCGCTCCACCAAACTCCGCTCCATCAATCGTCGGACTTGGATATGGTGCAGCTTTGAGTGAAATCGCATTTAAAGCACTCGTCGGGCTTGTGTGCATTCCAGATTGAAGAGAAATCACATTCGGCGGACTCGTTGTCGTCAGACGAGGAGCATATTGAAGGGGAAGTGCCTCGGGAATGATCTCCAACGATTGCGCGCCACGAGCGGCAAGCGCCTCGTCCAGTGCTTCGCCGGCAATCAGCTGTAAAGGGTTTTCTTGGCTATAAATAGGCTAAAGTGTTACCTCATTTCTGTCCGGAATCGGTGCACCAAGGACAGCGCTCAAAAAAGGGAAAACGAGAAGAGCTCGACTCATAAAATGTCTTCTAAAATGTCTCTAAAGGGTTTAAATAAAAAAATTTTCGTGAATTTCTTTGCAAAATCATTTTCAAAATGCTAGCTGAAAGGGATAAAAGAAAGAAAAAAAAGGAAAATTAATAAGGAAATGGATTATTGACAAAAATGACAAAAATGACAAAAATAAAAAAAATAACAAAAATAACAAAAATCGAGAAATCAAATTTTCTCCTCAAATCAAAAGCCAAAATCTACTGTGCTATCCAGATCATTAAAATCTCTCAAAACTAATTCCCCAACTCTATCAGGGGAGGAGTTATTTTGTCGAAAGCTTTCGTCCACCATTTCGACATTCTTTTAAAAAGTTTGCTGAAAGCTTAAAAGTGTCTCAAATCCATAGTGTGACATCCAACTAGAAGAGTTTCACAAAAATCAAGGCCATAAAGTTATCGAAAGGATTTGATTTCAATGAAGAACACGAATGGCAGGGGGGAGAATGGGTTTGAGTGAGGTAAAACAGAAGCGAGAAATTTCTCTTTGAGTTTGCGCTAAAGGGGACACCCATAAATTCCGGGAAATCACCGAAACAGGTGACTTTTCTGGTGAAATTTTTGGTATAGCGATTGATTATTTTTGGGGAGGAATTGGGTTGTGTCGAGTCACTAAAATCGCAAAAAGCACATGATCAACAACAAAATTTTTTTTTTGTCGTTTCTTTTCCTATCTGGAAGGTACACCGTGAAATTTTTCGATTTTCAAGGCATTCATATCAGTATTCGCCAGGATTTCCCATAATTTTAGTATTGTAGCGATACACCAGGGTACCCTTGGTCATTACAGTGCCCAGGGAAACTGTACATAGCATCCCAGGGGTACTGTATAACGGCCAGACACACTGTATGAGTCCATGTAGCGCATTCGGGGCACACATGAGTTTAGGAGTCCTGTATGACAATCAGGGTCCGCCTGGGGTACTGTAGAAGCACCGCAGGGTAGCCTGGCATCTAATTTCCAACTATTAGGGACCGTTCCCGATACCTGAAAATTGCTTTTGACCAAAATTCGTCGAGATTTTGACTAAAACACTTAAAAAAGCTAGTCAGGATATTTCGATTTGACAACTCGAAGCAAGTCCTATCCAAATCCCCCCTTGCTTCAAGTGTGACTGGTGAAGAAAAAAAACAAATGACACATTTATTGCCTCCTCTCGAAATTAGGACAATTAAACCTTAGACGTTTAACACACGGTTTAACATCAAAAGTCAGACATAAGTACCCCGAAAAGTGAACACACAGACATAAAAATTGAAGGCTATACACGATGATGGATGATAAAACTTTAATCGGACGAAAGTTTAGTTTTGGATTATCGGTTAAGAAATCTCACAAAGAAACAAACGATAAAAACTCTAAGATATTATTGCGAAATGGGAAAAATTGACTAGCCGGCAAAAACCACAAAATGAGCAAAACACAGAATCGTTTTCGGAATTTACACAAAATTTTTTGAACTTTCGGACAAGAAATTGCACCGGATAATGGGAAAACAAAAAACAAGTTAAGTTCCTAATTTTTTAAAAATCCACAAGTTAATTAATGCAATGAAATCATATGCAAAGAAAGACCGGATTGCATTGACGATAATCGACGGCAGCTGTGTGGGTGGTGGCCCGAGATGGATGAGAAGTCGAATCTGAAAAAAAGAAAGTGAAATGAATGATCTTTTTTAAATGCACTTCTATTAGAAGAAACACGGTATGCGATCAGGGAAATCACGCAAAAACTATTGAAGATTGAACTCAAACTATCGAAGTTTGCATACTTTGAAATTAAAAGCGTGCTTTGCTCATCACTCTCTTCCCCTTTCGCCCTCACCTGATTGTTTCACTTTTCGCCTCCTCCACGTCACATTCGTCTCGTCCAATTCCCGTTTCAGCTCTTTCCGTTGATCGATAATCGAAAGCATTTCGCGAAGCAGGGAAGCCTGGAAAAAATCAGTAGAAAAATTGAAATCCCACAATGTTCACCTTTTCATCGTCATCGTCGTTGCCTCGTTTCAAATCGTTTTGCTGGTTGATGAGCGCGTCCAATTCTCGATAGCTGAAAATACACGTTATTCACTGTCAAACATCAAAATGGTTATTGTAAACTGTATTTATTGTATACTGTATTTGCTATATTACCGTATTTTTAAAAATTTGGTGATAATTGGGTGCTGCACATCCGCGCGAAACAACCAAAAACGCGTTCTCTAACCAAAAGTTGCGTGGATCGACTCAGAGTTTTACGTCTGATGAACATAATCGTTCTGAACATTTGAACACCAAAACCATTGAATTTGTAGAAAGTTATTACGTTTTGTAATTGCCACAGTCTAAAACTCAGTTCCATCCTCTAAAGGGTGGCATAACTACGTAGCCTGCTGCCGGAGTATAAAGGGCCGCGCATTTTTATCGCCCTCACCCTTTAATTTTCTACAAAACGTAGTAACTTTCTTCAAATTCAACCAAATTCAATGGTTTTGGTGTTACAATGTTCCGAACGATTATCTTCAACAAACTTCTACAGGGTTTGTGAAAATTCTTTATTTTCGTTGACATATTTGGCTGCCAATGTAAATTCCCTATAGTAAAATTAGACTGGAAGTTTATTCTGAAAAACCTGTCGAAGGAATTTTAAAATCATGTCGATTTTTGAACTCAACGTAAATTTGAAATAATTTGACTTCGATTAAGCTGTTACACACATCTTTTGGTGAGAGAATGCGTTTTCGAGCAAATGCGTACTGTCTAAACACTATTTGGGCTACTCTACCAAAGACATCGACTCAGATTGGACACCAAGTAGTTATTTAAAGATTCAAAAAGCCCCTCACCGATGCTCCAATCGTACTTCTTTCGCCTTTAGCTGGAGATCTTTTTCGCGATCAGTCAAGATTTGTTTTTCTTGAACAAGGGAACGCCATTCAGAGAGCAGATCAACACTTGTTGGATCTAAAAAAGGATAGGTGAGATCCTTGAGAAAACAGAAAAGAATTTTGCAAAATGAGCCGCTAATACAGTCAAATCTCGTCAGTAACTTGTGAAAGGGATCCTGAAAAATCGACTATTCTCGCGATTATTTCAGTACGTTGATCTTCGTCTACTCAAAGAGTTCACTAGAGATTTAGCTGTATTTTTAACTTGATCACGTTTTTATGCTGTACATTATATCCAAGTATTCAAATTCCAAACGAACACGCACCCGAGTTGAGATTCGCCTCGACAACCCGTCCCCGTCGCTCAATCGCTTCCAAGCGGGTCTCTGATTCGTCGAGTTGTCGTTGCAGATCTTGCGCCGTTCGGAGTCGGTCCTCTTCGTGTTGTCGGCGAATCTTCTCGCCCCTAAATTTGGAAATTACATTCATTTTAAGCAGATCAAATTACGCTTAGAATTTCAATCAAATTCACATTTTCCAAGCTTAGAAGTACATCACACAAACCTCTTCTGGATGAAGCGTAAATTGCGATCACTTGGCGCCAGTGTTGGCACGTCGGCAGCAACCGACGATGAAGCACTCAGTGAAGCGATCGATTGTCCGGCAGCGGTTGGCATCGGTGGAATGCCGGGAACAAAGACTGAAAACAAATAGTTGACTCGAGATCCTGCATTTACATATCTATTTAGCCAATTAGCGCTAAAAAGTAGAGCCAACCAGAGCCAAAAAACCAAAGAATACCGGCTGCTAGTGTAAACCAGTAGTGTGCAATGCGTTTAGAAGGATCTTTGTGGCTCAATGCCTTGTGTCGGCACTGACACCCAAAGGCCGAGTCAAGTGAATTTTTTTTTACAGATTCTTATTGTTGGTAACTAAAAAAAAGCTTTTTGTTTCTAAAGTGGTAACTAAAAAAAAACTAAATCCGTAAACAAATAAGGATCAAAAAAGATAATCTGTCGTTCGAAATCCCCTCTTTAAGTACCTGTCGTTTTTGCGATGGTCGTCGCTGGTGGTCGGGGCGATGGGGCAACAGCAGCACAAGGGACATGATCCGAATTGATGACAAGACTTGGCGATGCAAGCGGCACTCCACGAAACGCTTCAATTGGGGCTAAATTGGGGAAACTTAGTGGATGGATTCAAATCGAATCACGGCATAACTTGATCCTAAGCCTAAGCATTATCTCATCTCAAGCACTCACCAATCGGCGAGTGATTGCGTTGCCCGCGCAATTGATCCCAGATTGAGTTCCGCGCGCGCAAACCGTTCTCTTTTGAGCTTTCCGATTGGATTGGCTCTGAAAAAAACTATCTTTACTCATTTTCAAATAAGATTACCTTTAATTTTTTCAGCGCTTTCCGTCAAAGCCGTCGTGGTGGTGCTTCGGTGTTGTAAATTCGGTGAAAGGAAACCTAAACACAACGATATTTGTTTTGATTAAAAAAAACTACCGTAAAATGTTTGTTTCGGCGGAGTTCTGGCGGGTAATGGTGGCGCCATGAGGTCACTTTCGGGAGCCGTGTCCGCGCGAGAAGCCGAGAACTGAAAAGAATCAATTAAGAAAGCAAGAGCATAGCTGAAATTCTCCTATAGAGTTACAGTGACAAAAAACGTACAGCCTGCCTCCGCAGATCGACTTGGTTGAGCATTGTGGGCAGTTGAGCCGAGTCATCCAATTGTCCCGTTGTCGCCGCCCGATCTCGACCAAATAGTGTCGGTGGTGGGCTGCGGGTTTTTGAGCGACTCAACGGCGTGTTCACTAAAATTTAAGTGTTGGTGAAAGTATGTTAGGTAACAACTAATTTCTACAAGCTCGTCTTCGAAACTCACAAATCCCCAGCTGCTCATCGCTTTTCATTCGGGCTCTCCTTCTCGCCTCTTCTCGTAAACGATCCAAATCAACGGATGACTAAATTACACATTTTTTCAATGACAAACTTGCAATTGTCACTGAAACGAGTGCTTAACCCATTTCTTTTCTTGAAAAATTCAAAAACCAACTCCTCTCATTAAAGTGGATTCGGATCGATGCCCGGGTTGATCAACTTTCGTCGACGTGTCGGCTCCCTAAAAAAATTAATCTAAGATTAAACAAAAGAGACCCAACCATTTGATTGAAATTCGTCGCCGTATGGCGTATGCTTTCGTGTCGTATCGACTCACGCCGGCGGCTGTTTATTCGCTCCAAAACCGATCGAGCCTAAAAGATACCAGTAAACGTTGCCCTAGAATTTCAATAATGACAAAACAGAAACCCACGATCGACTCCTCAATCTTATTGCTCGGATTTTGCTCGGTGATCTCCAAAACGGTCTTCTCGAGTTCCTAAAGTTACACTTGTTAAAGCGAATGATGAACCAAATGAGTAATTAGCTCAACCAACGGGTGACTTAGTCCAAAGATTGTTGGTATTCATGAGTAGACGACTGAATTGCAACCTAAATCCACCTGTAAATCCTCTTCCGCGAAATTATCCTCCTCATCCGACAGCGATTCATCGTGATTCCCCTCGTCGTCGATGAAAGTCTGATTTAAATCGACGTCTTGTGTATTCGAGCGGGATCGCAGCGAGCTGTCCGTCTCCTCTTTTGATGAGTAATAGCCTAAACAATGAAATTTAAATGAAAAATGCTGCATTTTGAAATCCAACTTGTGGCGAGTGTTGAATCAAATTGACTATAAATGTTCCCAAAAACCTACAACTCGACGATCCGGTTCTTTCCCTTGAACTATTACTCCCGCTCGTTCCCTCTTCTTCAGATTCACTGTCGATGTCAACGGCTTTCTAAACACCGTACATTTATCAAGTTACAAACAAAAAAAATCCCTACTTTAATGAATTTCGGCCTTTCTTGTTGCGCGTCAAAGGCGGCTCTTTCGGGTGTCGAGAGGAGGCCATTTTGATCCGAATCCACCGGCGACGTGAGCACACGTTTCGCGTTTGGCAACACCAAGTCTTGTAGTCTAAACGAGAAAATGGCTATATTTAAGTGCCGATAATGGTACCTTCTCTGATCGGATCCATAGTAGTGTAACATGTTCGACGATGAGGCTGTTTTTGGTGGGCACGCTGGGACACGAATTGGGAGAATCGGTGATGGGAGTGCTTGCAGGGGGAAACGATTGATGATTTGAGCGGGTGATTCGCTGAGATTCCCCTTTGATGAGTCCGATGAGGCACCTGAAAGAAAAGTATTGGAAGAGGCTTTAGACCTGAGATTTTTCGTTTCACTGGTTCTTAGTTAGTCACCATCCAGTAAAATATATTCAAATTCTCACCGAATCACCCCTTTTCAAAGCTTACCTTCGTCTTGTGAAGCCTGTTTAGCCAACGCCTTTTTCTTCGTATACTCGATTCTTCCGATCTTTTCCCGAAGCGGTAAACGGAGATGCGTTTTGCAGAAAAACCTGAAACAATGAGCATAAAAATTTCAAGCTAACAACTCACTTATTGCGGTAATTCTCGATCTTGTCTAACTCGCGATCCTGTCCACACTCGCCCAAACGAAGCGGTTGACTGCAAAACGAGCATTTGAAGCATCCCCGATGAACGTACATCGATTCGACTTGCATTCGTTCGGCCAAGAAAACCACCTGAAGCAATGAGATTTGAAAAGTAGAATTTAAATAGCGTTTAAGCCATCAAAACCTACCTCATTGCATAATTGACACGTGTTTTGTCGCCTTGGATTGACACTATCGTACAACGCGTCGACATCGGGCATCGAGTGCACTTGACGCTTTGGTTGTACGGGGGCAACGGGCTAAAGACAATGAATCATTATCGATTTACATAGACTGTTCTCCTATGCAAGCTTCTCTTTTTCCCCACTCACCCGCATCACCACCGATCCGTCTTGTCGTCGTGTAACCAACGTCAACGATGGTGATTGTGAATCGGGTTCGGGCAGTTGCGGAATCTAAACTAGGCGATTGAGTGCAAAGACGCGAATCAACTAAAATGATCTTTAGAGTCTGATTTCCAGTCTTGAAATGCCAAGTACCCAATTTTCCGCTAAACCCTTCAACCAACCTTTTCCTCTTGACCGCTGATGTTTGCCAGTTGTTGTCCCTCATCAACCACAACTTCTCTCACTTCTTGTCGCTGAATCTCGACTTGTTCCACCTCTTCAACACTAATCTTTGCCTAAAACAAAAATGTTCTCTTTCAACAACAAAAGCTCTAACCTTATTTTCCTCACGCTTGCCGGTGATAAACTTTTCGACGCGTCCAACAAGAGCCGGATCAAGGGCACTCACCTAAAAACAGAAATTCTTATCTTTTCATTCAAACAAGATACCTGCGGCTTTTTGGTGAGATATCGTGAATCGTCCGTGGGTTCTTCAATGCTGGGTAAATGCTAAAGATCAAATTTTGAAGCGTATCACATCAAATGTATTCCTTTGCCTAATCAAACCACACCTCCAATTGTCTCCTCAACGGTGGCGGCGTTGGCTGATCGGTGGGTTTCCCTCTTTCGTAAAAGGCTTTGATTTGCCCGTGAAGATTCTCGATCACCGCCGACTTCTTCGCTTTTGATGTGTCGAACTGGAAAAGTGGAAAATAAGCCAAAGTACCGAATAAGGTGTTAGTTGAAAATCGATAAATTAGTGAAAACTAATAAAATCAAAAACTCTCTGAATCGCAAATCTTCATGCACTTACACATTCGCCCTCGTCTGTGACTTGTTCCATTTTAATGGGTTTTCTTTAAAAATTTTCTGGATTACAAGTTAAAACCAAGCCCCAAGATTTAAAGTTCAATTTCAAAGTCAAAAGCAAAAGTTGATCGTTGAGCAAAGTTTCTGACACTTTCATTGGCTCTGTCAGGTAGGAGGACAGTTTCAAGGAAAATTTCTAAATTTCTGAAGCAGACTTGATCACTCGGTCACGTTTTTGATCTCACGAAATGAAAATATTGTGTAATCAACAGTTTTTAACTGCCACAAGAACCATATTCAATGAAAGACGCAAATACCTTTGTGGGCATCGGTTTCGGTCGTTTACTGGCGGCGCTCCGCGGTGTGATCAAAATCGAGCGCACCCGGTACATATCCGATTTGATGAGACCGATCAACGCGTAAATGTAGTCCAACTAAAAAAACAAGATTGAAAAGTAGAATACGCTTTACGCTTTACCTTCAACTCTTCACTCAATCTTGGCCATTGTTCAGGGGTGCACGGCTCGGCGATCTCCAAGTGTTCACGGACTCGCGAGAAGACCATCTAAAAAGATCAGATGATATTAGCCTGTTCAGTAAAAAAATTCCCCACATTATACAATATCTAAGTACAAGAAGAGCCAAATCAGTCATCTGCCTTCATTTTTAACCTAATTTTCTCCCCCACTCACTTCCAAGCGATCCTTTGGCCGTTCGCTCGAGCTCAACACGTTAAAATAATCCAAGCATTCGGGTCGAAATTTCGCCACCAATGCAGCCAGCGCCATCCCGTCGTTCCACGACGTGTTCATATCGTAGAGCTTCAGCTTGTACGGTGTCAGAGCATGGGTCAGGAATCTGAAGTGGAGAAATTTAGCTTCTCGTCAACACTTTAGTTTTTCACCTCCACGCCGCGTATTTCATTCTTTCCGGATGCTCGTGTGCGTCGAGCCGCGGATGGGGTTGCCGGTGGTAGATCGATCCTAAAAAATGATGACTACACCAATTCAATCAAATTTTATGACTAAACAGCTCTTTAACGGCCTAAGGCCTAAGTCATCAAGCAAAGTCTTTATTAATATTGATTTCTAACTTACTCGGAGCATCAGAGTCCACGATTTCCACAACATCCTCCGGTCGCATCGTTATTTCCAAGGACACATAACGGGTTTTCGGGTCGATCGTGAATTTCGTCAACTGTTTGTGCAGATTGTCCTTGGTGACCTGAAATAATTAACAGATATGTGCTTGTAAACCAAAGGATCTCACTTGAGCCAACAACCGATAAATGCTTTCACGTTCGGCGATAAGTTGAAGGGGTTCTGAAAAAAGTTATACACATACTCTAAGATTAAATGCGTTTGTAGGTTTTCTCTGCAAATGGAGTGAAAAGGACAGAATTCGGCTCCTGATTAAAACTCTAAAAAAATTGTCAGGGCAAACCAGAGCAAAAACTCGTCCAAATCAGGACAGATTGTCAATTTAGGAGTATTCTTTAAACAACAGTACCCCGTTCGTTCATCCCGTACTCCTTGATCAACCACGCCGTGTCCATGACACCAAGAAATCCGCGAGCACATCCAGAGCCGGTCGGCCAAAATGGCTGAAATTAGATCAACTTTATTCGTTTTTAGCCTTAAAACACACCTCATGCAAGCTATCGCCAACGATTCCCAGCAAAAGTCGTCGTTTGTTTCGCTCAATTAGTCGAACGCTGTACTTACTAAAGGAAAACATTGGGATTTTGAATTTTTTCAGAAAAAAAAAACCTTGAGTAAAGCGACGTGAAATCGAACATTGCAATGTCGGGCTGACTCTTGTGATTTGTCGCGTAGTCCAGGATCGGTAGTTTGCCTAAATTTTTCAAGAAAAATTCAGGTAAAGTTAAAGAATAAGGTGATGTCAAATTGCTAGTGATTACTCTACTTTTAACAACAATCGAAATCACTACAACCGAATGAAATCTCAACAAAATGCGCTCACCATTTGTCGCGAATTGCGCTGCCGAGTAGGCGTACCGGCAGAGTTGCTCTTTGTTCACATTTTCCGCCGACAACAACACGTTCACGTCTTCGCAATCCTAGAAAAGGGGTATTTCGAGGAGAATTTAGCGATGCTACCTTCAAAATGACGCCCTGCTCGAGCAGACTCTGCTTCTTCGCGCACATCACAAAGTAGTGAGTTTCATCCTGAAAAACTAAATTGATTGAAATGCTCTTAAACCTCCACCTTATAGTAGACAATGTTTTCAAGATCGACTCCCGTTGTTGCGTGCATTTCCTTGAAGAACGCCTGATTAAAGATGTAGGCGACACCGCTAAAAAAAAATAAATTTTACCAATAAGGTGAGCTACCGAGATACAACTTTCCAGTTTTGCTAGCTGTTCTTAAAATAGGAATGTTCCAGAGTCCTACTTTGAGCCGCTGAAACAAAGCGCTTTTGCAAAAAAACCGAAGCCTAATTTAGACTCAGCACCCCAAAAACATCGTGGTGCGCAACTTGAAAAATCCGTTTACCAGAAACTATCTTTTTTCCGATTTCAGTCCACCGGTGGATCGAGTGGATCCCAGAGACTAGCTGAGGTATCATCGCGAATCTTTTAAACATTCAGCTAGGATTTCCCAACAAGCAAGCACAATAGATAAGCTTATTGTAGCGGTGGTTTGGCTCACAGCTAGTCAATAAACAAGCCAAGCCAAGAATATTGTTCCCGAAATCTTTCTTGGCCACTTTTTGTCGACAAATTTTCTTTTCTCACCTTATTTCGGGCACTCTTTCTTCGGCAGCCGTATGTCGATTCACGAAATTGGCCGTGATTCCTGAAATTTATCGGTTAGTAAAAAGAACAAAGAATCTTTGAACAATCTTCGAAACTTAAAACCTCAAACTTTAACGAAGAAATATAAGCAAATAAAAGTTGTGCATGACATTGTGCACAACATTACCAACCGATTGCCAATTTTCCGCGCATCTCGTCACGTGAGAATCCTGAAATCAAAGATTATACACTTGAAATGCAAACACAATATGCTAGGCTTGGTACTACAATCATTTATGAGTTTGACATAAATGGGTCTAAAATATTTTTAATTGCATACCTTTTATGGTGTTTCTTTTCCCATCGGCTCCAATCAGCACGTCGAATTCGTAATCGCCAAGTAGGTGATCGGCTGGTTCAAGTGAGGCACGGAAACCCGAGTCTGAAATAGAAAAAATGAAGAAAAGTCTGATGCAACTATTTTAACGTAAAAGCTGGCAAAAGGGCTTGTTTTAATCAAATTTGTATTAAAATATAGCGTAGCCTGAATTTATACAGTGATCTTAGCCCGAAATTAATCAGTTTGGTGCATCGTTTGCTTTGCAAAAAACCCACAAGTTTCATTCTTGTCGAATCTTGGTTGCGGCGTGAGAAGATCCTTGTAGGTGACACCCTCATACACTTGGACACCGTAACAAAGGGCGACTTTAAGCAGGATGCACTGCATTTGGCGAATACCTGAAAAAGAATTTTCGACAATTGTTATCTAACAAAAGTTGTGCTTTAAAAGTCTTTTAGACGCAAAGTTCTGCCCCAAACATACACGTTTTCTGATTTCAACAAAATTTTGAAGCTTATGCTTGTGGAAAACTCACTAATATGCTCGATGCTTCCCGTGCAGAACTTTGGGTAGAAAATCTTCGCGCCAAAGGACTTCAGATCATGAATGACGAACTCCCAAAGATGTAACACGTTGTTTCGACTAAAAAAAAGAGGGTACATAGCTGAAAATTTGCGACAATGCAAGTGAAGGATCTAAAAAGCTACTGCGAAAACTCAGCATTCTGCCTCAAAACTCAAGCTCAAGTAAAGGAATAAAAATATCCGTCTGCATAAAGTTTGGCTTCAATTGAGTCCTTTTAAAGATGGCATTGGTTTTGACACCTAACTTCTTTTTATCCTAGAATCGATTGAGACAAATCAATGGGTTTTTTAAACGGTTTACAAACTCTCTAGCTGTCTAAGCATGTCAAAAAGCTACCTAAATTTGTCCCGTTGCTCGATGAGCACAACCCGCGATCCCAGAAGAGCGCACTCGATCGCCGTCCGAAGTCCACATGGTCCTAAAACATTATAGAAGTTAAAAGTGCAAAATGCCCGAGTTTTAAAAATAGGTTTCTTGTAAGAAACGTGTAGTGTAAGCCTTTAGACTTAAGAAACTAGAAGATCTTCAAATTTTCCCCTAAATTCTATTCTCCAAAGGGTTGACGACAAAAATCCCCCGTGTTTTACCTAGAATTTTATATTCTACGACCAAAGTGACAAATGGTGCGGATAATCTACCGAAAGTTTACTTTCTTTTCACTCCACTCACCGGCTCCAATGATCAAAACGTTGAGTCGATTGGCAGCTTTTTGACTCCGGTACTCGGTTTGTGTCCATTTCTTGTCCAACAGTTTCCACAACTTTTGCGCCCTCCAATCGTTGATCTCCTTTCGTAATCTGAAACGAGGAAAATAAGCAGAGATTTTGAGCAAATAGATTTGCATTTGGATAATGTTTAATGTTTAGACTCTAAACTAAACTTTAAAGGACATTACAATGCTGTTTTAAACTCGAAGATTTCAAAGCCACGTCAAGCCACGGTCCTTTATCTCCTTTGTCTTTGACTATATGGGAAACAGCAGGAAATGCGTGGCCTTTCGTTTAAAATTTTAGGCCAAGCCGGTCAAAAGTTCTTTTTGAAACAGCTCTGCATCAAAATGCCAATGCACTTACAGAGTCAAATTCGTATTCAAAGCTCTTTAACTCATTTTCTTCTCTAAACCGTGAAACATAGCTATGTATGTAGTTAAGTAACATTCTTACTGTTAGCCCGACCTTGGCATTATACAACATCTGCATGCGTATTGATCTCTTCATAAATTAGAAATTCAATAAAGCTAAGTGACATAAAGAGTTTTGTTAAATCTCTAATTTATGAAGAGAGCAATACGCGTGTAGATGTTTTATAATTCCAAGGTCGGGCTAACAATAAGAATGTTACAAGATTGATTTCAAGTTACAAGCATGAAAAAGCTAAAAGAAAATGAGCTAAAGAGCTTGAACGTGAATTTGGGTACTTTTTTGATTTGTCCCCCCCTTTTTTTGCCCAAGCTATCGACTATTGAAGGCACTTTTTAAGGTCAAAACTAGAGCTAAAACATTTTTAACCACTAAATATTCATTTTCTAACTTAAATTGACCGGTATAGGCAAAACAAAAAAAAAAAAAAATATTTTTTCCCCCGCCCAACCACGTAGTACGTGGTAACGTTGTACTAAATTGCTGATGTTTGGGGGACTAAAAGAAGACTAAAAGAAGACTAAAAGAAGACTAAAAGAAGACTAAAAGAAGACTAAAAGAAGACTAAAAGAAGACTAAAAGAAGACTAAAAGAGGACTAAAAGGAAACTAAAAGAGTACCCAAATTCGACCTCCTAAGTGTATTAGCACCAAAAAGCAAACGCACTCTTCATAAACACGCTTCGAGTCGGTTGGATCGAGGTCGAGCTGGGTGCAAATGAGGTAAAACGTGTGAAGGATTTGCTTGAAATTGTTGGCGGTGACGAAATTGTCGAATAGAGTATACAAATCGACGGACACCATTTGCTCTATTTTGCTTTTCTTTTTGATCAATCGCTCATCTGGAAATGAAAAATTGAGTAAAATGCTTCAATAACATGAAAAAACACAAAAAAACAAATACGCTGAAAGCTTAGAAGGCTTTAAAAGTGTTAAAATTGTAAAAAATTTCTAGTTTTCGAGTGTCCCCTCACTAAATTTTCAGTTTTTAGTCCTTTTCTCAAAAACTAGTAAATAAATAGGATAATTTAGAGAGAGTACTCTCCCACTTTACATTTTAGACATTTTCTCGTCATCCAATAAGCCATTCGCAATGATTTAGATTTCAAAAGACGCGCAAAAAAATTTGCTATCAAATGGTATTTTGAACTCTCAGAATCATCTACTAGTTTTTGAGAAAAAGACTAAAAACTAACAATTCAAAGGGGGACACTCAAAGCCTATAAAAGAGCTAAACTTTTGCGATTATTCACGAAATAGAATTCAATGCAAGAGATCATTTGGGCTATTTCTAGCGGTTAAACATAGTAGAGAATTCGACGAATCCTTTTTTTTTGCAAAACTAAGCCCATTTTTTTCAAAAATACGACTTTTCGCTGGATTTTTCACGAAAATCATTCTTTTTTTTTTTGCAAAACTAAGCCCATTTTTTTCAAAAATACGACTTTTCCCTGGATTTTTCACGAAAATCATTCTTTTTTTTTTGAATTTCCATCAAATTTAGCTTAAAAATTAGCTCGTTTACTCGATTGAAAACGTCGAAATCAAAAAATTAAATGGTTTTTTTTGAGAAAATCGGCTCATTTTTGTGAAAAAGATTCGTTAATTGTTTTCTCGAAGCTTCAAAAGGCGTCAATGTTTTTTAGGGAGAGATCCCGTTTTCGTGTTGGTTTTCGTCGAGATAGGACATCTTTTTTTTAAGGTCATCTCATCCACTTTCACCGATTTTCTCTCTTTTTTCTTGAAAAAAGGAATCTCGGTTAAAGCGCACTTTTTAAAGGTGAAAATGGAGGGAAATGATAATAATTTTTAAAAGCCGATCGAAATATCTAACTATATAAAAGAAATAAAACGTTTGTCCGTTTGTTACGCAGACGCGGGGCTTCTATGTACAACCTTCTCTCTTCCCGTGGACCGATTTGGCTGAAAATTTAGAAGTAGAGAATTAAAAATAAGAGATAGAAGATGAAAAGCGGTAATTTAACAGCCCTAGAGGGATAGAATGCGCATTAAGGCGTCGTTTCGTGAGATCAAAATAGGCAGCGTAAACGACAAGGGATAGCATGCCATATCGCTTTAACGACTATCGATGTAAAGGGTAATAATAGCAGTGAAAAAGAGATCCGATCCTAGAAAAGTGTCATGGATTTAGAAGAAAATGCTAGGAAATTAGCAGATGGCAATGCTATTCGAAGAGGAATAATACATTCACTTATCGGTGGAAAAAAAAGTTATAGATCTCAATATTCTTTTCGATGCGATGACAAGCTATTTTTTCGGTTGATTTCGAAAAAAAAGGCCAAGTCTTGGAGAAATTTTGCACAAACAAAGGTAAAGCATAAAAGATTGTCCGGAATGAGGCAAGACTTTTAAAGAAATAAACAGCAATGCCTTTTTTCATAGCAAAATTTTAAAAGACCATAACATTAGGCCTCGAGAAACGACGGTAAATGAAAAGAATTTGGGGGGTGGGACAAATGCGACCTTTTTTTTGCGCACCTGGACATTTGCGCACCTTTTTTTGCTGGAAAAGGCCTTAGGAAAGGTCGTAGAGCTTCAAAAATGTTTTCATAGAAGGGAATCGTATGCGTAGATTCCGAATTTCGCCAAATCAGACCTCGCTGACACGTCAAATTTGGGGTAAAAGGCAAAAACTATGCAACTTAACGCTTTTCCGCCCAAATTTGACGTGTCAGCGAGGTCTGATTTGTCGAAATTCGGAATCTACGCATACGATACCCTTCTATGGAAACATTTTTGAAGCTCTACGACCTTTCCTAAGGCCTTTTCCAGCAAAAAAAAGGTCGCATTTGTCCCACCCCCAAGAATTTGTTCTAAATTGAATCTTTTTGAGAAGGAAAATTTTACGTTGACTTTAAAATGATTAAAATTTTTCCGAATATCAAAAAACGATGAAAAATAATGTATGAAAGTGGAGAAAGGCATAAAAACAGTTTTAAAGGAAAAAAAAAAGGCATACAGCATACAGTTACAGTTTTAAAGGCATAAAAAAAGGTGAATTCAAATGGGGAAAGGAAAAAGGCTGGAAATTTGCGCAATAGAGTTGTGTCGCGTTGTTTTCACAGAGAAAAGGGAAAAGAAGCGAAGAAAACAGCTGGGGGGGTTTTTTTATTTCAAAACGACCATAATCTTATCGGAACTATGACAATACACCATTTGCGCATCACTCGTGGAAAAATCTTTTGCGCAGTAACTTTAAACGCTAAAAGTTGCACCAAATGACCCACATTGCTTCGATTGAGCTCCAATTTTTACAGCATTTTGCACTCGCCTATGCCCATCTACTGTAAAAGTTTCAGCTTGATAGCTTCACTGCAAAAAGAATTGGGAAGCCATTATTTGTTTCTTTTGTGGGCAAATGACGTCTTTTTTTGCGTCTTTGCCTCTTTTTGCCCACAAAAAATTGAAGTCACTCTAAAAATTTTTGCAGTGAAGCTATCAAGCTGAAATTTTTCCAGTAGATGGGCATAGGCGAGTGCAAAATGCTGTAAAAATTTGAGCTCAATCGAAGCAATGTGGGTCATTTGGTGCAACTTTTAGCGCAAAAGATTTGTAGCGAAAGTTAGCAGCTATTGTGCGCAAAAGATGTTTTTCCACGTATGCGCAAATCGCTGTGCGGTATTGTCATAGTCCAATATTATCGATTATCGTATCTTTAAAAGATACAGGCTTACTATAGCATTTGGAGCATTTTAAACCAGTTGACTACCAATTGGCTTTTGTTTTTCTCGACTACCGTAATCTTAAGACACATTTTAGACGATCTTAAGACACAATCTTAAGACAAATTTTAAGACAAATTTTTTAGACGTTGGGGTACTGTAACCAAAATCTAATATAACATCTAGATAACCGATCACTGTCTCCCAAAATTTAGGGTGCTATTCAGATAAGAGATTGTTGTAGTCAAAAAAAAAAAGTTGAACACGTTTTCGAAAGCGGATTAAAGGCGAGTGGAACGCGCAAAGTGCAGCAAAAGAAAAAGCACAATTTAGGCATTAATCTCAGTCCATTGCGGCTATATTCCTTAAGAATATTTATCTCTTTCTTTCTCTTTCTTTTGGATGAAGGCCATTTCTTTTTTGAAATCAAAAAGAAATCTTCTTTCTTGTCAACTAGAAATCTCTCCTTTTTTTTTTTTTCTCCAAAAATGATGTACACGGCCTTGTCTTTTCCCTTTTCTGTACTATATTCGCTCGCAAAAAAAAGGAAGTCCTTGAACGGAGCAATCAGAAGAAATACAAAAAAGAAGACAAAAAAGAAAGACAAAAAAGAAATAGAAAAAAGAAATACAAAAAAAGAAAACAAAAAAGAAAATGTGCAAATATTTCGGGAAAAGAAATCGGCGTAGGCCAGTTTCCGCACTTTTTTTTGCGCAACAGGATCATTTGCGCAACTCGCCATAACTTTCTTCTAAGTTGGCTAATCTTTATGATTTTGGTCTCATTTTCTAGATCTCAATAAGTGCAACAAAATGAAATCAAAATCATAAAGATTGGCCCACTCAGAACAAAGTTATGGCGAGTTGCGCAAACGACCCAGTTGCGCAAATGACCCTATTGCGCAAAAAAAGTTGCAGAAACTAGCCTACCCCAAGAAATCACTCGTGTAATCAAAGAAATATTGAGTCAAAGAAAATTTACATTTATCTTTATAGACAATTCCTAGACAAAAATACAAAATGCAATTAAACAGTTTTGAAAAAAATCTAATCATTGAAAGGTTTTGAATGAGCTCCAGATCTGAAAAAGTGAAAGTCTCCGCAGTCCTCGGCAATTTCAATTTACCCTAAACTTACCGTATTTACTCGAATAGAAGATCGGCCTCGATTATAAGACCGTCTCGAATAGAAGACGGGGTCTAGGGGGTGATTGAAAAATAGAAGACTCGAATAGAAGACCGGTCTTCTATTCGAGTAAATACGGTAACCAAAATACAATTTCTGTTAAAGTAAAAAAAATGAAAAATGCTAGATTTCAGAAAATAATCTTTACAAAGTTTAGCGTGAAGTCCAGATAAGAAAAATACAAAATCTCCCTCAAATCTGATCAACCAAAAATGTTTTAGAGATTTGAAAGCTTTTTTGAATTGAAAATTTTTGCCTTAAAAGATCTATCTTAAAAATTTATCTTAAAAGATAAATCAAGTTCTGCTAGAAGGAAAACAGATAAGAATAGAATCGTTTTTTTGAATTATTTTGTGTAATAATTGTGAGTAAGATTGGATGTAAGTGAAAACAAATAATGCCAACAGCACTGATAGAGCAGAAGATGTCGAAGTAGTTCTTGGGTGGATCAAATCCAACAAAATGCATTATTTGAAAAACTATATAACCAAAAGTCTAAGTTGTATGCCAGATCAGCGGAATATTGAGAAAAGGTACTTGAAATAAATGGCAGAGCGGAGATTTCGAGCAGGTCAAATTCGACGGCAAAATTGCTATTATTGAATTGAAGGAAATAGACAAATCTTCAATTGTGAAAGTCTAAGTTGTATGCCAGATGAGCGGAATATTTAGAAAAAGGTAACTGAAATAAATGGCAAAGCGGAGATATCGAGCAGATCAAATTCGACGGCAAAATTGCTATTATTGAATTGAACGAAATAGAAAAATCTTCAATTGCGAAAGTCTAAGTTGCGTGCCAGATGAGCGGAATATTAAGAAAAGGTATTTGAAATAAATGGCAAAGCGGAGATATCGAGCAGATCAAATTCGACGGCAAAATTGCTATTATTGAATTGAACGAAATAGACAAATCTTCAATTGCGAAAGTCTAAGTTGC